ATTAAGAAAAACGGAGAATGAGATTAATGATAGATCTTTCATCTGCATTTAAATTTATGGCTGAGTATGAACTGGGATCCGGGTTTGGCCCAAGGGCAGAAAAATTGGGTTTAGAGTAATGATTACTTAATAGAATATTACTGAGTTTTGTTAGTATTTGGTCCCCAGTGATGTTCATTTTCCAGTTTACTGACTTACTTTATTCAAATTTGGAATTAGTAGTTTGGACACCACGGTAATCATTTAACATAGTCTAGGTGATATTAATCCAGCCTACTTTCATTTACAGAAATGACACCATAAGATATCTTTGACATCTCTCAAAATGTTGCCTCTGCACATCGTTGGTGCCTATTACAGAACAGGAAGGACACACATCTGAGCAGAGAGGGGTGCCATTTAAATATTTTCTTCGGTGATATCTGTGGTCTAAGATGAGCCTGTTAGATCTTTCCCTGCTTTCCTTTGCCACATATTTTAGAGGCTGATGTATAAAGGAGGAAGAGATCTGAACTAATTGTGAGTTAAATGAGTATACTCTTGCCACCAAACTACACCACACGCAATAATAAAAAGCCCAGGCAGACTACACATAGCTGGGGACCTTTAATGCATTGTGTTTGGGTGAGCCAAATGTAGTGTGTCACTGCTGACACAGAACATATTGGAGATTATTTCTAACTTTTAAAGGCACTCATATCTGCCATATCATTGACCCTGACATAGTTCAGGATCATATAAATTTGTGCAGGCCACACATTGCAGCCTTGACATCCAGCCTGATGTTCCTTAGCCCGTGAGGTTCTGGCTACACTCAGCAGCCATCTTAGTTCAGGTATTCGCCCAAATGGGATGACATCTGCTTATGACCTTGGAATCAAGAGCTAAATAGGTTATCTTTAAAAGTTAGGAGGAGCCAGTAGAGTACTTATCTTATGAATATGTGTCCAGGTACTGTCCACCGCCTGCTTGTCCAGTAAGTTTACTACTTTCCTTAATGGTTATATAAAATTGCTTTGGAATAAAATCGTATGTATTTTGCTTTGTTCTCAAATATTTCCTGGCAGCACCCCTTTCCTGCTTTCATCCTTCTAAACTATTTGCCAGGACTTACTACTTCCATAGAGTTGGAAGATCCTCCACATCTAATTACCAGCATCAGGCCACTCCAACGTCTGTTCTTCATCCGCTGTGGCCATGCCCACTGCGGGAAGATGGCAGATCAAATCTCCCTGCGGTCCCTGGCGTCCCAAGATCAGGTGTCTGCGGATCGTTCTTCACAGATCTAACAACTGATGTGGAAATGAAGAAGGACCTGACTTTCACCATTCAGTCAGCCTTTGGGGAGAAACCCCTCCTGGAAAACATCCTCTGAATAGGTGATGGTTTTTGGTTTGAGAGATACATCTGACCCCCCAAAATAAGAATTTATTTGCAGACTTGAGGGAATTGTGTGGGGGGGTAGTTTTTAAAAACCCTTTATAGAAGCTTAATTATTGCTAAGCCTTGGAGCCATTGTCTGACCTCTAGAGAAAAGTCTGTGCACTTGGGGAAATATTTGCTCCTTCATGATCTTCCAGGGCCCTGAAAGAGGAGAGAGACATTCAGGGAGGGAGGGGGTAGCCAGCCACGGTTGTACGGGAAGGATATCTCTCAGTTTCACATGCATTCATGGAGCAGGGCTAGTCATCTTGCTTGGTACTGGGGCAAGAGAGGTCAGGAGTGTAGCCCTAGAGGAGCTTGAGGGAGCTCTGCTCTCACACAGGGAAGAAGGCTTAGTAATGCTGCATTCTCTTACTCCTCAGAGCACAGCTAAGTTCCTCTGGGAATAGAGAAGAGGCTTCTCTTCTCTCCCGTGTATCCAGCCCCAGGTCCTGGGAGGATGGTTCCCTAAAGGGAGGGGCTGCAGTCGGCCAAATCTCAGGTCTCCACGTTCCCAAGCAGCAGGGCAGCTACGCATGTTGATGACCTGGACCCCACGGAGGCCCCGGGCCTGGAACATGTGATAGCCTCTCTGACATAAAACTGCAGGCCCAGAAATCCACAGAGGCTCTTCTTTCTCATGAGCTGTGGTCATTCAGTGAGGCCTCAACTCTACTCATCCCACTGCCCCCCCGCCCCCCCAGTCCTTCCCATCCCTCAGGGGGTCCTGAGCCGGTGGCTCCCCTGGGCCTGCCTTCTCTTGGCAGCCCTTCTGAATCCATCCCCCCAGGTCCCCTCACCTCTACAGCCCCAGCCCCCAAAGGCCACAGGAGACTCCAGAAAGTTCCGGCAGGCCCTTGGGAGCTGAGTTGGTCCTGCGTTAGTCTTCTTCTTGGCTCCAGGTGAAGAAGTCAGCAAGGCTGGCTCCCAGCCCTGGCCTGGAGACCAGCTTGTGTTGCTACACACTGTGTGGAGAGCTCTATGGCTTAGGTTCTAGCTTTTTTTTTTTTTTTTTTTTTCTTAGTTTCCCAACCAGGCATCAAACCCGGGCCCCCTGCAGTGGAAGCATGGCGTCCTAACTGCTGGACCGCCAGGGAATTCCCATGGTTCTAGCTTTAAAATACAAAAATCTCCTTCACAAAGGAGAAGGACTCCTTTGTGAAGTCCTTGAGACATCATGAAACAAGGAGAAGGGCTACGGTTCTCCTACAGCTGAGAACCACCAAGGTTAGTCAGCCGTGTCTCTGGGTGGCTCAGGTCATGGATGTGGGGACATTTGAAGAACCCAGCACTTCCCAGGTGAGGCAGCTCAGAGGAGCCTGGAGTGAGTTTCTTTGGCTTAGACACATCTGTTTTTGTGAGGAAGGACAGGTTTGTCTGGGTTTGGAGAAAACCAGATGATAAAGGAGGGCCTCAGAAATGTCATGGACTCCAGGGATCTCACTGAGCCCAGAGGAAAAGCCACAGCGTTTGATCCCTCCCCTCCCCTACCCATGGTTGGTTTTCACCTCACACTCAGACACGTATCACAAAACTCCTGTTGAACTAGAGGACCGGAACTATGAGAAAAATATTAAAATGAGTTTTGTGCATTAAATGAGGATGGTTTTTATAAATGCTTGATAATGGAGGCTGTATCGCCTCTTTACTTGATTTAGATTTCCTTAAAATCTAAATGTTAAGGTGGCCAACTCAGCTTTGGCCACCAGTTTTAGGATGGCTGATGGAGCCTCAGGTTAACCAAATTAATATCAGACAGACAAGCAGATAGGCAACAGGCCCATGATGTTGAGGGGTGGAGATAGAGACGGCCAGTTAAATTTCCAGGAATAAGTGGAGGGACATAAGCTCAGTAAGAGCAGGGGCCATGTCTGCCATATCCCCAGTCACACAGCCACACCCGCCAGCTCCCAGCGCAGGGAGTCCCCTGGCAGGGCTCACTGCATGCTGAGTGGGGGAAGTGGGACGTGCATTAGCAGCTGGAGCAGGACAGCCACCAGATAGTTTCCTTCTAGGAAGAACCCCAGTCCGCCTGCTCATTATACCTAGTTCCCCATAGAATCACTCAGGGCTGGGGAGTGGTCTCAGGTTGTCTCTGCGCCTGTACCTTGTCCTAGATGTGGATTCTATCTACTGCCTGTACTTCCCAGAAGTCTCTGTGCTCCTCTGTTGCCTGGAAACGAGACTGGGAGGAGGGAGGAGTAGGGGAACCTGGTGGAAATTGTTTTGGATTATTTGGGCTCCCAAAGGCACCTGTTAGTGACAGGCAGAGCCAGCTGCCTCCTTAATCTGGGCGAGTGGTGGCAGCGCCCCGTTTGGCCAAGGCTAGCCCTGCAGCTTGCCCGCTGCTCCTGGCTGGCCCCATGTCTCTCCAGGGCCAGGGAGCACACTGCCGTGGGAGTTGTACGAGCACAGCCTGAAGTATGGGGCCACCCTCCTTTCCCCTGAGTTCATTTTCTCTTTAAAATCCACAGGAGCTTGAATCACCTTCAATTTCAAAAGTCCAAGTCAGGTGACGGTTACTGATCCCTGAGCTGAGGAGATTAGTCTCTTATCTCAAGTCAAGGTTTCTTGGCGAGAGCCCAGGTGAGCCTTATGCAGCCAGGCAGGTCTGGAGTAATCTGAGGAAAAGGTCCAGATGGCAACAGGGCAGGGCAGGCACAGCATCCCTCACCGTTGCTGTGTCTCCTCTACCTTCCTGGGCTTCTCTCTGGGCTCTGCCAGGACAAACTCACCTTGGGAACAAGAGTGGCCCACCTTGGTCATTCTAGAGCCTGGAGTCCAGGCCATCCAAGAGAGAAGGAGAGGCCACTAAGGAGCCCGGGATGAGAGGGGAGAACTAGGTGCTCTGGCATTGGAGCTAAAGAAAAGGGACTCATGGCCAAGAAAGGTGGCTTCCACTTGGACCAGACACATCTATCTTAATTCCTTGTTTAAACCTCAGCTACACAGGGGAAATGAAATCTCACGTAGGGAACATAAATGTCATCTTGTTTCACTCCCAGAAGTGACCCGCATCTCCCTACAGTATCTCTGCCCGAGGTGATCCTGGTTCTGGCTGAGCACTGCCAGGCATGGGGACCTGCTCCCTCCAGGGCAGCCCAAGGTAAGCCTCCTGCTAGCTTGGTCAGTAGCTGTTCATACTGCCCACGGAGGAGCCTGCCTCCAGCTCCCAGCACCGCTCACACGTGGATGTATCCTAAGCACCTAATCCTGAGGCTGGTCCAGAGAACGCTGCCCCTGAACATGAGGGACTGGGCTGAGAGGGCCAGCGTCTCCTCAGCGCTGCCATGGAAGTGAGCAACGGGACCACTCCCAGGGCTGGGCACTCAGCTGGTCGCAGGAGGCTTTCTTTCCTGCTTCTTATACCTGTTCTCTTCTGGATCTTGTCTGATTTTCTCAGGCAGGCTTTTGGGCTTATTTCTCTTCCTTGCCCTTAGGTCCCAGGGGCCAGGCCAACCACAGGGTGGGCAAGTGGCTGGCTGGCTTTCTCTCCTGGTCCAGACACAGAGGGATTCCAGCTAGGAAGAGTGTTCACCTTCTGGAACCCAGCTCAGCTTTAAGTGAACAACCCGGAGGCCTGGGATTTAGTTTAATTTTCAGATTTCAGTGTGGGCATTCTTTGGAATCAGGTACAGTCGAGGGGACAGGAAGAGGCGCTCAGACTTCCTCATGGCTCTCTGGTAAACTCGGCATACGTTTTAGTCTACATTCACTTCATCTTCATGACTGCCCGCGACACAGTCATGAAGACTTCCTGCCTACCCGCCTCCCGGCATTCTCCCACCCCATTCTGCCCGCACGTGACAGATGAAGGGGCTGAGGCAGAACGCACGTGACAGATGAAGGGGCTGAGGCAGAAGGAGTTTCAGTGGGAAGGCAAATCCAGGGCCTAGAGTTCAAGTTCAAGGGCTAGGAGTTCAGGTCTTCCGCCTCTCCAGTTAAGGCTCGCTGGCTTCCAGGCCTCTTCAGCCCATGCAGCTTCTGCTCCCGCACCCGCTCCCGGCCCCTGCACCAGTGGGGCGCGGTTTGAGAGCTAGGCCCTCAGCTCAGGAGGTGTATCTGGCTGCCGGCAGGGGTGAGACACTTGGAAGGCCTCCAAGGCCAGCAGTGACTTGTTGATACGGCTGATGGTAGGGTAGGGAGTGAGATCCACCTTGAACCTGTGGCAGAGAAACATCCACCTAAGCCAAGGTCTGCAGGGGCCCAGGGAGACTGCCCTGCAGGCGATGGGGGAAGCACAGAGGCAGGGCTGGATGAGGTCCCTGGGGCTGGCCAGGGAAGGCCTAGGAAGGCAGCCCTGCCAGGTTGGGGGTCCTTGTTCACAGGTAGCTCTCTGGGGAGGGACAGTCTTGTGCAGTATCGTCTGGCATCTCAGTTTCCTACTGCTCCTATTCCAGGCCATGGCTATCTATACAACCTACTATGTGTAAGGCCAGTGCTGGGCATTTATATACAGATCATCTCCTCACCCATGTCATAAGCTTCTCAGGCGCAGGGAATGTGTCACACATTTCCATACCCCTAACAGTGCCCAGCACGATGCCTTCCACAGAGAGGTTCCCATCCGTGCCCTCCTGAAGGGCTGATGGAGCAAAGCAGAGGCAGAGCTCACTGCCGGGCACAGACACACCACGTCTGGGGAGAGCAGGCTCTTGGAGTGGACTCTTGCAGGGGCGTCCACCAGGTGACACGCCTCCTCTTAGGAGCGGGGGCTATGCGGTATCACCTGGGCTGCAGTGGGCATGGGAAGGGTGTTACACCGGCTTCTGCCTGTCTCTTACGGCCACAGTGGCTGCTGGGGGCAGTGGGGGAGAGTCTGCGTGAGATGCTACCTCAGTCGATGAAGTCAGGGCCTGACTGTAGGAGGGAGCTGGGCATTTTGAGGGGAGGAGCCAGGAGGAAGAGGGAGGGTGGCAGGGCTCTCTCTTACCTGTCAGCATTTGCCACCTGAGGCGCTAAGCACAGATCAGCCATGGACACCTGCAAAGAGGGTCGGGCGGGCTTGCATCAGGGTGCGCACCCCAGACTCCCACCGGTGACAGCACTGGGGTGCTGGCCCCGGCATTCCCCTCTGCTTCTGGCTCTTCTACACCACCCCCACTGCCCCACCCCCTCCTCATCTCCCCAGGCTGGCTGGGTCTGTCCCTGCAGCTGAAGCGCTTCTCCCAGGCTACAGTGCAGTTGCGCTGACAACCAACTCTGTGGGTAGCCAGAGAAGGCTCGATTGCCTTAGTGGATGTTACTGTGCTTGTTCAAAATTGCCACCACAGGCACTTAGTGAGGGCTCCCAGCAGGGAGGGAAAGCCTCTGCGTGCAGGTGGGGGACTCTGGAACCAGAATTACCATAGAGCCAGGGCCTTAGCCTGTAGGAGTCAAGGGCACCTGAATCCTAGAATCCTAGCATTGGAAGGGAATGGAGACATCACCTAGTCTGATCCCTCATCTGATGGCTGGACCACCTCCTCATCTCAGAGATGAGGTCTTCAACTTGAATACCTCCAGCAATGAGAAACTCACTTCCTCTTGAGGCAGCTGACCAGGAAGGGGCTGAGAAGCTCCCCGTGAGCTAACTTCTGCTTAACACAGAGAGGACGACCTTGGGTTGCTGACTCCCCACCCTTGCTACAGCTGCCTCCTCAGGAAGCTCTCTGAGCTGTGCCTGCCCTGGGCTGGAGGGAGGTAGCTGAGTCTAAGTGGAAGACAGTGGCAGCCTGAGGTAGGCCTGAGGGAGGAGGCCACCCCCATGGGCCTGGGGAGAGCTTACCTCATCTCCCACACAGTACTTCCCCGCTGTGCTCTGCAGGATCTGCTCCAGAGCTAGAGGGAAGCAACATGAATACTCTAAGGGGAGAGCAGCCTTTCTGGGCCTTGGTGCATAGCTATGACATGGCAGCTAGCTGAGTGGCAGGCTGGAGTGTGTGCTAGAGGGAACACGGCAGTCAGATCTGGAGAGAGGTGATGGGCACATGGGGATAAGATGATGCCTCCCTGTGCTCTGCAAGTTCAGCTACCATTCCCTCCTCTGAGGGGACAAGGCCTGCCACTGGCCAAGGCAGCAGTTCTCACACCGATGTGCTGACACTTTGCTGGCCCTGGCTTCCTGCCTGGAGTGGGCAATGGAGCAGAATTGGGCCATCCATCTCCAAAAGGCCTCAGGCATGAGGTTCCCAGAAGTGCCAGGGGTTGAGGCCAGGTTGGATTCTGCCCAGTCCACTGCCTCCTCGTCCCTGCCCCCCCGCCCCATCCATGCCACTGCCAAGGCCAAAGAGCCCAGGAGGCTGCCAGATGCCAGGGCCCCCAGTGTGAGGGCCATTTCTCTAAGAGGTCACCAGGGGGCAGCTCACAGGGGCAAGGACTCACCATTAAAGCCAGAACTGATGGCCTGCTGGGCCCAGGTCAGCTGGTTCTCCTGTCCCACTTGCTTCAGGACAGACAGGTTCTGTGTAGCCCAAGAAAAATCTGGGATGAGCTTTGGGAGCCAGGCTGAGCCCGCGCACTCAGCCAAGTCCCCTCAGGTGAGCTTGGTTCTCATGTGTCCCTGGCTGTACACCTGTCCTACCCTGGACCCTGTGAGCTCCCACCCTGTGGGCCCTGAGGTGGAAGGGAGGTGATGATCCCAGAGGCCACTTTCTCTGGCTGCCCTCGTGGCCCCTATCCCTCTGGCAGAGATGTGTAAGGGTGGAGGCACAACCCAAGGCCTCTCTCCATTGCATCCAATGCTTCTCCCTGACATGGTCCCTTGTGAGGAGAGGGAGTGTGACACAGGGTTGCGGAGGGCAGCATGGGGGAGGCACATAGGATTGCCTTTCAGGAGATTTGGATGTCTGTCTGCTTCAACTTCCTCTGTTAAAAAAAAAAAAGTGACATGGGGCGGGGGGCCACAGATACACAGTCAGGGGGTCTGTCACACTTAGGGTGACTCTGCAGTCACTCCACCTTTCTGGAGCTATTTCCTTACTTGCAAAGTCAGGGATTAGCACAGATGAATTTTTTTTTTAAACAGATGAATTGTTTTAATACTTTTTTGTTTTACCAGTGAAAACTTACCAGAAAAATCTTAGGAGAATCCCAATCTATGACACAGAACAGGTGAAAGGAAGGCTGCTCTGGTTAAAGGCGGGAGGCGGGGACATGCGCTGCTCAGCCTCTCCCTGCCACCTGGCCCTTTCCCCACCTTGGCAACTCAACTACGGACGTGTCCTTGGAAACCTGGGGCTTCCCAGAAGGCGGCTGGCGTCCCAGGGAGTGGATGCTTTCTGGCCTCCCTCCTCCCTCTGCCACAGGGGCCAGGGCCAAGCCCCTGAGAATCCCCTCTGTCCTCCTGCCACCCCGCAAGGCACCTCACGGTGGGCTGGCCAGGGTGCACGTGCATGCGGAGGGGAGAGTGCATGCGTGTGGGGATGCGAAGGTGAGAGGCGTGTGAGGGAGAAAGCGCACGGGAGCCGCACCTGCAGGGGCTGGATGCCGCTGGCCAGGAGGTGGGAAATCATGCGCACGTGGGCCCTCTTCTTTGGGTCCTGAGGCAGGAGTCGCGGCGTGGGCCGGGTCTCCTCCAGGTACTCAATGATGGCCAGCTGTCCGGAGGCGAGCCGTGAGGCAGGGACCATGGGGGGACTGTAAACTCCTCTTCCTCCCCCACTTCCAACACCACCATCGTCACCACCCCCCTTCTTACCCTTCTTACCATCCTCCCCTTGAGCCCTGTGAAGCCAAGAGGCTCCCCAGGAGGATGAGATCATTTTGGACCCTTGTTCTACAGAACTTAGTCCCCCATATGCTTGAGTCTCCCTTCACTTCCCAAAGCAAGCAAGCAACCTTCCTCCCTCCCCCACTCGTCCCTGCTGAGAGCTGGGTGCCCTGGGCAGACACAGGCAAGGAAGAGCTACGAGGTCCTCTTGCTCAGGGCACCACGCTCATGAGGGGCCTCCCAAAGCCGCCACTCACTGACTGGCCAATGGTGATTCCATCAATCTTCAGGGCTGGCACCTGCTTCATGGGATTCAGGGCCTGGAATTCTTCAGAGAACTGTGGAGACAAGGCCCTGGTGGACTGGCAGCCTGGCCTGAGCTGGCTAAAGCAGAGTCTGGCAAGCAGGAAGCCCTTCGCCTACTGCCCACCTGTACCTCCCTCCCCTGGGAAAGGCCCTGGCTCCTAGGCCCAGGGTGACACCTGGGGGATCTGTGAAGTATCCTGAACCCCAGTGGCTGCTGAGATACAGGTTTCATCCCAGTGGCCCAGCTATGTGCTTGTCCCTGCACCTTATATGTGGTCAAGGCACATCCAGAGGGCCTGGCATGCGGCGAGGACCCGCTCACCACCCACACTTCTGGAGCCAGACATGGAGAGGCCAGGCTGTGGTGCGGAGCCTGGAACCTGGGCCCTTCCCATGGCTCCTCTTGCTGCACAGCTGGCCGCCCTGTCCCACAGGGCAGGGCCAGCAGCCTCCTCTGGCCATGGGGACCACAGGGCGCATGCTCATCTCTTGCCTGCAGAAGTCTGCACCCCCTGCCGGGCCCCTCTCCAAGGCCTCTAACTCCTACATTGTGGCCTGGGGGCAGCCTCCTTACCTGCTGCCCCCCATCCTTTGTGAGGTTGATGGTTATCATCTCATAGTCCATGTTTTTCAAGGCCAGAGCTAGGAGAGACAGCAGACAAGTCAGTGACAGCCTCTGACCACACTTCCCAGGGTGACGAGAGGGAAGGAGGCTTCTTTCTCCACACTGCTGGGTAGCCCTGTCACCTTCTTCCCAACTTCCTGGATCACCACCCGCTCCCCTACCCCAGGGCCATGATGCTCTGCCTCTCTTGCCCCTGGACTCTCTGTATCCCCAGCGGACCTCTCATGCCTCTAGGTGGTGCTATGAGGGTGTGTGCCCTGGCCCGCTGAGGGCTCCTGGAGGACAGCAGGGAAATGTCCCCTTCATCTCTGCCCCTGGCAGGGCCTTACCCAGTGGCAAGCAGGGCTTATTTGTTGGAAACATGCAATCATTCCTCCATAAAGGTCATCTGAGGGCCAAGGGAAGGTGCTCAGTGACTACGCAGGGCCCACACAGGCAGAGGACACTCTTGTTCTGTTTAGAGGAGAACCCCTTTCTAATCCATTCTCTCTGTTCTCAGGGCTGTTCACTACAGATCCCAAGGCATCAGGGCTCTCTGGTGACCTCAGCACATCTGCTGTGACTCCCAGTGGCTGGATTTCCTCTCCATCTCCTTTGATGTTTTCCTCCCAGCAAGGTGAGGGCAAAACACTCGGTCAACCCTAGTGGAGGAGACTGTGTGTGTAAGTGTGCACACTTGTGCCTTAAAATATGGCGATGGCCGGTATCAGGCAAATGAGTGAGGGGAGGAGCGCAAGACGTGTCACAGTCTGCAGGCAGCCCAGGAGATGCGGGGCTCCTCCTCAGCGCCGGTCAGCTCCACCCTGGAGAGTGGAAGTGGTTGGGGCCAGGCAGGAGGCCAATGCATGGTGGCCCTGCAGAGACAGTGCCCACGCTGCTGGTCTGGCCCCGTCAGGGCAGAGGCTCTGGGCCCAGGGAGGGCGTCTTCTTGGAGAAATGTGTCCTCGGGCACCCCAGTGCTCTTGCCTACTGATTCTAGCAAATACCAAGTGACTGTGGGAGGGGGAGGGTCATGAGGATGGCTTCCGAGTCAGGAACAGGCTCCTGGCAGCAGGCTACCTGGGTTTAAATGTCATCACATTCACTTGCTAGCTGTGTGGCCCTGGACAAGTAACGTCAGCCTCTGTGCCTGTTTCCCCATCTGACAGGCAGCATAGGTAGTAAAGAGCATGGACTAGCTGGAGCTAGGCTAGCTGGTTCAGATTCCAGCCCTGCCTCTTACTAGCTACATGATCTTGGGCAAGTTACTTAACCTCCCTGTGCCCCAGTTCTCCCACCTGTACAACGGTGATGATAAGAATACCTCCCTCCCAGGGTCGTTGAGGTTTAAGTGGAGTCATGTACACAAAAACACTCAGCACTGTTCTCTTTCTGTACGAGCTGCTATGACTATGACCTTGGCCGAGGGCTGACTTAAGCTGAGGGACAGAAGGGTTGAACCAGGACTAAACCAGAGGGCCCAGTTTCTCCTTCCCTGAAGCCTCTGGGGTCCACACTGGCCAGCTCTGTTTAATTTGCCAGATCAAATAAGATAAGAACTGAGGAAGGCCAGCTGTTCCCTGCCAGTTACCAAGGATCTCTGGATTCTGTGAGCCTGCCTGAAGCATGGTTGCTAAGGGGCTTTGGAGAGCAGAGTGGGAGAGGTGGCAGGCCCAAGAGAAAAAACACCCCTCCCCCCCTTCCTCTAGTTGGACTTCCGAGGTGGAGGTGCCATTCAAGGCTGAGGGCTCCAGGAGACTGGGGATGCTGTGGCTGGTGCCCTGTCTGACAGAGGCTTTTCACCCAGGCCTCCCTCCACCCCATACCACCCAACTCCAGCTCTCGGTGGAGGTACAGCCCTTACCAATTCGAACTCTCCATGAGCAGGAGCTTCGGAAGTAGGAATAGAGGATGGGCTGAGGAGAGAAGACGAGGATGCATGTTAACCCATGCTTGGTGGGTTCTCAGCCCCAGGAGCCCACTGGAGGGGAGGCAACAGCTCCCAGCCAGGGGTTTCCAAGCCAGCACTGTTTCTTCCCAGCCTGCTAGGCCTCCTTCCTCAGGCCTGCGTCTGGAAAACTCAGGCCAGACTCAGAGCTCTCTGGGTTAGAGGCCTTGGGAGTCATGTGGGGTCCCTCAGCTCCAAACTGTGCCGTCATGCATTCCTGATGTCCAGGGGGCCCCCAAAGGGGCAGCCAGACTGCAAGTGCCCTCCTTACCTTCCTAGATTCAGCCATGATGATGTGGTGACCCTTGGCCTCTCAGGGAATGTCCCCTCCCACAGAACTGGGGGCAGGGGGAGGAACCCTAAAGGGGTGGATCCCATGAGCCAATGGGGAAGCTGGGCTAAACAGGCGTCAGGAGAACTTTGACTCTGGTCAGAAAGGGCATCTCTTTCTAATCTGGGGGAAGCTTTTTATGCTTCTGGTGGAGTCAGGTCTGGTGTCCTGGGCAGACAGCGGGGCCTGGTTTTGAAGCAGTAGTTCATGTGGTGCAGTGGGCTGGGAGCTGGCATACTGGGAGTCTGGTCCCAGTGCAGGAACTAGCCCCGCATGACTGGGGACAAATCCCTACCTTCTCTAGTCTTCAGCTCCCTCATCTGTAAAACGAAGGGTTGCCCTAAAATGATAGCTTATTTCCTTCCAACAGTGGCAGAAAGACCAGGAAATCTAGTTTTCTGCGCTTTGGTGCCCATCTCTTTCAACATTCCACCCACCAGTCCTCCAGACTCTCAGCTGATCTCATAAAAATAGCATCTGGAAAACTCAGGCCACACTCAGAGGGGGGAACTTTCCTGGCGGTCCAGAGGTTAAGACTTTGCCTTCCAATGCAGGGGGTGTGGGTTCGATCCCTGGTCAGGAAGCTAAGATCCCACATGCCTTTCAGCCAAAAAACCAAAAAACATTAAAAAAAACCCAGAAGCAATATTGTAATAAATTCAATAAAGACTTTAAAAATGGTACACATCAAAAAAAATCTATAAAAAAAAATAGCTGGGGAATATGCCCACTGACTCCAAAGCTGAGGTCATAAGCTGGCAGCCCACAGTGTTCTGTTTGGTCTATACTGTATTTAAAAATGTTTCAATTCATTGCTAACATTAAAAGTCACATTGTTTCATATACAAATCCTGTTGTCTGTTTTTTCTTAAAAAAAAAAAATCTGGAGATAGTGAACTCAGTTTCCTGAGGAGCAAAATTGATCAGAGCCCATTAATGGCCCCCTTTAGAGAGGGCATGCCCTCTCAGATCTGCCACGGCCCCCACCTCGTCCACTTCTCTCATTTTTGTTACTCTGAGGCCCCTGAAAGCAGCAGGGTGTGTGACCTCTCCTCTAAAGTTTAGGGGACTCACCAAGCTGCTACCTGACCTTGCTTTCATCATCCCTGAACTACCAACTCCATCTTCGACTCCACCTTCTACGTGGGCAAGGGCACAAGTTGGAACCCAGTCCCTCCCAAGTTAGTTCCTGACCCTGGGAGTTCCAGTCTATTCTGAAGGCAACTTTCGTGGGGAAAGTGAAGATAGTTCTGGCACAAAGGTCAAGTGATAGGCAGCAGGCGTTCTTGGAGGGAGAAGAGTTCGTAGGCCACAACTGGATGTACCCTGTTCCAGGGTGCATCCCTTTCCTTATTTGGTTAGGCTGGAGGGGCCCCTGGGGCCAAGAGGCAGCTACACTGAAACAGAATGGAACCACTAGAGAGCTGAAGACATCAGCTTAGAATCCGTAAAGAAATGCCTTACCTAATTATTAAATGTTACACCTTTGACCTAGACTAAGGGTGACCACAGAATCACTGTAAATGCCCTGCTCTCAGGTTTCTTATTTATGGGCCATCAGGAGATGTAATGGAGAGCGGTTTCTGATCTTTCTCTTACCAATGATAACTGCATAAACCATCCCATGTTCCTTTTTGCATTTGTAGGGCTAAATTTTAAGCCCAAGTAAAATATCTGTTTCATCACCACTCCTGGAAGAATTGTTTGTAATTCAAATATGGATTGTCACCACTCTAGCAGATTTTATTTTAAAACCATCTCTTACACATGATCTTCGAGAAAGACTCCTAAACTCCTATTTGGGAGTGGGAGGGCTATACACTGTTAAAGTGATGCTATATCCCACCTGATGGGCCTGCCACCTTCCTCTGAGCTACAATAGCTGTTCTCAATCTTTAATAGAGATTGATAACAATGGTTCTGGGGTTGGTCCTGGGAAATACAAATTAAAACTGGTAATAAGGTCCCCAAGTGATTGTGATGACTGTAAGTGCCACAGTTTCCCCTCACCCCTGGCGCTCTCTCAAAATGCAAACAACCCTGAAAGGCCATTTAACTGTTAAGAACTCCCGGGCCGACCGGCAGGGCTGTGCGGAACAGGGAGACGAGGGACGACGCTCGGAAGCCCTAGCAGATTGAATGGGGTTGGGGGTGGGTGGAGAGAGAGATGAAGAGCAAGGGTACAGCCACCAAACCAAGTCAGGTACTCTCCACGAGGACCCTGCACCTCGCGCCCAATCCTCTCGGGATCACAGGCCACAGCGGGTAGCGCGCAGGTGCAGAGCGGTGCCAGCGCGGCGCATTGCATGCTGGGAGTCCCCGTAGGAGCTGTGGGCGGGGCCGAGCGGCTCCCTTTGACCCCCGCCCCCCAAGATTTCTCCGTGTTTCTAAGAAGAGCCTCTCTCCCCTGATGCGTGACACAGACCTTCCCCACTTGCATCTCGCACTCTGGGCGACCCCTCTTCCAGGCCAGAAAACTTCGCGCCTGCGACTCTCCGAGTCGTCGACGATTCAGGCCCAGTGAGACCCCGACACGTCAGAACTTACGTTTTCGTCTCGGTAAAGCTAGGGCTTGGACTAGAATGAACTTTAAGGTCTCTTCTAGCTTGCCCCGCCCTACCGCCACGCTCCCACTCCTGGCGCTGCTGGGAATTGCAGTTCCGTGAGCCCGCTTTCTCCCGGGCCCGCCCGGACGTCATGCTCTGCGCCCCTAGCCGCCTCCTAGCGGCCCGGGCGGCGACCGCGCTCCCCTTCCAGCCCAGAGTCCGGGGTAGGGAACTACATTTCCCAGGGACCCCGCTGCCGGCGCAGGGAACTACATTTCCCAGGGCACCCCGAGCCGCCGCTTGGTGACTTATTGGTGGGGCGGCTCGCAAGACCCAGCGTGCTAGCGGGCCGGAGGGCCATCCTGAGGAGGGGAAGGATGCCGCCGGCCGTAGGCGGAGGCCTGGCAGGGTCCGAACTGCGTCCCCGGAGGGGCCGCTGTGGGTCCCAGGCTGCTAGGGCCGTGGGCCCGGACGTGGCCACCGAGGCTACAGCGCGGAGCCCCAAACGGCCTGCTCCGAGCTCGCGGCGCTTCGAGGCGCCCGGCCGGTGGGCTCTGCTGGCCCTGGTGACGCTGATGTCCTTCGCTACCCGCTTCCACCGTCTGGACCAGCCGCCGCACATCTGGTGAGTGATGGGAGGGACTGGGCAGGCACCATGGCAACTGGGAGGGAGGGGCGCGCCTTCTCATTGGTCTGGAGGCACGGAGAGGGCGGGATTCATAGGTGGAGGGGCGGGGCCGCGCTGGAGGTGAAACAGGTTTCTGGTGGTTGGCTCTGCCCAGGTGCAGTCTCCGTGAGAGAAATCTTTTTGCTCCGGTGTGTGTGAGAGTGGGATTTCCTTAGGATCTGAGGAAGCAGTCTTCGTGTCTTGCAGGCTATGCTGCAGCGTCTCACCTGGCTCTCAAATGGTAGCTTTTAAAGGTGCCTTGAACTGACCCAGGAGAATTGGAAATTCTTAGTACAGAATTTCCTAAGGCCTGAGTTCCTAATCTGCAGGATTTCCAGACCTCCACGGAGGGGAACATTCCTATCTGAGTACCACATTCTCGGGAGCCAGAACAACCTGTGTGTCCACGAATGATAACAAGGGTCCCAGGAAGCAGGTCTGGGGGCATCCTGTGAGGATGTATTTTCTTAAAGGCTTTATTTTGTAGGACTAAGGTGCAGGAGTCAAATTTCGTTAAAAAAAAGCCTTAAAAAGTCTCCAGCTCGAAGGAGGAAAATTTTTATACAGATTGAAAATGGTTAATTTGTTTGGCCAAGACGTGATACCATGTTTTCTCAGTATCACTGAGGAGAAAGTGTAGAGGTTGTTAGAAATGGAACTCCTTGACTAAAAAGCAAGCAGGCTAACAAACTGTCAGGGTTACCCTACTTGGAAGTTAATGAATTAGCTTGTTACTATTTCATGAGTGCTGGCGGAAGATGTGAGACTCCTGGGTCAGAGTCAAAAGACTTATTACTCGTAGCAGAGGAAGCAGGATGAACATCGGCCTATTGGATTCAGTTTCTCATGGCTCCAAAGTCCCACGGGGTGACGCTGTGGGCTCAGATGGATGACTGCACACATTGTGCGTTGCCTTGCAGCTAAGGAGCAACAAGCTTGGGGAATTTACAAAAAGCAAGTGTACTTTTTGCCCTGGAGAGAGATGTTACCTCATCTCTCAAGGCTGCTTGGTGCAAACACAACTTTGGGAAATGGCCCAGGTAAAGTGCAGTCAAGGCCCTGCATTCTCCGCATGCCCAGCAAGGTGTGTGGAAGTACAAGAGACCCATGGAGGACTGTCTCTCCCAACAGTCTCACTCCTTGATTTTACACTTTCTTGGCTTCTAGCAAATTTTCACATGAATGTGCAACTCCATTGGCTACTCGGATTAACCTGGCTGAGGCAGGGACCCAGTCTGTTTAGTTTGTCTCATACAACATTTAATTAAGGCTACTCTCACCAGGAGTCAAAACAGCAGGGTGGGGCTTCCCTGGTGGCGCAGTGGTTGAGAGTCCGCCTGCCGATGCAGGGGACACGGGTTCGTGCCCCGGTCCGGGAAGATCCCACATGCTGCGGAGCGGCTGGGCCCGTGCGCCATGGCCGCTGAGCCTGCGCATCCGGAGCCTGTGCTCCGCAACGAGAGAGGCCACAACAGTGAGAGGCCCGCGTACCGAAAAAAAAAAAAAAGAAACAGCAGGGTGAGGCCAACCTGTGGTGTTAACGTGTGCCCTCCAGGGTGCTGGAGTGGGGTGGGGAGGGACCAGGAAAGTCTTATTTCAGATAGCTGAGATGTAGTCTAAGGCCAGTTTGTTATCCATTATAGTCTGTACACAGGTGTTTAGACTGACCTCTGATTTTTGATGTCACTGCCAATAATTACAATGAGTTCTCCCATTTAAAAAGCAACTCCCATGCCCAGTGGAAAGACATTCCATAGCATATTCTTCCCTGCATTCTAATATATTACCTGAAGGGGTGCAGATCACTCCAGTTCAGGATTTTTTGTTAAATATTATTTGGATTTCCATCAGCTTTGATTTAGATCATCATTACAGTGATTTGGTTAAGCCCCACGGGCAGTGAGAGTCACTGCGTCGTTGCAGCCTCAATCACTATACAAGGCATAACCTAAGGTCCCTAGGGTGTCAGGAGAAGCTTATGAATTTATATCAGTCATACTAACAGAAGGTTGTGCCAGTCTGTGTTTTTGCGCACATGCGAGGGAGGTCCATGTTTGGAGTTAATGTTGATGTCGTCAGGGACATGAGGATAGTTCAAGACCGGCCATGTCCACATGAGTTTTTCTGGTTTCATAGTGGAATAACAGAGTCAGCAATAGGTCAGATTGCTAGCTACAGCTGCCACTGACTTAGTTGAACCGTGTTAGTATTTTGCCAGGCTGGGTGCTGGGCCTAGGAGGCAAAGAGAGCATTAATTATTTCCCTTCTCTTTACATTTCCAGGGGCCTAAGATGTTCCTTCCCCAGGTGGAAAGGTTGTTTGTTTCCTCCCACTGCCATATAATCAGTGTGTCCCACTCTAGTACCTGTAATTTCACCTTTACTCCAACTATTGCATACTAATATCCAGAACTTTCTGTCATGGGCACTGTCAGAAACTTGACAGAGACTTATTATGTCTCCCATCTTGGTCCATGTGAGCCACTGTAGCGGGACCTCACAAGCAGTGTGCTCAACCAGGTGATCTTTATGCACTAAAACCACGTCACTCCAACAAGAAAACCCAAGTGACTGAGCTGGAATTAAGTTTGAATCCCATAAATCCCCAACTGCACCCCCAGGCTGATCCAGAATTGCTGTTAGGGGAGACCAGTCGAGCCCAGGAATAGTCAAGGAAGAATCTCAAATTTTCAAAATAGGTTTTTATAACCTTCCACCCCTTTTGTTCTGATCATTACCCAGTTGGTGGCCGAGAGGAGATGAACACCTAGTTAGGTGACCAAACTACTTGACTAAGGTGTGTGAACAAGGAGGAAGGTGAGGGAAGTTGACTCAGAAATCTTTTTGAGAAGACTGTTCAGTGCTCGACAATATCAGATACCCGTGGATGGTCTGGAGTGTGGAATGTCATCAGATTTTTGGCTATTCAGCCATTGCAAAAAAAAAAAAAAAAAAGATGTACCGTTGTTAGACTGTAGATGGTTTGGAAAGCTGAAAACACAACACGGTTTAGTTTCAAGGGCCGCAGTGATATATCTAGAGTCAGGTGATTGGGCTGGAACAGCATCATCAGCACTAAGCCAGACGGTGTCAACAGCAGTGGGGCACCCGTGATAGCCTGGAACGCGGAACAAAGTCCGAGTACAATCAGTGTCCTCGGAGTGGCCAGTACCCCACGCAATGTGGCTTCCTTTACTGCAAGACAAACGTGCCAACTTTTGGCAGGAGTCACAAGTTACCACAATGTAGCAATGGCTTCTGCTTTGGAGACGTATAGTCCTTTACTTTGTGCCCAGTCCATGGTGGTAGACGTGTTTCCATGCCTGGTGTATTGATGTATGCAGGTGGCAATGGCAGCAGTCTGGATGGTGCAGGTTTGATCAGCAGCTTGATTCTAATCAGTCTTATCAGAATACTGGCCCTTACTGGGGGCATCTACAGGAGTGATCCAGATTGTCCCATTGGCAGGCAGCCATGATTTTTTCCCACAGTTCTTGGCTTGGAAGAGGGGTGTTTTACATTTCTTAGTATATAGCCTTACAAGTGACACACCAGATGGTTAGGCCAATGGCAAAAGCCTAAGGGAAAATAAAAGTATAACTTGTCTGTTTCTTAGGAGTATTGTCTAAGGCAAGGGTGATGACTTTCAATTCAGTGCATTGTGCCAATCAACCCTTATTGCAGTCGGTCTTCCAGAAACGTCAGTGGGGCTGGATGATAGCTATTGCCCTGTGGACACCATCTGCTTTTAATTTAGCCTATAACCATCAGTGAACCAGGCACAAACATTAGGAGGAACCTCTGGGAATCAAGATCCCACTGAGTCAGCGGCTTTGCTTCAGGTGGTGGAGTGGAAGATAGTTTCTTCCAAAGGGGCAGCTGCCACCTCTTCTTGAAAAACCAAGATGCCTCTAGGGCCAGGCCGGCTATACTCTTGAATATACCACTTCCATTTCACCAGCGAGGCTTGTCGAGCCTTTCTGTCGTTAGTCATAGATTTCAAGTTGACCCACCCCAAAGTGACAGTATCAGGCCAAAGAGTCCTAAGGTCTTCATGGTTCAGGCCCTCAAGTTCAACAAGAGCTTAGTAGAGGGTGACAGTTGCCCCTTTAAAAGGGTGTGTACTTGGTGCCTATGTCCAGCAGATGGCGCTGTCATGGAGCTCTCCAAGCCTCCCTCCCCAACCCCTCGCCCCGAAATTCCATCTTTAAAGCTGTAATGTCCCTTTCTCGTCTTGTGATTTATATTATTTCTGTAGGACCACTTGGGAGGGGACAGGATCACCTCTCACTAAATTAGCAGTCTCTCAATGGGATAATCTTGGACACATATGGGATAAATACGACTATGCCTTCAGCAGTGGGAGACACAACAGTAGTTGCAAGGGCCCTACCCACAAGGCCACTTTCCCTTCCCGTCCCCGCTGGGAACTTGGCTCAGACCCTATCAGTTGAATTTGGGTGCTTTTTCCCCTTTCAACTAACAAGTCTAATAGGCCTGCATCAGGAGCTATAATGACAGCCACCTAGAGGTTATGCCATTCCCAGGTGGGAGGTGTGGCGAGTGCTGGATGCAGGGCGCAGGAGGAGGCCTTTTTGCTCCTTCAGCCCCTCAGCAGGCTTGGCACCACTTCTTCCCAGTCTGCTTTCCTGTGTCTGGTGAGCACCTGGGCTTAGGGGCTTTTTCTTTCAGTCCCTGTACACACTGCTATGGTCCTCCCTGCAGTCCTCGGCACCTTTGGTAATCCCTGTGCCTAGCAAATCCTCTTACTCCAAGGGATTGAGTAGGGTGCTCCTGTATCCAGTAGGACTTTGAGCTTGAGTCCCTCTTCTCCCCAGAGTTTCCCACCACACTAGGATGGGTGTGTATGGCCTTTAGTCCCCTTTAGGGACAGGGAGACCTTAGCCCCACCTGTAATCATCTTACTCTTTAAAGAAGCTGAGATTGTGCCAGAGGGGGAGGGGTCATGGGACACGGAGGGAGTGGCTCTGAGCCTCTAAGCAAGGCACACCTTTAGCTTGAGCACACAGCTCACCCGAGAACCTTTTAATGTTTTCATTTTACCCAGAGTTCTGCGTTGAATAGCAAGGTCCTTACCGCTGGCACCATATGTAAGCACTGGGGCCTCCTAGATTCATCAGCCCGTCCATCTTGCCTTTTGGCTGGGGCTGCTTAGCTTATTGCCCCAGGGTTGTGATTATATCCTTTCCTCCTTTTGCCCAGAAGGCCGTGGGCAGTAACCAAGGCAGCATTCAGACAGTTTGTTTCAATCCTGCCTCTCTCCCCTCAACCGCATTCATAGGCAGGACAGTGGGGGATTCTTACTACCTGCCTTCCCCACCACTTGGGCAAGAGCATTCGCTACCAGATTCCAGGGAGTCTTCCCTTATCCCCTAACCCAGTCCATGATGGCCCTTGTCCTTTCTCTTAAGGAAAGCTATGACTCAGCATCCTATGCTTGTCACCGAAGCTGTCAGGGTTTGGGGTTTTATTTTTATGCTACTTGCCAACTAATGAGTTAGCCTGTCATTGTTTTATGGATGCTGGCAGGAGACAAAGTCCTAGGTCACAGACAAAGGCCTTTATTTCTCACAGCACAGCAAGCAGGATGAGCATCAGTATGTTGGCATCAGTTCCCCTTGCCCCCAGTGTCCCATGTGATACCCTGGGTCTGGATGAATGCCTGCACATGCAGGGGGTTGAATCACAGCTGAGGAGTATTGATCTTGGGGAATCCGCTGTTTTATAATAAGCAGTAAACAAGACTGCTCTCTGTCCCAGAGGGAGACGTGGTGTCTTCCTCAAGGTTGCTGCAAGCATAACCCTGAGAAGTGGCCTGAGTAAAGAGCAGCCAGGACCTTGCATTCTTGGCATAGCCTGCAAGGTCTGTAGAGCAAGAGAGAGCCAGAGAAGACTGTCCGTCCCACCACAAACACGCAGTAAAAGCCAAGAGGAAGTGTGACTATTGCTACTAGTTTTACTTGAAGTAAAAATCTTACACCCCTTTATCAATATGTTTCCAAACAGACTTCAAAACTAACCACAAATGTTGGGACAGTTTAAATAGTGCCCAGCATGTGTGGGACATTATAGTCTGCAGAGTTCTTTCCCATGTGTTACCTGATACCTGCCTCCCTGCGAGGTGGACTGGCGGATGCTACTGTTGTCTTCATCACGTAGATGAGAAAAGAGATCCGGAGAGGGTGAGTGATTTTGCCGGGTCATGCTCCCACAGTGGGTGGCGGAGCTGGGACCGGATCTCTCTTTTTTCTGCAAATGTATTTTGTCACACTGCTTGGAAGTTATTTTTCTGTTTGACATCGCCATGTCACTGTCCTCATTTCATGTCAAGCCATGTGCTTAGCAGACGCAGAAGTAGATTTACCCTTCTGCCTATTTATTAGACCCAGTGTGTAAAACACACAAACAAAAAAAAGACCCTGCATTTTTGGTAAGAGCATGTTTTGTCCCTTATTCTGTAGGACAGTGATAACTACTTACAGAAGCTGACCTGGGGATGGATAGTCACTAGAAAGCAACTGTTCTTCTGAGCTGCAGGGAGAGATTGACAAACAGAAACGGCCAGGTTCTGCTGGGTTACTAGCCTGCCGCTGTGAAGCCCCCGTGTAGGGTGTGAAAGGTTTACTGTGGTTGTGTAGAAGAACAAGATTTTTGCATTGTGTTTAAAAGCTAGTGTATTAGAATCATTTACTTGCAAAATAATTTGTAAATAATTTGTAAATAATGAGGATAGGTTTTTAGACTGGTTGTTAACTTAGTAAGAAAGCCCACACTTTTTATATACTTGTTAGTTCATTATAATAAGGTCAGTGAGTTCATAGTTAGCAGGTTAGTTATCACAAGGTTGGGAGCAAAATCAGACTCCAGGCACAACCATGGTCTATAGGCTCTTACTGATCAGTAGCCCACAGTGTAGTTTGTAACAGCAAGAGTAATGTAGTTTCTAGTGGCAAAAATAGTCTTAGGGTTAGAAGTTAGCAGACTTGGGGCTTCCCTGGTGGCGCAGTGGTTAAAAATCCACCTGCCAAGGCAGGGGACACAGGTTCGAGCCCTAGTCCAGGAAGATCCCACATGCCATGGAGCAACTAAGCCCGTGTGCCACAATGACTGAGCCTGCACTCTAGAGCCTGTGAGCCACAACTACTGAGCCCATGTACCACAACTACAGAAGCCCACGCACCTAGAGCCCATGCTCCGCAACAAGAGAAGCCACTGCAATGAGAAGCCCTTGCACCACAACGAAGAGTAGCGCCCGCAACTAGAGAAAGCCCGTGCGCAGCCACAAAGACCCAATGCAGCCACAAATAAATAATAAATAAATAAATAAACTTACTTTTAAAAAAAAGTTAGCAGACTTGGAAGAAAACTCTTATTGCAAAACTTTTTATAGTATAGGAAACTCTTGACCTTTTTAAAATAAATCGAAACTCAAGATACAGTATAAGTATAGATTTAACTTAAATTTATGAAACTGGTTGGTAAGTATTTGCTAGCCTTTCTCCGCTGTCTAAATGAAGATTAAGGAACAGCCTGATGTCTTGCTTCCTCAAATCACTTGTGTCAAAAGCTTTTTTTTTTTTTAATCCAGATTTTCTCATTAACTGCTTGAAACTTATAACCTTTGGTTTTAACTGTAATTTTAACCATGCTTTATTAAGGCTGTTTGGGTTGTATGATAATTTTAAGAATTTCATTTCTCTTTCTGTTTTCTTTTTAGTTGGGATGAAACTCACTTTGGAAAAATGGGAAGTTACTATATCAACCGCACCTTTTTCTTTGATGTGCACCCGCCTCTGGGAAAGGTGAGCGGTGTGGTGAATGACAGTGCTCTCCTAAGAGTTGGAGCCAAGTCTTAGATTTGGATTTAATTCTTGGGCTTGTAGAAAGAATTCCCTGACATTCCAGAACAGCTGCTTTCATGGGAAACCTTTGGTGTTTTTAGGAGTCCTCTGGGCTCAGAAATGGAGAGAGATTCCACCAACTGATGGATGGATAAACAAAATGTGGTATTATCTATACAATGGAATATTATTGAGCCATAAAAAGGAGTGAAATATTGACACATGCTGCAACATGGATGAGTCTCATAAACATTATATTAAGTGGAAGAAGTCAGACATAAAGGGCCACATATTATATGTTTCCAGAATTGGCAAATCCACAGAGACAGAAACTAGATTAGCAGTTGCCAGGGTCTGGGGGGAGGGAGGATTGGGGAGTGACTGTAAATGGGTGTGGAATTTCTTTTTGGGGTGATGAAATAGTCTGGAATTAGGTAGTGGTGATGGTCGCACAACCTTGTGAATAAACTAAAAGCCACTGAATTGTACACCTTAAAATGGTGAATTTTATGGTATACGAAAAGAAAAAGAGATGGAGAGAAGGAATGTGTTGCATAAAAAGCAGAAATAGCTTAGGGGAGCTGACTGTCCACAAGGGCCTGAAACTCCTTCCCACTCCCCGTTCCCAGCGTGCACGTTGTTTGGCTTGTTCCTTTCACATGATGTACAATTAGAAATTCCACCAATCAGAATTCATTTTACTCTCTTAAAAACAAACACCCCCGAGAAGGCTAATGGATTAGCCTTGGCATTTCGCTCACTCCTTTCTTCCTAACTGGAGGCTGAGCTCTCTGGTACTAAGGCGACAGGAATTTGCCTGGTATGAAGATGAGGAGTGTTCTTGGAGCATGGAGTACTTGGGGATGAAGGCAGGGGGTGAGGGGTGGCAGGGGTGGTGACTGTGACAGGTGGGCTTAGGGGGAAAGCACCAGAGCATGGGGTAGGGACCAGGGGCAAGGCCCTGCAGGTGGGAGGGGTGGAGAGGAAGGTGGGATAGGTGGCCTCTTCCTTCCTTCCTTCCTTCCTTCCTTCCTTCCTTCCTTCCTTCCTTCCTTCCTTCCTTCCTTCCTTCCTTTCTTCCTTTCTTCCTTTCTTCCTTTCTTTCCTTTCTTTCTTTCAGGGTCTCAGTTGTGGCATGTGTGATCTGTAGTTGCAGCATGTGGGCTCTTAGTTGCGGCATGCAGGATCTAGTTCCATGACCAGGGATCGAATCCGGGCCCCCTGCATTGAGAGCGTTGAGTCTTAACTGCTGGACCACCAGGGGAGTCCCTAGGTGGCCTATTTCAAAATTAGCTCCGAGCCCAGAGAAGGAGCAAAATATGTAATGCCTCTTTCTGTCTCCTTTATAAGATAACAACAATAAGATTGGAGCAATTGAACAGTCTCTTTTAGTCACTTTAGATGCATTAACTTATATAATGCTCAGGACAACCTTATGAAGTAGGTACTGTTGTATCCTCATGTTACGGAAGGGGAAACTGGGACTCAGAGACGATAAGTAGTTTGCCACAGGGATTAAAGCTAGTAAGTGGCAGCTGGTAAGGTTCAGACTGGCTTAGAGTCTGCTCTGTTAACCATTATACCACTGCCTGATGAACTTGCCTTGCCCCAGTATTCGGGCAAGTACATCTGTTACCGCTGTAGAATTAAGCCACAGAACGTGCTGAATATTTGCACTGGGCTAGCCTGGGACCCAGCCCGCCAGTAGAGGAGGAAACCTAGCCCAGTCTTTCATCTGGGGACTGCCTGTCTGTTTTTGGAGTCTGCTAGTGCTCAGCACAGTGAAGGCGTGTGGAAAACACTTGCTGATTTGTTTTTGCTGAAGCCTTCCCTTCCTCACATGTGGCCCCTGTGTGGAGGGAGAAATGTGAGGCTTCTTTCTAAGGCTGCCCCCAGAGAGTGTGATCCATCTGCCCCTCTAATTTATCTCCTGATGGTCCTGTGCTCTACCTGGATGAAAGAGAATGATAAGCAAAGTAGCTTTCATAGGTTCTGAGGCCAAGTCAGTCCAAGAATCAAAAAGCCCCATGAAGTGGTGAGTAGAACGTTTTCTCCTACAGTACTGACCCCAATACCTGCCTCTTCACACTGGTCCCAGCCCTGGGTGCCAGGGGCTCCAAGGAAATAGGTACTTTTAAAAGAAGTAAAAATACCTGCACGTAGCAAAAAGTTTGATCAGTACAGAAGGAAATAAAAGGTCAAAAGTTACCTTCCCTCACATTTTTATTCCTCAGAGGCAGCCAGGGTCACCTTTATTAACAGTTTCTTATATATCCTCTCAAAAACTTTATACAAATATAAGTGTGTATGCATTTCTATACACATATATATTAGCACATGGGAACAGCACATTATATATGCAAATGGAATCAGGCTAAAATTGTTGAGCAACTTGTATTTTAAACATAATATATCTTAACTTCTTTCCACATCAGTACATAAAATGTACCCCATTCTTTTTCATGGCTGTAGATTATTCCGTTATACAGTTGCGCCATAAATTATTTTGCCTCTCTTCAACTGGTGGGCATTTATGTTATTTCCAATTTTTAGCCATTACAAAAGGTAGTGCAATGAACATCCTTGTACATTTATCTTTTCATAGTTTTGCAGGTGTAGCCAAAAGAACCTCAGCGGCTGAACTAGAGTCAAATAATATGCACATTTAGATTTGTGTTAGACATTGTTAAGTTTTCCTGCAAAAATGCTGTGATAATACATACTCCCACCAACAGTGTATGAGGGTGCTTGCTTCCCTCACATCGTTGCCAGCACTGGTATGATCATACTTCCAAAATTTTGCGAATTTGAGAGTAAAAACTGGTATATCACTGTTTTCATTTGCATGTCTTTCTGAATTACGTTGAACATTTTTCCATATGTTTTTTAGCCATCTGTGTTTTGTTTTCTATGAAAACATTTTTCTAGTAAGTTGCTCTTATTCTTATTGATTTGAATGAGTTCTTTAGTTAGGAAATTAGCTCAGGGCTACTTTTAACCTTATGGAAACTGAGAGGGAACTGAATTTTGAGTGCTTGTTAAACGCTTGTCAGAGTGCTAAGTGTTTTACCTACAACATTACCTCTAAGCCTCACAACCATCTGCAAGGAAGGTTTTACTACCTGTAGGTAAGAGATTATTATGATCAGAGAGCTAGTATGGGGGGCTCTGAGATCCAAACCATCTGTGCATTTCTTCACTCTACCAGACCAGCCAAGAAGTCTGGGGATTTATGCCAGCACCAGGCGGGTCTGTCCTCTGAGATCCCAGGGGGGAAGGGACATTCATTTGATTGTCATTTGTCAGTTTAAGTTCACCTGGGTATTCGGATGGCTCTGTCTTCTCAATACCTTATATTACTTTACATTAAATTAATTAATATTAAATTAACTGGGATTAACTGGAATCTGGGATTCCTTTTTTTTTTTTTTAAATAAGGCTTCATAGTAATTTACTGCTGAACTTTGGCTTCTGTACCTTGACACAGAACTACAGAGAGTGACTGTGTTTAGAACTACTTAGAGAAAAAAGTGAGCTGGTTAGTGGTCCAAATCCAAGCCCCCACAAGCAGCATCGCTGGGAAGGGCTTTCACTCCACACAGCCAGTGTATTCTACCCCTCCACACAGCCGAACTCGAGCACAGGGGTCAGGCCGAGGCAGCCTGGGGCTGTTTCAGATGCTTGATATTTGCTGACAGTTTTTATGTTTTAGCTGCTTCTGATTACGTGTGTGGAAAAGAAAATTTTACACTGTTGACGGTCAAGGAAAGACAGAAATGAAGAGGCTGATCCTCTCGAACGTTTTGAAGGATTTACAACTCACAGTCTTAGTTTACAGTTGATTTGTTCTGTTTTGGGATGTGCCAGGGTGGCCTCCCTTTGGAATACTGGTGGTAGGAGAAACCAGTCCCTGGCCTTTTGGCACTGTTTCCACTGGGACTTCTCTCTTCCCCTCTGGGGAAATGCATCTGTGTTTGCATTCTGCTTTCCCATTTTCTTCCCTTCTCTCTATTCCTGGTGTGTAGCAACTTGGCCACTTTCCTCCCTCCTCATTCTGACTTGGAACCTCATTTTCTTTTCAGTGGCCCAGTCTCCCAGGAATCAGCCCCTGCCCATGGCCTCCCCCATGAGCTGTCGTGTTTTACTTCGTAACAAATGAAAGAAGGCTGAATGAGAGAGCCCCTCACTGGCCCTGCCCTTCGAATTGTGGGATTTTTTTCTTCCTAAATACTCAGTCTGCACTGTTCCCAAGAACTTGGCCTTAACACAAGAGAGGATTTGTTTCAGGCAATGAGCTCTGTAGACAAAAGATTCTTTGCTCTGCCACAGCTGCTGGAGAAAATGTCACAGTGGTAGCTCCTTCTATGGGCAGTTGTCAAGCGAAGCCGAGGTCTGGGCGCAGCTGGAGGGGAGTTCAGGGGGCGGAGGCATCTTCTCTCTGAGGCCTCTCCTTCTCTCCTCAGATGCTGATAGGCCTTGCTGGCCACTTGAGTGGATATGACGGCACCTTTTTGTTCCAGAAGCCTGGGGACGAATATGAGCATCACAGCTACCTGGGAATGAGAGGAGTAAGGCTCCCTGACTTGCTATTGCCCAACTCAACTCTGGGGCCACACTCAGTCAGAAATGTGACAGCTGGAAGCCCTGGAGTGGTGGCAGATTTAGACAAGGGGACTTTGGTGGGGGAGGATGATTGGACCTGTACCCTGTAGTAGAGATTCAGAGCTGGGGTGGGCGGGAAGGGAGAGGGAGGCCACAGATAATACAGCAATGACACAGACAGGAGCAAGCGCACCCCGTCACCTGTTCTCCTGCCAACTTGAGGCATCAGATTTCAGATCAGAGGGCAGCCCGGGACTCAGGCAGCCAGGAATCTCCTGCAATCCCAACATTGGCCTCAGCACATTGGCAGGCTACGCGTCCTTCCCCTGCAGCCACAACTGCTAGGGTGTTGCCTACCTCTGAGGGCCTTTATTAACATTTCAGCATCCCCACACCCATGTCACCAGGTTCTTCTGTCTTTCCCCACGAAGGTGTCGGGCACACAAGGGGTTTTCCAGTCTTTTAAGGGAAGTGTGTGTTTGCCTGGTCCCTCTGTGCTCTGAGTCCCAACACCAGCCTTGATGGGGCATGGCAGGGCCTAAATACCCAACTCTCTGGGGACCTTGTACCTGGAGCTAATAAGACCTGTGGAAACTGTCCTCCAGTGTGGAGCTCTCAGAGCAGGTTGCATTTACAAGCCCCTTTCCTCAAGGAAACTGCTTTATCAAAGCAGTTTAGATAAATGCCATGTGATTACTTGGGCTAATCACTGGCTTGTTTGTGTGGTCATACCATTCCATATTAAACAAGAAGTGTCCACTACCCTCAAGTTCATATTCTTAAGTGGTTCTGTGTCTTCCTAATGATGTTTGAATACCACATAGCATACATAATTGGATATAGGCCTGACTCACTGTGAACTTGCTATGGAAATGAGAAGGCCAAATATATCAGCCCTGTTCCCTTTCACACTAGAGCACATTGCTTTCTGCTAACAAAAAGTGACAACCCAAATGTGAGAATTTCCATTCCCCTGGGTTTGTCTGATTACTTTTGATGGACAGGTAGGAGAGAACACTGGTGGTTAAAAACAAAACAAAACTGAAAAACAACCCTCCAGATGCTGAAGTGTCAAGCAGTCTTTTTTCTAAAATCAAAATACAACCTATAGATTAAAGAGTGATTCCTGGTGTGATTGAATAAAAGGACCAAGGGAGAAATAACAGAAATAACATTAGAGTTCTCTAAAATATTAAAACACCTCCAGAGAGGTATTTCTCAACTTGCACCCAGTTTCATAACAGAAGCTAGTGTTTATCAAGAACTTTCTGTGTGGTAATAAACTTTAGCTCATTTAATCTAAAAAGTAAACCCTATGAGGTAGGAACTCTTAAGTTTCACATTACACAGAAGGAGAGGCTGAGATACAGAGACGTGACTTTGTCAAGGTCACAGCTAGCAATGATGGGACGGTCCATTCCCGGAGTCTCCCACTTGAAATCGTGGGCCGTCTTGCCCACACCTCCCGGGCTGAACTTTGCTGATTTCTTGTCAGTGCACAAGTTGGTGCTTAATGGGAACGTAAATGTTGCTTGATTTGATGCTTCACTGTTACACCACCCCTTTGATATTTAAACATATTGCAGGTGATTTTAGGTCACCAAGTCATGCCATCATCAGGGTCCTCCATCTTAAAAGATTAGTTTGTACCAAGCCAAGTAGGTCCCTGATGCTTTGCTTAGTTAGTTACTTGACTGCTTCTCCTGTCCTTCCATAGTTCTGCGCGTTCCTCGGCGCTTTGCTGATCCCCTTTGCCTACCTCACTGTACTGGAGCTGTCCCAGTCCCTCCCGGCAGCGCTGCTCACGGCTGCCCTCCTCACCTTTGGTAAGTTGTCCTAGACCACGTTTCTTGGGATATTGACTGCCACACTATGAATGTAGCTGGAAATCAATATACTTAAAGATCCTGTCTACGGGCCCAGTTCTTAAGTAACCTGAGGATTGGGTAAATGTACTACAAGTCTCCTTTTATTCACTAGTAATACTTACATACATAAATACTTATATGTAGCAAGCCTTTATATTTTATTGGAGTGGTGAGTTGGTAGGGGTAATCCCAAGGAATAGATTATCTGCAAGTTATCCACATTTGAGTTTGGAATGGATAACAAGTTTATGTGTGCTTGTGTGTGCGTGTGCGTGTGTGTGTGCGTGTGCGTGTGCGTGTGTTTGAAGGAGGCTTACAGTTCTAATTCTGCTTCTCTTAGGTTACTGTCAAGATTAGTTTGCATTCCTTAAACTAATTTCAACTGAATGCAAAGGTAGATGCCACAGAAGTAGCTGGGTGGCAGAGGATAAAATGGGAACTTTATTTCTGTGGATAATTCTCACATGGCTAATTGAGAGTTGATCCAGAGAAATTGATCCTGTTTTTAGCCTTGCTCATATGAAAGTGAATTCCTGACCTCATAGAGCTTAACATTTGAAGAAGTCCAGACCAGTTTAGGTGGTTAATTTAGGGGCGATTCTGGCTTTGTTTTTTTTTTCTTTGTCTTCGTTGGGTCTTCGTTGCTGCGCGCGGGCTTTCTCTGGTTGCAGTGAGCAGGGACTACTCTTCGTTGTGGTGTGCGCGCTTCTCATTGCGGTGGCTTCTGTTGTTGCGGAGTATGGGCTCTAGGCGCTCGGGCTTCAGTAGTTGCGGCACACAGGCCTTAGAGTGTGTGGGCTTCAGTAGTTGCGGTGTGTGGGTTCAGTAGTTATGGCTCGTAGGCTCTAGGGTGCGCGGGCTTCAGTAGTTGTGGTGCACAGGCTTAGCTGCTCTGTGGCATGTGGGATCTTCCCGGACCAGGGATCAAACCTGTGTCCCTTGCATTGTCAGGCGGATTCTTAACCACTGCACCACCAGGGAAGCCCTCTGGCTTTGCTTTGACAGATAATGTTGCAAGACTACAGGGTCTCTTTCTAGAGGACTGGTGGCTTTTCCCTTGGGTCTTTAACTTCCCTCTTCAGTTATTGGTTTATTCATTTTTCATTCCACGACTATTTGCAGGCATGTCCTCTGTGCTAAGCCACTTTCTTGGCCTCAGAGGATGCGCTGCTGAGACACTGCTGTCGTGGAGCTTGCTCATTAGTGGGGCAGATGATAAATAAACAAGTGCATTAAGTCTGTACTGTAACACCTTAAGCAATAAGTACAATGTAGAAAATAGGGTAGGGTAAGGGAGGGAGTAATGGGGAGTGATTCTGTTTTAGGCAGGGTGGTCTGTGAAGAGCCCCCTGAGGAGGTGGCCTTGAGCAGAGACCTGAGTGAAGCCAAAGATTAAGCCATGCAGAGATCTGAGGGAAGAGTGTTTAGGCAGAGGAAATAGCATGTGCAGTGGTCCCGGTGCAAGGCGGCACTTGGTGGATTCAGGGAACAGCAAGAAGACCAGTGAGGCCAGAGTAGAGTGAGTGAGGCAGAGGGTGTTGGGAGAGGAGGCTGGATAGGTGGGGAGACCATGAAGACTTTGGTGGCCGTCTTGAGGCTGTCTGAAGGAGCTTGTTAGTCTGAATGAGATGGGAAGACTTTGGAGGACTTAGGCCAGGCCATGATGTAATGAAATTTTGTTTAAAAGAAAAATCACTTCAGCACCTGCATGGAGAATCAACTCCCAACAGAGACTTCGTATGAAATGGTAAGATTCTTTCCTGGGTGTATGTAGTTTGTGGCTGCATAAGCATGGTAGCAGAACTCCCTTTTTGATGGTGGAAATTAGCAGGAGCCCTCATCTCAGGATCGCTGTATCTGAATGCATGACGTGATCCCTTTGTGGGTCAAGGGCCTGGAAGCAGTGTGAGATATTCTTTCATATCATTGGGCTTTGGTGTACCCCAAAGCTGTGGCCTTCCACCTTCCAGATGACTCAGTTGCCCATCTAATCTTGACTGCACAAATGCAACTAAGCACAAGGGGGACTGTTTCTTACCACTGGGGTGTTTGGTTCTCAGGGGGGCCCATCTCTGATTCCACTTTTTGACCACTGAGCTCATGTTTTTCAGACACAGGATGCCTCACTCTGTCCCAGTACATCCTCCTTGACCCCATCTTGATGTTCTTCATCATGGCTGCCATGCTGAGCATGGTCAAGTACAACTCCTGTGCCAACAGGTCAGAAACACCATCTTTGGGAGGGGGTGTCAGAAGCTGTGGCAGCTCTAGAATTTATATAAGGGCCAGGGACAGGGTGGGTGTGATGCCTAGGGTGGGGGGCACCAGAATAGATATTGCCTGGGAACTGTTTGTCTCCCTGCCCTCAGTGGTTGCAGCCATTCCTGACTTGGTGATGGGAATAAGGTATATAAAGTTTGGCTTGAAGGGTCTACATCAGTCAAGAGGATCCCTGCAGGCCCCAGTCAATTCTAAAGCTGTTCTGGAGGGCCTGGCCTTCTTCCAGAACAGTCCCTTCCAGATCATCCTTCTGCCTCTGAGAGAGTAGAGTAGGTCATTCATTTTATTCAGACCAAAAGAGCTGGCTCTGCTAAGGCTTTTTCAGAAGTCACCTTGGTTTTGCCACAACCAAGCAGTGACCACCAGCTCGCTCCGGATTTGGGTTATCTTCTACTTGCACCACATCCCCTTCCACCTGCCATTTCTTTTTTTTTTGTTTTTTTTTGGGTTTTTTTTTTGCGGTACGCTGGCCTCTCACTGTTGTGGCCTCTCCCGCTACGGAGCACAGGCTCCGGACGCGCAAGCTCAGCGGCCATGGCTCACGGGCCCAGCCGCTACGCGGCATGTGGGATCTTCCCGGACCGGGGCACGAACCCATGTCCCCTGCGTCAGCAGGCGGACTCCCGACCACTGCGCCACTGGGGAAGCCCCACCTGCCATTTCTTGAATACATACTATGTGCCAGGTACTGTGCCAGGAGCTAGAGGTACAGGAACACATAGGTCTTGGCTGTTCAGGAGCATTTGCTGTGGCAGGGGGTCAGCCAGGGGATGAGGAGACTGCAGCTCAGAGCACCAGGTGATCTAAGTGCAGCAAGCTTGGGAACCGACTGCTGGGCTTAGCACTGTGCTCCCCCGCTGGCTGGCTGTATTACCTAACCTCTCTGTACCTCGAGTCCTCGAGTCCTCGTGTGGAAGAAGAGGCGGATGACAGGATCTGCTTCCAGGGGGTTGTAGGGAAGGCTAAAGAGTTAATACGTGTAAGGTGCTTGCAATAGTGCCTGACACATAGTAGGCACTCAGTAACTGCTGGCTTTTACAGGGTCCAGAGGTGGCACAAAAGACAGGGCTGACTGAATCCATCAGGCTTCTCTGGATTTTCCTTTTCCTTCCACTTGATTGGTCACCACTGAAGAATAAGCCTCTTGCTTACTTGAAGCCCTGTACTTAGCGAGGAAAGCGATGGCGCTTCTCCCCAGAAGAATCACCTACTGACTCTCACACGGTGCTTCCTGCAGTTTCAGGGGTTTCACAGACCACCTCCTCCTCGGAGCCATGCATGGTCCCTGAGGTTGGGAGCCCTCAAGAGAGAGGCCACAGTGCAGCCTCCCAGAGTCAGAGGACCTCTGCCTTCCCCATTGCTGCTCTTGCTTTTGAGTTTGGTTCCAGCTGCCAAACTGAACTCTGTGCCTTGTTGATTTTCAGGCCCTTCTCTGCCCCCTGGTGGCTCTGGCTCAGCCTGACTGGCGTTAATCTAGCTGGTGCTCTGGGGGTCAAGTTTGTTGGCCTCTTTATCATCCTGCAAGTGGGGTGGAACACCGTTTCAGACCTTTGGCACCTGTTTGGAGACCTCAGTCTTTCAATGGTGAGAACCCAAGTGCTTGTAGAAATGTCTTTGCTCCCCTGCTCCTCGCTTAGCAGAGCCAGTGGTCTTTCTCTGCTTCTGCTGCAGGTGGCAGAACAGCTGTGTTCTGGGCCTGAGGTGGGCTGCATCCGGCTGCCCTCTGTAGGGACCAGGGCATCAGGGAGTGGGCCATGGCTGACAGGCTGGAGAGGTACAAAGAGAGAGGATGGACTGATATCCTTGGGATTCTCTTTTGGCATTTGTTCCTGCATTGGTTTTTAAATGCTTTGCAAACAACCCAGCCAGGGGATTCTGTCCGTCTGGGCTCATGCCAAATGTGTGACAGACACTGACTGCCTGGGACTTGAGGTAAGATTGGTAGACTGACTTCCTGAACTTAAAATTTTCTTTTCCTGACCCAGAGTCTCTGCATCTGGAGACTGGTAAGGGCCTTATGGTTTATTACAATATTATTTATTAAGAGTGACTGTGTCAGGCAGTATGCAAAATGCTTTACTTTCATCATCTCATTTCCTCCTCATAACAAACCCGTGAGGCAGGTAGTTATTACCCTCTTGCCAAATGAGGAAATTGAGACCTAGAGAGGTAATAATGTTCCCAAAGTCATACAAGTAGTAAGAGGTAGGTCTAGGATTCAAACAGGCGAGGCTGACTCCAGGCCTGAACTATTGATACTTTGCTGTAATGCACCTCTGAACCAAAGTCCCAACAAGTTCATTTATTCATTCAGGACATATAGACAGACCATCCGCTAGTGTGAGACACAGAATATGCAGGTGATTAAAACAAGATTCCTGCCCTCTAGAGACAACGGAGAGAGAGAAATAAGAAAGAAAGAAAGAAAAGAAAAAATAAGTCACGGTCCAGCCAACAAAGGCTGTGAAAGCACAGAGGAGAGCACAAGCCCAGTCTCGGGCAATCCCGGAAGGCTTCTAGGAGGAAGCTGAGGCCTAAAGTTAAGATAAGGGGCAGTTATCAATGTGATGGGTGGGACTGGTACAGTGCAAGAAGCATGGGGAAAGTGCAGGGCGTCAGCGTGACTAGGATGGAGAGGGAGTGATGAGTGACGATGCTGAAGATGCAGGCCACACCTTGGCAGTAACGCGGGGACAGCCCGGGGTCCTCGGTGAGGGTCTGGACAGGCAGCGGAGGGCTGGCCCAGGTTCAGCCCCCTGCAGTGCTTGGTTGGTGGGGGGTGTTATGGGAAGGCTTAGGGTTTCCCCATGTCTTTCCTTCTTGATAGCCATTAGTTTTTCAATTGTTTCTGATTATGACTTACACATAAAAACTTACAGATAACACACATGTCAGGCATAAGGCAAATAATGCCTCATATGCCCAGCACCCTGCACTGGCTTGGTTTGCAGGTGACTGTGGGAAAACATCTGACCGCTCGCATCCTGTGCCTCATAGTGCTGCCGCTGGCTCTCTACACGGCCACGTACGCTGTTCACTTCATGGTGCTGAATAAAAGGTACAGCCAGAGCCTTTCCAGTGTCTCACTTCTGGTCTTCCTCTTGCCTCTAAGCCTATGGAGGGGCCGTGTGATTTCCTGGGTCTCGTTGGGATGCTCGGAGGGGACCCAGGTTTTTTTTTCTGTTGGTTTCCTCTTATGTTCTATCTTTTGGGTACCCTGGCCTGAAGGAAGAAGAGAATGTTCTAATAGCCAAACTGCCCCTTATCCCTAAACACAGTTCCTTGTGCTTAACAGGGATGGGCCGCCATAAGCATGTGCAGTTGGAGTGAGGATAATAATAACAATAACACCAGCAGCAGCTCCCATTTAACAGGTAGTGACTATGTGTCAGGAACTGTGTTCAGCATTTTATATACGTTATCTCATTTAGTCATAATAATTCTTTCTTAAAAAAGAAATTTTTGGCCGTGCCACACGGCATGTGGGATCTCAGTTCCGCGACCAGGGATCTAACCCGTGTCGGTTGCATTGTAAGCACAGAGTCTTAACCACTGGACCACCAGGGAAGTCCCATAATAATTCTTTGATTTTTTTTTTTAAATCCCTGATTTATAAATGAAGAATTGAGGCTAAACAAGGCCAGGTATCTTCCAAAGTTCACCTAGCTAGTAAGTGGCCGAGTTATAATTTGGACCCTAGTTTCACTGACTCTATCCCCCATGTCTGTCCACGATACCGCACTGCCACTCCCTTGTACTTCTTTTAAACCAGCTGTGCAGAGCTCTTCCTAGGGCTCCTGGGAAATCACAGTTTCACTCCATTAATTTGGCTGTCTTCTCTCTGCCTTTCCCTACAGTGGTCCTGGTGATGGCTTCTTCAGTTCTGCCTTCCAGGCCCGGCTTTCAGGAAACAACCTTCACAATGCTTCCATCCCTGAACGTGAGTGTCTCTTGTCCTTTACAAAGGTAGAAGGACAGAAGGGATTCCTGGGAGTTGTATTGGAAAAGATGATATGACAGCCTGAGTTATTTTAGATGGGCAAAGTGGGAGAAAGATCCAGTTAAATCTGGTCCGAGCACTCAAGAGAGTGAATAGGAACACAGGAAGTGCAGAGGAAGACGTCCTGAGCAACGAGCTCTTTGACCCTAAAGAATAACTTGTCCGTCGTGGCTGTGGGAAGACCAACAGGGAGAATCTGGTGAAGGAACAAGGCCCTTCAGGGCTAGAGGTCAGTTCCCACCAGAGTATCCTGCTACTCGCATCCATTCACTATTCACACCGGGTAACTGAGCAAGTGTTAGCCACATCGGAGGCTGTAAGCGGATGCCCTCCAGAGTAGAGAGTCTGGAGTAGAGTCTGCAGTAGAGGACCTCTACATGATGTGACCGTATGTGTTAAGTATAGAAAGAGGGAACGCAGAGCTGTGGGGATCAAAGGTGTAAGAGATCACTTCTGTTAGGGGGTTGGGGGGTGATCAGAGTGAGTGAGTTGCCTTGGAGTCAGGCCCTGGAAAAATGGGTAGGTTTCAGCAGAGGGAGATGGGGGAGAGGGCGTATCAGGCAGAAGGGAGAGCATGATCAAAGCCAAGAGCAGGGCAGAATTTAAGGCATAGGTTATATGCAGAAAAATACTGGAAGATAAGGTTGACAAGATAGATTGGGCCCAGGTCATTACTTCCTGGAGGCAAGGACAATGTCTTTTAGTCTCTCCAGGGCCTAGAACACAGTGGGCCCACCCAGAGTGTGGAAAGAATGAAAAATAGGAAAGCAGGCAAAAATTGGTTCGGAAAGGCAGACACTGGATTCCACATTGGAGAAGTCAGCCTTGAGTTGCTTGAGGAAATCCATGCAGTGGGGCCAGTGGGCTTGGGGCTGAGGCTTTCAAAGGAGGACTAGCCAAGTAAGGGATGGTCGATGCTGTGCAGTGGCTGTGGTCTGTGAGGAAACTGTAGAAAGAGGAAGATGACAGGGTGCGGTCAGGCCACTCACTGGGCGTGCAGGAGGAAGGGGCTGCTCAGGAGCAGTCCGTGAGGGAGTGTGGGGTTGAGATGGGGGACAGAGCATAATCGAGAAGCAGCTGCGGTCAGCAGCGTGCGGGGCTGCGTGTGTTGACCAGCACGAGGACTTAGAAGGATGGAGTGGTGGCGTTAGCAAATTTCTACTCGTTATCTAAAAGGCCTAGCTCAGCTATATTCTCTCCATCAAGCCATCCTCTTTTTACTCTTTGGGCAAGAATTTGTTCTACCCTACTCTGGGCTCCCACCATGTCACACCTGGTCGCACCTTTGCTGGAGCGTTTGCTGATCATCCTGTGCTCCTCAGTGTGTGGCGCCATCATCCCCAAGACTGGGCTCCACTAGGTCTGCAGCCAGGCCTCCTCCACCTTTGCATCCACCGTGTAATCCATACGGTCTAGCGGCCAAATGAATGAACAAAGGGAGACAGGAGCAGCCAGCACTGGCTGTGAGACCTGTTTCGGTGGAGTGGGGAATGGCGGGCAGCCAGATTGCAGGGCGTGGAGAAGAGGGACAGTAAGAAGGCAAAGTGGCTCCTCCATAAGCCGGGGCCTGTGTGGGGAGGGGATGGATGCTCTTGGGTAAGCTGTTTACTCTGGGTTTTTGTTTTTTTAAATTCAGAGTAAAAACCCAAAACACCATTGAACAGTTACTACACGTGGTACTAGATTCAAAAGGCACAAAAGGGTATATAGTGAAAAGTCTCTCTTAACAGTCTATAGTAACACTATATCTTGGAGAACATTCCAGATGAAGATATAAGATGCTTCTTCCTTCTTTATTCCATGGAATGTGTATGATAGACCTTGAATGAAGGACAAGTTGTTCCTAGTCTTTTGCTTTGATAATAGCATTGTTAATACCCAGCTTCTTCTGAAGTCCTTAGGAAGGAGGGGAGGGGACAGGCGAGACTATTTGGTGAAATCCTCTTGAGTTGACTCCACTGGGGTGAGAAGGCAGCTGCGCATCTTGCTTTCGGCAGTCCGGGACCCAGTGGAGTCTGTTAGGGGCTGGGGAGGCCTGTGGCTTCAGCGGCCCCTGCAGTCAGGGGCAGGTCTAGCGCTGCGCCAGCTCACACCGTCGCCGTCTGCCCGCAGACCTGGCCTATGGCTCTGTGATCACCGTGAAGAGCGCGCGGATGGCCGTCGGCTACCTCCACTCGCACAGGCACCTCTACCCCGAGGGCATCGGCGCCCGCCAGCAGCAGGTCAGTGAGCCCTTTGTGCGCTTGAGTTGCGGCAGCACTAAGCTGTTTGCCATGACTGAACCCTCCGTTCTCTTTCTGGCTTCCCCTCCTTGTTTCCCCGGCTTGAAACATCCTTTTCCCCTGCCTAACTCCAGCTTCCCTAGGCTTCAGCTGGGGAGTTCCCCTCTGACCACCATGACCTACCTCTGCCTGCTCCTGGGTTAGGTGCGTCTGGTGTGGGCGGCTTTCTCGGCACCTTTACAAGCTTGTGTGGTAACCCTCTTCGCATTGAATTGTGAGTGCTTCCTTCCTCCTGTCTCTTTGCTGTTTGATTGCTGGCTCCTGGAAGGCTCAGTGCCCAGCACGAAGTGGATGATGGGTAGAGCGTAATGGTTATAAACACAGGCCTGGGAACCAGACTAGTTTATCTGGGTTCGAATCCTGGTTCCACTAGAGTGTGACTTTGAATAAATTCCTTAACCTTTCTGTGCTTCAGTGGGCTCATCTTTAAATTGGGGAAAATAAATAGTACTTCTCTCCATCATAAGGTTGTTGTGAGGATTAAGTGAGATAATCCGTATGACGTGCATGCTGGAGGATTAGCCGTGAGTATGATCTGAACAAGCGAGCGACACTGTCCGCGCCCACGTTAAGGAGTGGTGGGTGTGGCTGTGGTGGATGATGCCTGAGAGGGAGAAGGATGGGGTTGGAGAGGTCCGTGGGGCCAGATTATGGAGAGGCCTTACGTGTTACAGTAGATTTAATTTTGTTCTGTAGACGCTGGGGAGGCATTGAAACTTATTAAGGGATAAGATGTGCTTAGATTTCTAGTTTAGAAGGACAGCTCTAGCAGGAGTGTGGTGGATTGGAAGGAGGAGGAGACTAGAGGCAATAGTCATGACAGAGGATGGTGAAAGGAGGCAGAGACCACAGGGAGAGAGGGGGAAGTGATTTAGGGAACTCTTCACAGGTTGAATGTCAGGGCCTGGTAACTGATAGATGTCAGGGATGAGCCATGTCCAGGTCTGTAGTCTGGAGGTCAAGGTGTTTGTGTGATAATGCTGTTTCACCATAATCAGAAATGGAGGAGGAAGCATGGCTTTGGAGATGAGTTTCCTTTGTGTATTTTAGCTCTGGGACTTGTCTCAGGAAAGAGACATGGGTGTGTAGCATACAGGTGTCAGTGACACGGTGGGGGATGGGTGACATTGCCCTGAAGCAGCGTGCAGAGGGAGGAGGGCCAGCAGAGGAGCCCTGGGGAGCAGCAGCATGTAAGGCAGCATTAAAGGCGCTCAGAGTGGTGCTGGTAGAAGTGGCTGAGAAGGAAGGGGTGGACGGGGAGGTTGGAGGAGAACGGGAGGAGAGTGCCAAGCAGAGGGTCTCCAGTGGGAGGAGACGCCAGCAGTTCAGGTGCTGCAGAGACCTCGGAGAATGTGAGGACAGAGGAAGAGGCCTTCGAAGGGCAACATGGGAGGCCTGGCAACTCTGACAAGGGTGGCTTCCATGGCGTGGGCAGGGCGGAGGCCTCGGATGCAGTGACCCGAGGAGAGGAGGGTACGGAGGTCGGGGCTTCAGGGCTGGCTGCTGCTCTGAGAAGCTTGAAGTGAAGTTTCTCTTCCTGCAAAATGACCAAAACCTTTACTTTGTGAAAAACTTTTGCTTCTCAAAATATTTTATTGTTATTATTTCCTTATTTACTAGAAGGTTGACCCAGAGTATTGGATTTTGGTATCAGTTTCCCATTCTTGACTCTCAGCTTCTCTCTAGCGCAGTGGTTCTCAACCCTGGCTGCGCTTTAGAGTCCATTGGAGAGCTTTTAAAAAATTCTGATGCCTGAGGTCCACCCCAGAGATTCTGACTTAATTGACCTAGGATGGGGCCCATGCATTGTGCATTTTTGTTTTGGTTTTAAGCTCTCCAGAAGAGTCTAATGTACTGCTAGCCCTTCCATAGTGATACCTTGCTGCTGGTGTCATAAAGTAGGAGATAAAGTTGCAGATGTGGTGATGAGGAACGTCTATACTGTGCAAAGGTAGAGAAGAGCCACGTTCTGAAAGGCCCTATTAAGCTGGTCTTAGTGTTACACACTTGAAGCCCATGGGTAGAGGCATGAAGCTGTGACAGTCATCTAGAGAGAGCACATTAGGCCAAGGGACAGAGAGCCTGGCTTTGTCACTGACTGAGTCACTGAGCCTTTCGCAGCCTGTGTCTTCATCTGTAAATTGAGGGGACCGCACTAAATAACCTCTAGTAGCCCTCCTCTGCCCTGTAGTTTAATGTCTTGTTAACAGCTCTAGGTCTCGATTTTTAAATATTTTTAAAGCATAATGTTTATAAAGGAAGATTGGAAAGTGTAGAAAAGTATAAAAAAAAACCCAAAGTTACACATAATCCAAGGATCATTGTTTATCCACGCAGTTTGATGTACAACATTCTGCTGTAATAGCATACCTGTGTCCCTAGGAGACCTCATGGTATAAAACTCCATTGTAAAAATAAGTGTTCCAAGGGGAAAAAGAGGCCATGGACTATATTCACAATAAGTGATTTTTCTAATAGGAATTTTAATAATAATGGTTTTTGGGAAAAGAAACAAAAAACAAGATGACAGCACAGGGTGCACACAAGCACCACAAAAGCTTAACATCCTTGAGCAAATCAAGCTGGGTGAGCTTGATGTGTGCAGCTTTTGATGGGGAGCGTGGACTTAATTTCTCTGTGGCTGCCACAACTTTTAACGTGTATGTTCTTAATACCGTTATTCCTAATTGTTTCTGAGAAAGCAACAACCACTGAAACAAAGCAGCCATAATACACGCATAATTATTTTCCTACACGCTAATTCCAAATCTCTTTGCAAGTAAATAAGTCATGTTTTTCCAATTGGAGTTATTAAAACTCACGTTGTAAGAGAGATGCCTTTGTTTCCATTGCTTCTGGGTATTTATGTGCTTGTATACGTAATTAGCATAATTGTATGTATGCAGTCTCTATCCTGGGAGCTTGGAGCTAGCTCCCTCTGTTTGAATCCTGTCTCTCCAGCTGACAAGCTGTGAGACCTTTACTTAACCTCAGCGAATTACTTACCCTCAGTTTGCTTGTAAGTAAGGTGGAGGTAACCATAGTACCTACAACCTAGCGATAAGACCTGTCCAGTACTTAGAGCAGTGCCTAGTGATAAATGGTAACCATTTTCAACAGCAGCATGTTATACGCCTTCTCCTGTGCTGGGTAAAAATGCCCTGAAACATTTTCTGCGGCTGTATAATATTCTATCCTGTGGACATAACCAGCACGTAACTCTTCCTTTAGTATTGGACATTTATATTGTTCCCAGGATTTTTGCTGGTAGTTTAATTGCAGCATTACACGCGTGTACACACATGCACACACATACAATTTTTAAAAAATCAGTGTATACAAAATGGCTATATCTAAAACTTCAGGCTTCTAGGATAAGATTTTTTTTTTTTTTTTTTTTTTTTTTTTACGGTGCGCGGGCCTCTCACCGCTGCGGCCTCTCCCGTTGCGGAGCACAGGCTCCAGATGCGCAGGCTCAGCGGTCATGGCTCACGGGCCCAGCCGCTCCGCGGCATGTGGGATCCTCCCGGACCGGGTCATGAACCCGTGTCCCCTGCATCGGCAGGCGGACTCCCAACCGCTGCGCCACCAGGGAAGCCCCTAGGATAAGATATTAATAGAGTTTTTTTCGTTTCATTTGGCCATATTCTAGAAAATATTTGACCATATTCTAGAAAATACCATGAATTTTTCATTTAGAAAGTTTGAGACATGGTCTTGATGACTTTTTAAAAATGCACTAAATCCACTTTGTGTGCTGGAGACTGTGTTACACAAGGTGTTATTGTTCCTCCCTCTAGGAGGTGGGAAGTTGAAAGATAGGATGCAGAGGGGTACACAGAGACAAATCAAAAAGGCTTTTGTGGGAAAAGACCTCTAAATATAGAAGGAAGGAGAGAAAGTAGCATTTACCAAATGCTACTTCTGAGCCCTGTTGGGAAACACAGCCCCTCGGGTTGGTGGCTGGGATTCTGAAAAAGGCTTAAGCGACATGGGCTTTGCTATTGATTGTCCTGTGGCCGGCTGTGCTGATAGTGACTGTCTTCTCCCTCCCCCCTCCTCCTCCCGCCCCCGCCCTACCCAGGTCACCACCTATTTGCACAAGGACTACAACAACCTGTGGATTATCAAGAAACATAATACAAATTCAGGTAATGCAGTAGGGAACTGGCGCTTCTTGTATTATTACTTACTCTGAGCCCTCCTTAACATTTCTCATGCCTCCAAAAGAATGGTGCTGGGATGGGCTTTCCTGAGCATTCTTTGCCATCTTTACGGATCTCAGTTATCCTTTCAACAGTTATTTATTGAGCCCCTGCTACGTTACAAGGACTGTTGTTGGCATAGGGATAAGCAGTGAGCAAGACAGATAAGATCTCACTCTTAGAGCTGTCTTTTCTTTTTTAATTTTTAAATTTAATTTTATTAATTTTTTTATACAGCAGGTTCTTATTAGTCACCCATTTTATAGACAACAGTGTATACATGTCAATCCCAATCTCCCAATTCATCACACCACCACCACCACCACCACCCGCCGCTTTCCCCCCTTGGTGTCCATACGTTTGCTCTCTACGTCTGTGTCTCAATTTCTGCCCTGCAAACCGGTTCATCTGTACCATTTTTCTAGGTTCCACATATATGGGTTAATATACGATATTTGTTTTTCTCTTTCTCACTTACTTCACTTTCTGTGACAGTCTCTAGATCCAACCATGTCTCTACAAATGACCCAATTTCGTTCCTTTTTATGGCTGAATAATATTCCATTGTATATATGTACCATATCTTCTTTATCCATTTGTCTGTCGATGGGCATTTAGGTTGCTTTCATGACCTGGCTATTGTAAACAGTGCTGCAGTAAACAGTGGGGTGCATGTGTCTTTTTGAATTATGGTTTTCTCTGGGTATATGCCCAGTAGTGGGATTCCTGGGTCATCTGGTAATTCTATTTTTCGTTTTTTAAGTAACCTCCATACTGTTCTCCATAGTGGCTGTATCAATTTACATTCCCACCAATAGTGCAAGGGGGTTCCCTTTTCTCCACACCCTCTCCAGCATTTGTTGTTTGTAGATTTTCTGATGATGCCCTTTCTAACCGGTGTGAGGTGATACCTCATTGTAGTTTTGATTTGCATTTCTCTAATAATTAGTGATGTTGAGCAGCTTTTCATGTGCTTCTTGGCCATCTGTATGTCTTCTTTGGAGAAATGTCTATTTAGGTCTTCTGCCCATTTTTGGATTGGGTTGTTTGTTTTTTTAATATTGAGCTGCATGAGCTGTTTATATATTTTGGAGATTAATCCTTTGTCCATTGGTTCGTTTGCAAATATTTTCTCCCATTCTGACTGAGGGTTGTCTTTTTGTCTTGTTTGTAGTTTCCCTTGCTTTGCAAAAGCTTTTAAGTTTCATTAGGTCCCATCTGTTTATTTTTGTTTTTATTTCCATTACTCTAGGAGGTGGATCAAAAAAGATCTTGCTGTGATTTATGTCAAAGAGTGTTCTTCCTCTGTTTTCCTCTAAGAGTTTTATAGTGTCCAATCTTACATTTAGGTCTCTAATCCATTTTGAGTTTATTTTTGTGTATGGTGTTAGGGAGTGTTCTAATTTCATTCTTTTACATGTAGCTGTCCAGTTTTCCCAGCACCACTTATTGAAGAGACTGTCTTTCCTCTGTTGTATATCCTTGCCTCCTTTGTCATAGATTAGATGACCATAGGTGCGTGGGTTTATCTCTGGGCTTTCTATCCTGTTCCATTGATCTATATTTCTGGTTTTGTGCCAGTACCATATTATCTTGATTACTGTAGCTTTGTAGTATAGTCTGAAGTCAGGGAGTCTGATTCCTCCAGCTCCGTTTTTTTCCCTCAAGACTGCTTTGGCTATTCGGGGTCTTTAGTGTCTCCATACAGATTTTAAGATTTTTTGTTCTAGTTCTGTAAAAAATGCCATTGGTACTTTGATAGGGATTGCATTGAATCTGTAGATTGCTTTGGGTAGTATAGTCATATTCACAATATTGATTCTTCCAATCCAAGAACATGGTATATATCTCTGCATCTGTTTGTATCATCTTTAATTTCTTTCATCAGTGTCTTATAGTTTTCTGCATACAGGTCTTTTGTCTCCCTAGGTAGGTTTATTCCTAGGTATTTTATTCTTTTTGTTGCAGTGGTAAATGGGAGTGTTTCCTTAATTTCTCTTTCAGATTTTTCATCATTAGTGTATAGAAATGAGAGAGATTTCTGTGCATTAATTTTGTGTCCTGCAACTTTACCAAATTCATTGATTAGCTCTAGTAGTTTTCTGGTGGCATCTTTAGGATTCTCTATGTATAGTACCATGTCATCTGCAAACAGTGACAGTTTTACTTCTTCTTTTCCAATTTGTATTCCTTTTATTTCTTTTTCTTCTCTGATTGCCGTGGCTAGGACTTCCAAGACCATGTTGAATAATAGTGGTGAGAGTGGACACCCTTGTCTTGTTCCTGATCTTAGAGGAAATGCTTTCAGCTTTTCACCATTGAGAATGATGTTTGCTGTGGGTTTGTCGTATGTGGCCTTTATTATGTTGAGGTAGGTTCCCTCTATGCCCACTTTCTGGAGAGTTTTTATCATAAATGGGTGTTGAATTTTGTCAAAAGCTTTTTCTGCATCTATTGAGATGATCATATGGTTTTTCTCCTTCAGTTTGTTAATATGGTGTATCACATTGATTGATTTGAGTATATTGAAGAATCCTTGCATCCCTGTGATAAATCCCGCTTGATCATGGTGTATGACCCTTTCAAAGTATTGTTGGATTCCGTTTGCTAGTATTTTGTTGAGGATTTTTGCATGTATATTCATGAGTGACATTGGTCTGTAATTTTCTTTTTTTGTAGTATCTTTTTCTGGTTTTGGTATCAGGGTGATGGTGGCCTTATAGAGTGGGTTTGGGAGTGTTCCTTCCTCTGCAATTTTTTGGAAGAGTTTGAGAAGGATGGGTATTAGCTCTTCTCTAAATGTTTGATAGAATTTGCCTGTGAAGGCCTCTGGTCCTGGACTTTTGTTTGTTGCAAGATTTTTTTTTTTTTTTTTTTTTCGGTACGCGGGCCTCTCACTGTTGTGGCCTCTCCCGTTGCGGAGCACAGGCTCCAGACGTGCAGGCTCAGCGGCCATGGCTCACGGGCCCAGCCGCTCCATGGCATGTGGGATCTTCCTGGACCAGGGCATGAACCTGTGGCCCCTGCGTCAGCAGGCGGACTCTCAACCACTGCGCCACCAGGGAAGCCCTGTTGCAAGATTTTTAATCACATTTTCAATTTCATTACTTGTGATTGGTCTGTTCATATTTTCTATTTCTTCCCTGTTCAGTCTTGGAAGGTTATACGTTTCTAAGAATTTGTCCATTTCTTCCACGTTGTCCATTTTATTGGCATAGAGTTGCTTGTTGTAGTCTCTTAGGATGCTTTGTATTTCTGTGGTGTCTGTTGTAACTTCTCCTTTTTCATTTCTAATTTTATTGATTTGAGTCCTCTCCCTCTTTTTCTTGATGAGTCTGGCTAATGGTTTATCAATTTTGTTTATCTTCTCAAGGAACCAGCTTTTAGTTTTATTGATCTTTGCTATTGTTTTCTTTGTTTCTATTTCATTTATTTCTGCTCTGATCTTTATGATTTCTTTCCTTCTACTAACTTTGGATTCTGTTTTCTTCTTGTTTCTCTAGTTTCTTTAGGTGTAAGGTTAGATTGTTTGAGATTTTTCTTGTTTCTTTAGGTAGGCTTGTATAGCTATAAACTTCCCCCTTAGAACTGCTTTTGCTGCATCCCATAGGTTTTGGATCATAGTCTTTTCGTTGTCATTTGTCTCTAGGTATTTTTTGATTTCCTCTTTGATTTCTTCAGTGATCTCTTGGTTATTTAGTAACATACTGTTTAGCCTCTATGTGTTTGTGTTTTTTATGTTTTTTTCCCTGTAATGGATTTCTAATCTCATAGCATTTGGTCAGAAAAGATGCTTGATATGATTTCAATTTTCTTAAATTTACTGAGGCTTGATTTGTGACCCAAGATGTGATCTATCCTGGAGAATGTTCTGTGTGCACTTGAGAAGAAAGTGTAATCTCTTGTTTTTGGATGGAATGTCCTATAAATATCAATTAAATCTATCTGGTCTGTTGGGTCATTTAAAGCTTGTGTTTCCTTATTAATTTTCTGTTTGGATGATCTGTCCATTGGTGTAAGTGAGGTGTTAAAAGTCCCCCACTATTGTTGTGTTACTGTCGATTTCCTCTTTTATAGCTGTTAGCAGTTGCCTTATGTATTGAGGTGCTCCTATGTTGGGTGCATATATATTCATAATTGTTATATCTTCTTCTTGGATTGATCCCTTGATCATTATGTAGTGTCCTTCCTTGTCTCTTGTAACATCTTTATTTTCTAGTCTATTTTATCTGATATGAGTATTGCTACTCCAGCTTTCTTTTGATTTCCAAGTGCATGGAATATCTTTTTCCATCCCCTCACTTTCAGTCTGTATGTGTCTCTAGGTCTGAAGTGGGCCTCTTGTAGACGGCATATATATGGGACTCAGACAGCTGAGGCTCAGACTTAATCCAGAAGAGGTTACCTGGACACGTGCCTGGGGCACACTGTGGCTGCTTTCATTTCTGATTTAGAGCACACCAAGCCTTGCAGACCCCAGCATGTGGTACAGCTCAGGTTGTCTGGATGTGATAGAGGGCTGCTGCCCACTGGTCATCCCAGGCCTGGGCCAGTCTGTTGGAGATCTGCGGGCCTGCCAGCCCTGTGGCTGGGCTCGTCTAGGCTGGTGCCCGGGACCTCCCTCAATGCCTGCACATCTGCCTCTGACAGGCCAGGGTGAAGCTGCTCTGAAGCACACCTATGGGGCTCCCAGGGCTTTGTGACAAGGGCTATGTCTGGATCTTCTGGTTTTTTGGTCAGACAGCTGGCTACCTGCAGACTGTGCCTTTCGCTGCGGCAGAGAAGAGAACAGAACAGAGGGCATCTCCCGCTCACCTTCTGATTGTCTCATGCCACAGGTGTTCTCTCCTCAGCAAACACCACCTGGCTCAGCCTGTCTCGAGTCAGCTGCTCCTGGCCTTTGTGGGGAAGTGGGCAGCTGCTCATCTAAATTTACCTTCTCTGTTTCTTTCGCCACCTCCCTTTATTGCCATGGTTTTTAGCCTTGAAACGTGGCCCGTATGACCACTGTCTTTGCATCCTACTCCTCGGTAATATAAATTATGACACCATTGGGCAGGATCTATTTCTGTCCCTTATAGTACTGTTACAGATTGTGTTTTGATTCAACAGGCCAAACATAAGCGGTCTGTTGCAATGAGGGGTTCTGAGGGAAGACCAGCTTTCCTTCTAAAGTCATGTGGGCACGGACCAAGTCTTTGAACGTCCCTGTTCTGTTATTCCACTGTGGCTTCCAGGTTAAGGTGGCTGCATATCACTCCAGTGACTAAGGATTCGTGTGAAGGCAGATCACTACAGGCATTCTGGGAAGGGGGAACTGTCTAGACAAAGGTCTTTGTGTTCTTGATGGCCATAAGTGCCCCTCCCCCACAGATCCATATTAAGTAAAACTTCCCTCCCCTTTGACTTATTTGATTTGTCATCTTGCTGATTCTTCTTCTTTTTTTAAATAAGTTTATTAATTTATTTTTGGCTGTGTTGGGTCTTTGTTGCTGTGCACAGGCTTTCTCTGGTTGCGGTGAGCAAGGGCTACTCTTGGTTGCAGTGCACGGGCTTCTCATTGCAGTGGCTTCTTTTGTTGTGGAGCACAGGCTCTAAGGAGTGTGGGCTTCAGTAGTTGTGGCACGCAGGCTCCGTAGTTGTGGCTTGCAGGCTCAGTGGTTGTGGCTCATGGGCTCTAGAGCACAGGCTCAGTAGTTGTGGTGCACAGGCTTAGTTGCTCTGCGGCATGTGGGATCTTCCTGGACCAGGGATCGAACCTGTGTCCCCTGCATTGGCAGGCGGATTCTTAACCACTGTGCCACCAGGGAAGTCCTGATTATTCTTCTTAAGAGACCTTAGAAGGCAGCCCAGGAATGGGCATTTCTACAGTTGAGTTCTCTAATTCTCTTGAGAGCCAGTGATTTGTCCTGGCAGATTTGTCTTTCCTGACCTTGAGTGTTAGTGTCTACTGCCTGGGACAGAAATTTGCAAGGACCTTCTGTGTTGCTGTGATTACTGCCAACTCCTTTTCCACTGTCATCACTTTTCTAGATCCTCAGTGGTCTTGACTTCTTGACGATACAGAAGTAGTTCTTTTCTTTCATCGTTTTCTTTGCCTCACGTTTATCAAGTCTATAGCCAGAGACAAGATAATCACTGGCCAAATATGCAGGGTTTAACATTTGATTTTGAAGAGAGCTGGGCAAATGGTCTTTTGCATGGAATTCATATTTGGAAGACTATATTTTTACTTCTAAAAGGAAAATCTTATTATTTAGCTTCCCAGCTTAAAAATCCTCTAGTGGGGGCTTCAGTGCTTGTCATATAAAGACCACATTTCCTAGCATGGCATACACAGTCTGGCCCTGTTTGTCCATACCCTCACCTATTCCCACTCTCCTTCCTGCCCACCCTCCCTAACCATGTGAATTCATTTGCCACTGATTCAGATGAGTTTTGCTCTTTCATGCCTCTCTGGCTTTTCCCCACTTGCTCACCTGACAAGTTCTCCCTCTCCTTTGAGAGTCTTTTCAGTCATTATCTCTGGGATACCCTTCCCTCATCCTCTGAGACAGTTCACTTTGGTCCCACAGCACTCTGTCAGTACCTCATGCGCATACCACGTTGTACTATAACTCTTTACCGGTAGGTCCTTAATTAATGCTAGCTTAATGAGTGAACGGTTTCAGACATCAATGCTTGTTTCTTCTTGACAGATCCCCTAGACCCTTCACTCCCTGTGGAGTTTGTAAGACATGGAGACGTCATTCGACTAGAACACAAAGAGTAAGTAAATTTGCTCTTTGGGATAAATGAGTGGCATGAGCATCAAAGGTACAGAACTCTTTTAAGCTGGAAATAAACAGAAGTCAAATATGGATGAGGCTCTAGTAAATGGAACAAGGCTGCTGTGCTAGAATGGGAGAATGATTACTTTGCCTATTTTGGCTTTGGGAAGCTTTGGATTTTGAAGGTACCTTTCAACTGCCCTTTTCCTAGGGGGAGGAAAGAAAAAAATTGAGTTGCCCAAAGCTTTTTCTTAAGCGGCTGCCTTGAGAAAGGTATAGGAGTCTGTTTCTGAATATGGCAAACTAGTTCATTTAACCAGTGTTCTCACTGAGAATGACTAAAAATGCTGGAAAATGTAGAAACATCTTAAAAGCATAAAGAACTGACAAGATAGTAAGGAGTTACTAGGTCAAAATCTCAGTGAAAGGGGGAATCCAGAGAAAAAGTGGGACACTGTGACCACTTCTGCCTTGAACCCACAATCTTGAGTTTTGATTTTTGGGTTTTGACTGCCTCTAGAGAGAAGAAGTTTTAAAGTCAAAGCTCTAGGCTCACCCGAAGTGGTAAATTATTGTGATCTCCCCCAAAATTTGTAACCCTCAAAGGCTTAGGGTTAGGATAAATCCGCCCTATCTACCTATATCCAGAGTGTGTTTGGGAGAGCAGGGCGGGGGGTGAGGTTGGTAGGGGCACTAAATCTGGTTCCTGAGAAGTTGTAATTACCAGTTGATCTTCACATGGATTTGCAACCCAAATTCATTTCACCTGGATGGTCTCAAAATCTTCAGGCCATGAATTTAAATGAACATGGTCCTAAGACTGTGGTAATGTTCCCTAGGTGCCTGGCTAAAAGCAAATGTTAATCCTCTTTTGGGAAATACATGGTTATCCATTCCTATAAATAGTTTTCCAGTGACAGTGAATAGTACACAGTAAAAAATAACTAAGCACACAAGGAAATAGGGCACCGTGTGCAAGAATGAACAGGAAAAATAGGCAACAGAAGCAGCCCTGCAAAAATTTCATATGAATTGTCAGATACAGAATTTTTTTTTTTAAATCAGGGATTTTTTAATATACATATAGAAAAGCTATGAGCAGTGTTTTTTCCCTAGTCAGTAAGATTATGGATACTTAAAATTTTAATTTTATTTTTTTAAATAAATTAAAATTTATTAACTAAATTTTATTTTTGCAAATTTCCAATATTTTTATAATGAACATTGATTACTTATTATGGATAAAAAGTAAGGATTATTACAAAAAGCACAAAGTAAACAAAATCTAAATTAAACCCTCCACTTCCCCCACAGATCCCTACTTTGTAAAACTGGTGATAGGAGTAGAAAGCATAGATGGTAGGGAGGAAGTTTACCTATCTCAGGCATACATAGATTACAAATTTTAATTTTCTTCTCCCTAAACCTGCCTCTTAAGTCAGGCTAGCTTGCCTCAAAGCCACCAATGTGTTCAGTCATCCCCCTGCCCCCCACCTGAAGTTGTGGGGCGAACAGGAAGTGAAGCCCCTTTCTTGGCATATGGTCCAGTACTCCTACCATCTGTCCCTCGCGATATGTTGGATTTAATGGTTTGGATTCTAATTTTTCTTATCCAAACAGATGACTCTGAGTAGCCTTGGTAAAAGAAGAAACATTGCACATCTCTTTTCTTCAGGATAGTGGCACTTCTCTCTTTTAATTTCTAGGACTTCTCGGAACTTGCACAGTCACTATCACGAGGCCCCCCTGACCCGGAAGCACTATCAGGTCACAGGCTATGGCATAGTAAGTGAGCCACTCGAGTGTCAGCAGGATGTCAAAAACTGTGGGGCCTGGCTCAGGGCCATGTGGCGGAACACATCCTCCCCAGAATTCTGGAATGTTCCTAACGACTGGCTGCACAGGGACTCTTAACATTTAGGAACTTTCTGGCTAGGCTTTTTGCTGTGGGAAAGGCAGCCTATGAAGTCTATTTGTTTCCATCTCTTGCCTCCCATAATTACCATGCCATTTTTATGTTCTGACACTTAATAAATGTCAAATATGAATACTGTAAGGGTCTCTTTTAAAATCATATTATACTTAGAAGCCACAGGGCCACAATATGACCCCAGATGAATATACAAGTTTATCCTTTGCCAGATTCCAAATTCTCATTGGCTTTATTTTTTTATTTTTATTTTTTTTGCGGTACGCGGGCCTCTCACTGCCGCGGCCTCTCCCGTTGCGGAGCACAGGCTCCAGACGCGCAGGCTCAGCGGCCATGGCTCACGGGCCCAGCCGCTCCGCGGCATGTGGGATCTTCCCGGACTGGGGCACGAACCCGTGTCCCCTGCATCGGCAGGCGGACTCTCAACCACTGCGCCACCAGGGAAGCCCTGTTTGTATTCTTTTTTTTTTTTTCATACGCGGGCCTCTCGCGATTCTTCATTGTAGTTTTGATTTTCATTGCCCTAATAATTGCAGGCTCAGCGCATCTTTTCATGTGTTTGATCGGCATCGCGGCACATGGGATCTTCCCGGACTGGGGCACGAACCCGTGTCCCCTGCATCGGCAGGCGGACTCTCAACCACTGCGCCACCAGGGAAGCCCTCATTGGCTTTATTTTTAAGGATTACTTCCCTGTTCCACAGAGGGATATTGTCCCCATTGCTTTGGATTTTTACTGCCTTGGGGTGATGCAGTTAACAGAGGAAGCTCTATGAGTATTTATGGCTTGGGGAGTAATTTGAAAACAGAAACAACTAGTGGGAAAGTAGATTTATGACTATTTGTTACGTTCCCTTCCAAGGGCTTTGGTGCTTCAGTAAAGATTCTGGGTTCCTTAAGGTGGAATTCCCAACCCTCTTTCTATTTGCTCATCCCACATTATACTAGAGCCAAGACTCTGAACTTCATCTTTTTCTGGTGGGCATTTCCTGAGGAGAATTAGACACAACTGTCTTAATTTCCACAGTACGATATCTAGGCCAGACCTTTCTTCGATGAGTGAGTGTCCCCATGGCCACCAGTGATGGATGTAAATAGCCCAAATTTATTTCTGTTGGCACACGGTGATGTCTTGAGTTTAGTTTAAGGGCAAAAACATTTATTTAGAACTTAAACTCTAGTTCTATAAAGTGAAGAATTAGACTTAAGGTTCGAGGAATTATACTACTTTTCTTGGTTGTAATCGCGAGTACTGGGACAATGCCAGTCACTTGGTATATTTCTATGGCCCTCTCGTTCCCTTTCCCACCTCAGTCATTTAGGCCAGTTTGGTCTTTGACCAAACTGTAACATGATGGCATCTGAAAGGGTGACCATCTCCCTTTTCTGATACATCTTCTCTAAAGTCATCTTACTTTCTTTGTATTTTTTTCTTGATTTATGTGGCAGAATGGGACAGGAGACTCAAATGACTTCTGGAGGATTGAGGTTGTAAACAGAAAATTTGGAAACCGAATCAAAGTGCTGAGAAGTCGAATTCGCCTCATCCATCTGGTGACAGGTTGTGTCCTGGGCTCCTCAGGAAAGGTCCTGCCCAAGTGGTGAGTCTCTGGGGTTTTGATGTCCCATTAGTGGCTCATGCTTTTCCTTTCACACTACGAGTATACCCAAAACTTCCATTTCGCAGTGGTTGATGTTCACCTCAGGTTTGCTTTTTCTTTGTGGTGAATGGAGGGAGGAAAGGCATCAGGAGTTTTATGGAGCCCAGAGCTCCAGAGTTCCTTTGGTGTTTCGTGTGTTGTAATAGTTGAGCATTTGTACATCTGGCTTGTGATAACTCTCTGGATCTATGTCTCTTTCTAAAATGGGAATGTTGTGTGCTCGACTCCTCCTAGGATAGTTGTGGAATATAAAAGTGTGAGGCCGAAAAAAGCATGGCCACTGGGTTGGAAAGAGAGGGGCGCCGTAGATTGAAGAGCAGTTGGCAGTGTTACTCTCCGGTGGGTTTCAGGTCTTCTGAGGGACATCTGTGACTACTTTTCACAGGGGCTGGGAGCAGTTGGAAGTCACCTGCACTCCATACCTAAAGGAAACCCTCAACTCCATCTGGAATGTGGAAGACCATATCAATCCCAAATGTGAGTGAGGCCGTGTCCTGGGCTGGCTCTGAAGGGAACATTTCTAAGTAACTCATCTTAGGAAAAGAAACCTTTACAAACTCTGCTGCCACTTTATCTTATTGTTGCCATTTTCTTCCTTTTTTAAACCTAATCTCTTCATATGAATTGTCTAGATAGGGAGCTCCTTTTTTCTCCCCATCCACTCAAACTTCCCATCCTCTTTAAACTCCTCTCCCTAAAGTGACCTATGACCTCACTCGGGGCCAGAGCTGGTTGTCTCTGGTCACTTTCCTTGCCTCCCGCTGGATATGACTCTCTTGCCGCCTATAATGCAGGTCCATCTGCTTGCCTCCTGGGCTATTCTATCCCCTCTGTGGTTACCTCCCCACCCTCAAGGCTTAGAGCAGGCCGGTTCTTTCCCTTTCTGCCCCTGTGTAGGCTCCTCCCCTCCCCACATCCAGCCAAGGCTTTTACAGAAAGCAATGGCTGCAGCCCTTGATCTGATCCCCATATTTATACTACCAGGCTCCAGTTGACATTTCCACTCCCGTGTCATCTTCAACTCAACGAGTGTCTGGATTCACCATCTGTCCTCTTAAGCTACCCCCTTCGCGCTTCCGCTTGATTTCTCCTCTTCATGCTTCCCATTTCATTCTTTTTACCACCTAATTTAACCAACCAGCTAATTAACTAAGTAATTAAACAGCTCTTTGTTTAGATGCTGGGAGCCATGTGGGGCCCTGGGGATGCCTTGGTGAATGAGACAGGCTCGGTCCCTGTCCTCACAGCCCTGCCTCGTGGGGGAGCAGCATTTGAGGGAGCGGCGTCATGAAGGCTGATGGTGCCGAGGGCTGTGGGAGCTCCGGGGCCAGGGCTTTTCGTCTGTTGCCATTGCCTCCCTCAGAATATCTGCTGAGTGCTTAATACGTGCTCAATGAATGATCGAGAATCCTTCTGTCTCCTCAACACTCGCACCTGCTTGTTAGCTTGTCAGGAAGGCTACACTCAGACCCTGACAGCAGTGTGGATACCATGGACAGACAGCCATGAGGAGGGGGTGTGTGAGAAAGGTTTACGCCTCTGTCATTTCCTTTTCTAGTGCCGAACATCAGCCTGGACGTGCTGCAGCCCAGTTTTCCTGAGATAATGCTGGAGGCCCACATGGTGATGATCCGGGTACTGTGGCCCCTTCCCATTTGGTGGCTTCTCTTCATGCTCTTGGGCATCCACAAATTTGGATCATGGATCAGTAACCTTGGTATAGACCCACTGCCCCCTTGTGGAGGACTTAGTGTCTTCACCTGTACTGGCTTACTTGGTCTTCAAAGGCATTGAATGGTGGTGGCGATGATGGTGACGGTAATGATGATGAACACTTATGTAGCTCTTATGTGCCAGGCACGACTCTAAGCACTGCACATATATTAACTTAATACTTACTACAGTCCTCCAGAGATTATCGTTCCCAGTTTACAGATGAGGGAATTGAGGCACAGAGGTTAAGGAACTTGCCCAGGGTCACACAGCGAAATGTAAGAGGTGGATCCAGGCCTTCAGAGTCAGTGCTAGTTACCACTACACTCCTCTGTCTCTAAGTGGGCCTCACGTCTGTTGAAGTGGCAGAGCTCCTGAAAATCATAGTGCCCTTGGTTGAAACTCATGAGACACTGGTAGGTGATTCCATCATATGAAATTAGGATTAGTTAGGATGAACAGCTAATTTGAGTGTGTTGTTTATATGCAGCATAAAATCCCAACCAAGAGCCCACTCAGGTTCCCAGACAGAAACAAACTGTTTAGGGGGCATGGTTGATTCTTTTTAAGGTTTTAAAGACTTGTCGTTTGTACTGTCTATCGTTAGTAGCTGACGGCTGACATCAAAGGTTTAAGAACAATTGAGAGAAGACATCTTTAAATTGAGAAAGTTCTACCTTGAAGCTTAAAGTTTCCCCTGTGAATTGGAAAAACCCTGATGCGGTTTTGATGTTGAGGGGGAAACCTCTTTACTTTGGCTTCTGGAAAACCGGTGTTCTGCAGGAACGATTTTTAAGAATCATAGTATCTCAAGCCAGGTTCGTGTATCTGTGCAGGATTGCAGAGAGGTGTAGCAGTTGTTATTTTTCCCCTGGTGAGCCATTGTCAATTGGTCTTTCCTGGAAGTGATTGTGTAAGCAGTACTCAGTAAATAAAGTTGACTTATTTCAACAGATTAAATTTAAAAATTCAAATTTTGTCATTTCTGCACATTGGGAGGTGATGAGTTGACAATAAGCAATCTCTGGGTACCTTCTTCTCTGACTCTCTGTTTGTAGCTGTCACTCTGGCCTGATGACATAGTTCTTTTGAATATGTGTCTGTCGGTCAAAATATCGTTTCAAATCTGGGTAGAATTTTAAGACTAAGTCTAAATAAATAGTCTCATTTTTTCTTTCATTATCTAAGAGGTAGAGTCAAAGAAGAAAAGGGACATAAGGAACCTTTCTTATTCAACTGATGTAGAGTCAGGATGGGGAGAGAGATCAAAATTGTCTGGACTATAGAAACTGCAGGGGACAGGGCTTCTGCTAGCTGAGCAGAGGGCCTAAGGCCTGGGTGGAGAAGGCTGCCCAGCCTGCTGAGGTTAGCTGGAATAAGCCCACTAGGCGTTAAGCACAGAGAACAATGTACAGATACACATGCCTATAATGGTTACAGATTTTCCTTCCTTCCGTTTCTCGGTTTACTAAAGGAGCTGGATTTCTTAAGAGTTTAATGTGTAGGACGCCCTTGGCTTGGTATAGCTCTGGCTGGAGTGCCTGGGTTTGGGACTGGACTGGACTGGTTGAAGGAGTTGATTGCCCTCAGCAGCTGCTCTGGGGTCCAGAATGATTCATTCTTCATTCCAAGGCCCTTCAGATGGCCATGATGGTTCAGGGGCTGTGCAGCTGACCCCTTTGGGCGTGACACCCCACTGGCACTTTTAACCCTGGAGGATCAATCCAGCCACCGTAGGGAGGCCTGCAAATGATTCCCAAGACCTCAAGGAGTTGGGTTAGTAAGGCACTGGGTGGTGGTTCACTGAACCAGACCTGGATCTTTCTTGGGCTAGGCCAGTGGTTCTCAATAGAGGGCGATTTTTGCCTCTGAGGGGTATTTAACAATGTCTGGAGACATTTTTGGCTGGCATCATGGAGGGCTAGGAATGCTTCTGGCATCTAGTGAGTAGAGGCCAGGGATGCTAAACACCCTACCCGGCACAGGCCAGCCCACGCCAGACTTCTCCAGCCCCAAATGTCAATAGTGCCGAGGTGGAGAAACCCCAGCCTAACTCCTAGCACCTCACTCCCCTTCTTGGGAATGACTTCTCAGTCTGTCCTGATGATGAGGCTGACGCCATCCTGCTGCGTAGGATCCAGGATCCTGCTCCTTTTCCTTCTTGTTTTAGGAAAGGCCTGATTTTGCCATTTAGAGACAGGTTGTTGGGTGTTCTTGGCTGTTGGACTAAATGGGCTGTGTCTGGGTCCTTCAGGCTAAAGTGTGCATTCTCAGCCAGAGCGATATCGCTCCCAGGGGGTAAAATGTATTCTTGGAGGGTTGGAAAAAGAAAAAAAGCCCTTAACTTTTTAATGTATAAAGCACAGGTATTCCTGCATTATGTAAACAGATATACAGAATAGCTATGGTATTAAAGTGTCATGAGGGGACTTATTGTGGTGATTGTTTTGCAATATATACAAATATTAAATCATTATGTTGTATATCTGAAACTAATATGTTATATATCAATTATGCCTCAATAAAAATTTCTTTAAAATGTCATGGCGGGGGAGTGTTTAGGGAATAGATGTCTTAAAAAGGTTGAGGGGGGGCAGGTAATAATGGGAAAAAACGCTGAGATACACTAGGCTAAAGTAACTTTTTCAAAGTCCAGGAACTTAGAGTTTCTGGGTTTGTGTTTGAAATTGGCCTTCCAAGGGAACAAGTGAGTCAGCCCTGATTTTATATGCCCCATCTCATCCTCTTGACACCTTATCCTTGGCCTGGAGACGGATATGTATTTTGTGCCTGTGGGAAACAAGTCTCTCATTCCTCTTTCTCTCGAGCAGAGAGGGTCTGAATGGACTGTCTTTGCTGGGACACGGAGGCTTGCTTGTTGGGAAAAGTAAGTCAGTTTTTGTAAGCAGGTGGGCAGTGACTGAGAATGAGCACCTGATTCTTCCCTGCAAGGGAAGGAGAGGGGAGAGGAGAGAGGGTTTCTCTTGACACCTGGCCACACATCAGATCCCCATCCCTCACGTTCCTGTCGGCCTTCTAGAGTTCTGTTTTGACTAGCTTTTCTTTGCCACTTTCCTGCAGGGGAACAATGGCCTCAAACCCAAAGGCAACGAGTTCACGTCCAAACCCTGGCACTGGCCTATCAACTATCAGGTAGGGCCCGAGGCAAGAAAGAGGGCGTTGAGATTTGGTGGACGTGGGGTGCGCTGGGGGCGCAGGGCGCGGCCTCGCCTGGCTCGGGGTGGCCAGAGGCGGGCTCTGTCTTCTGCCCCGATTCGGATCAGCCTTCCCAGGGAGCTCCTGTAGAAGGCGCCCACTCCAAGCCTCCCGTCAGGGCTCCCTGTCTATGAAGGGTGACTCGTCTTCCTCCTCCTGGAACTCGTGGGGCTGGGAGGAGCTGAGCTCTGGGCCAGCAGCGTGTCCTCTGCTCCACAGGGCCTGCGCTTCTCAGGGATCAATGACACCGACTTCCGAGTGTATCTGCTCGGCAACCCGGTGAGTGCCCGCGCACCGCGCTTTGGGCCCTGAGCTGTGCCCGTGGAGAGCTGCTGCTTTCTCTCACCCTCCTGTTCTCGTTTCCCTGCAGGTGGTTTGGTGGCTGAATCTGCTGAGCATCGCCCTCTACCTGCTCTCAGGGAGCATCTTTGCTGTGGCTCTGCAGAGAGGGGCACGTCTGCCTGCCGAGGTTGAAGGTCAGGTCCCTGGGCTCTCCCGCCCTCCCACCTAGCAGTCAGGAGGGCGCCTGCACTCGGGGAGGGCCCGCCTGCTGATGGCCCTTCCTTTGCCTTTCCCTCCCCTTCTTCCCTCCTCTTTTGCTTTTTAGAACTCAGTCACCAAAAGCCCAGTGCTGTGTTAAACACTACATCCTCCCAACAACCGTATGAAGTAGAGTTTATTACTCCTGCTTTATGGATTAGGAAACCAAGGCCCAAAGAGGTTAGGAAACTTGTCCCAGTAAGGGATAGAACTGAAGTTCACACCCTAGCCGACTGAGTTCAGAGCCTTCACTTTTGACCTCTATGCTCTATGCAGAGCTTCCCACCTTTTCTCTTCTGCCCCTTCCTCGTCCCATGGCCCTGTCCTCTAGTCACGTAGAGAGCAGCCCCCAGGCCGTGGGCCACAGCATCTGAGACATTCACACAGGCTCTCTCTGCCTCTGCAGCTCCGCGTCTGAACAGACATAGTCCCCGACCGCCCCCTCTCCCACCTCCGTCCTTACCTCTGCCCGCACCTCCGCCCCGTCTGCTGCTGCAAAGACCTGCGTGACAGCAGAGATATGGGAGCTGGAGCTGGAGGCCAGGCTGCCTGCTGCTGGGGTTTGGCGCCCCTGCCGTGGGTGCCGAGGCCTCCCTGGGCCGGGTAGCAAGCAGTTGCTCCTCTCCTGCCAGCTGCTGTAGGATTGTTCAGCTTGGGCAGAGGAGAGAAGGAAGGCTTATGCAAATCACACAGCAAGGAAGGGGCAGAGCTGGGCTAGACCAGGCTCTCTGCCCCCTCCCTGTCGGCTGACCGGGCTGTGCTGCTTGGGGCCCAGGGCTGTCCCAGGTCCTGCTGCAAGGAGGCGGGCAGCTCCTGCTGGGCTGGATGATGCATTACTTCCCGTTCTTCCTGATGGGCCGGATCCTCTACTTCCACCACTACTTTCCCGCCATGCTCTTCTCCAGCATGCTGACAGGTCAGCGCTGCCCTCCTGGGCCTGGGGAATGAGGGCGGGGCCGGGGAGGAGGCCACCATGGAGCACCCGCGCTGGGGGGAGCCCTCTGCTTCCCTGACCTGGGGGGCTCCGTCTGCTGCCTCCCCGGAAGGCATCCTCTGCTGGGCCGGTGCGAGGTTTCTCTTCCTTCCACAGGCCTTCTGTGGGACATACTCCTGCGGCTCTGCGCCTGGAGCCTGGCCTCCTTTTCTCTGGCTGGGCACGTACACACACTGGGAATCCTGAGCCTGCTCCTGGGAATTGCCTACAGGTGAGCACCCCCTGCACCTTGCATTGCTGCCCCCCAGCACTGAGGCCTCGGTCCCAGGTGCGTTTTAGAACCCCCTGGCATGCTTTTGAAGCACACTGGTGTCTGGCTCCATCTCCAGAGGTTCTGATTCAGTTGAGCCCAGTTTGGGTCCTGTGGTCCAGCCACAGTTTTTAAAGCTCTCCACGTGACCCGAATGTGCAGCCAGACGGGCGAAGCACGGGCTACCTCTCTGCATTCTTTCCTCTTGCCAGTGGCTCCCAGCTTATGGACCACTCCGGCTCACGTGGGAGGGCGCCCCTCTTGAGTCACGTGGCTCCCAACCAGAACAGCTCTCAGTGGGGTGAGGGAGCGGGTGGTGGAGGGGCGCCCTGGCTGTGGTGCGGCTCAGAATGACTAGGAGGGGGTGTTGTTTGGTAAGCCACCCTCTTCCCCACCTCGCAGGCCTCACAGATCCGCGCTGAGAATCACTGGCCTTTAGGGGCGGCAGGTCAACATAAAAGCCTGAGCAGGGAATCGGGGGCCTGAGGCCCGGGAGCATTTCCACATTTTAACAAAAGGTCTGGGCTGAACAGTCCATGACCAGACCCTGGACTTCTCTGTCTCCTGGGCCTCTTGGGAAGAGCCCTTTCCCTCACTGGCATTAAACCAACCTCTTCCAAGTTCACAGCCTCTGGTATGGCCAGGTGGCAAAACTCACGCAGACATGGTGACCAAAAGGGGTGGGTCTTGTAGGTAGAGAGGGTCTGATGAGCCCCGGCAGGAGGAGCTGAATCTCACGGGTCTGCAGGGCACCTCGCCTCCACTGAGGCGGCAGGGCGCCCACTGCCTCCCCCTGGGTTCTCTCCCTCAGCTTCTACCTCTTCCATCCTCTGGCATATGGGATGGTTGGTCCGCTAGCCCAGGACCCCCGAAGTCCGATGGCAGGACTAAGGTGGCTGGAATCATGGGACTTTTGAGGCCACTGCAAGGACTCCAGCCTGGGTCCAGGAACTTCCTGGGGACAGCCAGCTGTGGAGCCAGTCCCTGGAAGCTGTCTGAGGAGCCCGCGGAATTCTGCCACCTGCCAGGACCATGCCCTGGGAGCATACCCGGAGTGTAAGCCACTAGAGGGGGCCATGGCTCTGCTCTAACCACAGCCGTTCCTCCGCTGGGGCTGGCTCAGCAACAGGCGCCAACATCTCTCAGGCCCGTTTCCTCGAGTGTGCAGCATGAGGAGGGATGAGTGTGCAAGAGGGTGGGTGTGAGTGTGTGGGGGAGTGTGCGTGTGAGGGTGCGTGTGTCCGTATACCTGCGGAAGATAGACCGTGACTGTGGACAGCTGAGTGTCATAAACTCTAAGAAATCGTCCAGGGCTACGGTAGTATTCTCTGGGGTTTTTTTTCACACTGGATTTGGTTTGTAAGATTCATCAAAAATTCTCAGACCTCCAAGAAGGCTGAAAGCACTGACCCCACCTTGGGATGTCACCAAGGGCAGAGCAGATGGTATCGGCACGGCTGTGCTGCCCTCCTTCCCACAAATAAGCAAATACAGCTGAGGCCCCTGAGCTGGAGGGCCCGCCTCCCAGCTGCTTCCCCACGTGGCTGCTGCTGGGAAGTCTCCTCCGAGGCCGCAGGCGGCTGGACTTCTGCCTGCGATGTGCGCAGAGGACTGGGCCCCAGAGCGAGGCAGCTGAGGACTCACCAGCCCTGTTGGCCCTCCTCAGCCCTCGGTTCCTCGCTGTCTGAGAACGTCACATCACGAGGTTGGTGGGAGGGGTGGCACCCTGTCCTTGGCTACTGTGTGTTCTCAGGCCCTGTGAGCCGAGGTGATTTCTGGCTGCCCATCCCTTACCCTCTGCGTCCAGCCTGACCGTGAGGGTGGGCCCGATGCATTCTCCTGATTGCAGGGAGAGCCTTTGGGGCCCCTCTCTTAGCAGCTGAGGTGGATGTGTGGCCGTGCAGGGATGTGTATGGTGCTGGGCTGGGGTCCCAGCAGGGCCTCGGGGTGTGGGCTGCCTTGGCCTTTCTGGGCTGGTGTTCCTGTCACTCACTAAGCTTTCCCCAGTTTTACTTCTCTAGTCCTCCCCTGCTGACAGCCCCCCTCCCTTTCACTTCATTTCATTTCCTTTACTCTGTGTCACTGTCTCACCAATCTCTTTTTCCCCAAAGACCCAGAGCACCTAGAAATGCCTTGGAGCTTCTCCTCTCTACCACTCTGAAGCCCAAGCAGGAAGCTCAGAGCTGTTCCTTTTACTTCCGCCCCATATGAAAGAGATAAAGAAAACCCTTGGGTTAGCACTGAACAAACCCAAGGCCACTCCTTCAGCCCGCCTCTGTCCTCCCAGTGCATGACAAAATATTATTTTGTCTCAGAGAACTGTCATGCTTCAAGGTTTAATGATGCATCTCTGCCACACTCCATCTTCCCTCCTCTGTAGCCCCCACCAGCTCTGACAGGGTCAGAGCTCTTTAGAGCATCTTTGCTCGGCGGTTGCCACGGAGACTGGAAATTGGTCCCAAGGACAGGCTGCGCTACGTACTGGGTGGTGGGTAGGGAAGCTTCTGGCCATGCTCGGACGTTCAGACCAACCATCATTGAAGTTAATAGAGGAAATGCAGCAATGTCAAAAGCAAGGCAGGTTCGTTAATTAGATCTGGGGCCTGATGACCTCCCTTTCCCAGGGCTGCAGCCCTTTTGACTTCCCCCAGCAGGAAGCGCTGCCGGGTGCTGAGTCTGGGCTGCTTGCTTAATTGAATTTCCGGAAGGGAAGGAGAACTGGGATGGAGAACCTCCCGCTCTCCCCTCCTCCTCCGCTTCTCCCTTTCTCTCCCCCAGGCCAATTCCATTTCTTCTGAGCTGGGTGGGGGCAGCCATCTTGGTGGGCTCTCCTGGAGGTGGAATTCAGGAACCTGTGCTTGGCTCTTAGCAAAGAACAACGGCCCCACGATGACAACCGGAAGGTGGCTGATGTTCCCTTGTGCCTTGTTTCCTAATAGGAACTTGTTGGAAGGGAGGTGCTCTGAGGGCAGCCACTTTGAGTGAGGGTGAGGAAGGAGAAAGCTCAGCCAGCTTCCTGCCCATCCCTCCCTCCTAACTTGGCCACACTGGGGACAAAAGTTTCCTTTGTCTCTTACACTGCTTTCCAAAGATGCAGAAGAACTGTCCGCCCACTCCCTCCTCTTCTTCCTTGCCCAGACTGGCAGACACTTCTCTGGGGACAAGGCCGCATGGGTTGATGTAGCTTCAGGTACTCAGGTTCTGTTGTTGGAAGATGCTGAGGAGAGGGGCTGTCGTGGTGGTGCTCTGAATATGGGCTCCAGCCCCCAGGAGCAGGCAGAATGTGACACGCCCCACAGACTTGCTGGCGGAGGAAGGAGACGTTTGTTAGCTCAACCTCCAGCCGGCTTCTTGAACCACATTTTATATTAAAAAAAACTTTCCACAGATAATCAGAGGCCGTTTACTTTTGTAATAAATAGCGCTTATTTTGAACGCCATGTTGTCCTTGTTGTACTTAATTGAAGCTGACTTGCCCTCTGGCTCCCAGAAAGAAGAGAAGAATGTTTTGAGTGCAGGAACCATTCCATTGTGTCTGGAGTCTGAGGCCATTCTAATTCCAGCAGAGGCCCTGGGCTAGGCAGGCGAGCCTGATAACACCAGGGAACATTTAGGCCCTCTCATGGATAAGGTTACTTGAGTAATGTTGGTTGTTATTGTGATTTATTTAAACGTATTCTAAAATAAGTAGGAAGCTGGACCTTTTTCTCTTTTAACCTCCTCACACAAGTATAGAAAGGAATGAGAGAGAGAGAGTAACGGTTGTCCACTTCTGAGACAGCTGAGTGGCCCAGCATGGTAGCAGCAATGTCCATTCTGCTTACAAAGAGGCCCCCATCTTTTTTGTTTTGTTTTACTTTGGTTTAGTTTTTTTGTTTGTTTGGTTGGTTTTTGGCCGCACCATGCGGCCTGCGGGATCTTAGTTCCCTGACCAGGGATCGAACCCGTGCCCCCTGCATTGGAAGCACGGAGTCCTAGCCACTGGACCGCCAGGGAAGTCCTAGAGGCCCCCGTCTTGACAGGGGTCACCTGTTATCAGGAGTCATGTTAAGGGTCCAAAGGAGGTAAAAGCTGACGGGTTTTAGACAGAAGCTGTCTAAAAGGAGAGGAGAGGAGTCCACTGCATTGTGAAACTGGGGATCTTCTGGGCTGTCTGACCGACCTCCTTCTTAGGACCAAGAGTAGCTGGAGGTGGAGAGAGGGGATCGTGCAGATCCTCAGGAGATGGAACTGCCGAGGACAGGAAGGTTACAGAAGGACCAAATGCTTCATGACGCACAGCCTAGTTTTCCAGCTCATGATGCGTCTGTGACACTGAATCCTCATAAAGGCCCAGTGAAGTCCGTGCTGTTTTTGTCCCCATTCCACCCAGGAGAGATTCAGTTAATTGCCTGGTTAATAAATAGCAGATCCAGGACTAGGTGCCGAGTTGGGCTTTTTCTGCTTCTCCAGCCTGGTCCTGGGACTAGGAGCACCTGCCCAGGACAACCTGGATCCCCTGCGGAAAAGGCTTAGACTCAGATTAGCACGTTCCTTTGTACCTTCTGCCTAAAGCATCGATAGCTCATCCAGGGCCCAGTGTTTCCTGGTGCACCCAGACCAGTGGTTTGCTGGGAGGAAAAAAGCCCTGATTTGTAATATATGCCAATTTTCATGGTGTATATACTGCACCATGGCCTCTTTCAGGCTACCAGCCTGATGTTCCTGAATGAGAAGCCGGAAAGGTGAGCACAGTTGGCTGTCACAAGCCATCTAAGAGCCAGCTCTGACACACCTTTGACCCAGACCCAGTGATCCTGGCTTGGTCTGAACTTTGGGCACAGCTCTTGGGCACAGTCCGTTAGAGTGAGGAAGGGAGTGGAGCACGGAGGCCCACTGGAGGGGCCAGAGTCAGTCCAGAGGTCAAATCCTGGCCCTACCACTGATTAGCTACGTGGCCTCGGGCCAGTTACTTAGCTTCGTTGCCTCCGTTTCCTCAACAGTAAAACAGGCTATAATAAATAGGATCTACTTCGCAGCGTTATTATGAGAATGAAAAAAGTTAATGATGCAAAGTCCCTTGCACAGTGTCTGGACCTGGATGCTCCATAAATGCTAACCCTTTACTGTTGGTGATAAATCAGCCTCAGTGACAGCACTGGCTCTAGAACAGCACTTGAACCCTCTCCTCGATTAGAAACTCCTGCCCAAGTTGTGGGCAGGTGCCAGGGAGGGGAGCTCCGGTGACTTTCCCCCAGCCCCTGAAATGTGGAGTCAGACCCTCTGTCTCCTGGCTGGAAAACACCACACTGACTGCTTAGGTCCAGCCAGGTTCTTGGGCCTTTTCACTAAGGGGAGCGGAGACTAGAGTATACTCAGCTCTCTCCTCCTACCTCCTGGCTCTAGAAAGGCAGAGTGAGTGCTGGCTTCACCACTTACTAGCTAAGGCCATCAACTCATTAACCTATCAGACTCCAGACCCTGCCCAAAGGAGAAAACAGGCAAGGAGGGTCCTGAGTGTAGACTGTTGGCAGGAAGTGCAAACTGGGTGGCGTGGGAAGCCTTAGACAAGCCAGGTGGCCTGGAGCACTGGGCATCTGGGCACTGAAAGGTAAAGGTCGCCAGAGATATACGTGGTTTTCTTCCCCTGTGACCTGCTGACCTGGCTGCAGGGCCATGGGACACCAACCTGGGAGTCCAATCCCTGAGCACCCTGGCCTTCTCCCTTCAGCCCCCAGGCCCTTTGTGTTCTCACTTGGGGATCTCCTGGACTCCTTAGGACACAAGCCAGGCTGCCTTACAGCTCTGCTCCAGCCCAGAGCCCCCCGAGATGCAGGGAGGGATGGGGAAGAGAGGAATAGGGTGATATTCCTATATTATTAGCTAAATTCCTAATAGCTGTAAACTCTCGAGTCCCCAGAAGAGGGGGGGCAGCGGGATGGTCACCGGGTTCGGCTGGGAGCAAGAAAGAGGAGTTCTGCTGAGGCCCTCAGTCCTGAAGGGGGGCCAGCAGGAGAAGTTCTAGAAGGCAAAGATTCAACACTCCAGGCCTAGCACAGGGTTGGGCACGGAGCCTCAGCCTGTTTATGACCCAAGGCCCCAGCACACTCACCTTGTACCCAGGGACCAAAGGAGGCAGGCTGAAGGGCTCCTGGAGACCTCGCTCCCAACCCCCTCCATACAGCTTAGGAAACGGAAAAAGAGAGGTGGGCAGACTGAGAGTAGACAGGCTCAGAGACTTGACATAATGAAAGATAAATGAGGGTCTTGCTCTTCAAAACCTGGGCCACTGGAACTGGGCCGGGGCCTGAGGAACTTTCATGCTTGAAAGAGAAAGGTTTAGGACTTCCCCGGTGGCGCAGTGGTTAAGAATCTGCCTGCCACTTCAGGGGACACGAGTTCGAGCCCTGGTCCGAGAAGATCCCACATGCCGTGGAGCAACTAAGCCTGTGCGCCACAACTACTGAGCCTGCGCTCTAGAGCCTGCGAGCCACAACTACTGAGCACACGTGCCACAACTACTGAAGCCCACGAGCCACAACTACTGAAGCCTGCACGCCTAGATCCCGTGCTCCACAACAAGAGAAGCCGCTGTTGTGAGAAGCCCGTGCACCGCAACAAAGAGTAGGCCCTGCTCGCCGCGACTACAGAAAGCCCATGTGCAGCAACGAAAACCCAATGCAGCCAAAATAAATAAATAAATTTATATTTTAAAAAAAAGAAAGAGAAAGGTTTAGGTCTAATTGACTTCACACCCTGAATGGCAAACATGAGATTCTGTATCCTGAACTTCAAATTAAAGAAATAAATAGCAGTTCTATCTAAACATTTACAAAAGTCTATTAAAAATCGCTGAATAGTAGAATGTTCTAGCATAACTCCCTTAATGTCCAAGTAGTGGAATGCTCACAGCTGCTGCACCCAAGACCCCACCCTGGCCAAGCAGAGCTGGGTTTAGAACCTGAGCTGACAAATTTCTAAAGATGGCAGCTGACAGATTTCTCAAGAAAACCCAAGCCTGGCTGGAAATGGCTGTGGTCTTGGCCCTGTCCCTAAAGCTGAGAGTCCTGGTGGTCCCCAAATGTCACGGGGTGCCTCAGTCATACCCAGAAGTAGGGCAGACCTCCTCCCCCCCTTCCCTGGCTTCCGCCTTGTCACACAGGTAGGCGCCCTGGCATTCTCTGGCCCACCTTGGGGCATAAGGAAGGGGACCCTGTACCAAGGGATCAGGTGCCTCCAGGCAGTGTTTGAGTGGGGCTCTTGGAGAGGTGGCTCTCGCAGAGCTTACCTAAGACAATCAAATTGAACTCCTTGCCCTAACTAGGGAGTGTCACCAGATGAGAAACTGAGGTCCCAAGAGGCTCGACGATTTCTGCAAAGCTCTGAAGCCCGGTCGTTTCCCAGGCCACCGGGTCATCCCCGGCCGGAGCCAGTTGCCCAGAGATGCGCGTCCTTACGGACGAGAGGAGGGCGGGGGCGCGGTTGCTTTAAAGCGCCCCAGCCCGGGCGGCGCGGGGCGGGGCGCTCTCGGAGCCGTGGGGTGCAGGGCGCAGCGGCCGGAGCGGGGTCCCCGGAAGCACCAGCGGGGCCGGCCCGGCGGCGGCTCCTCCACCTGGGCGGGGAAGGAGCGGTTGCAGGACCCCGCCCGGCCGAGGCGCGGGGGCCGTAGGAGGTGCCGACCGGCCGCGTCGCCGCGGAGATGGCGCGGCACGTGCGGTGACGGTGCCCGCGCCCCGAGGGTCCCAGCCTAGCGCCCCGCGTCCCCGGGCGAGCATGGAGCGCCCGGAGCCCGAGCTGATCCGGCAGAGCTGGCGGGAGGTGAGCCGCAGCCCGCTGGAGCATGGCACCGTCCTGTTCGCCAGGTGAGGGCGGCCCGAGCGCCCCCGGGGTGCGGGTACTGGGGTGCCTCGCCAGGAATGGGTTCGAGGCGGCTGAGCTGGCGCCAGAGGAGGGAAACTAGCCCGCTGCTGGGGCGCTGGGGCGCCTCCAGATGTGCGCCAGAGGAGCGGCGCAGGGCGACGGGTGGCGCGGCCCCTGCTGCTCTTCCCACGGCGGTGGCCCGTCTTGCGAGACAGCACGCCCCGCTCTCTATGGGGCTCTCTGGGTGCCGGCAGGGTCCGCTCCTGCGGACCTCCTTACACTTGGGCCAGCGGCCTCCGGTTCCCACGCTGCACCCCCTCCCTGGCTGTGTGCCTCCTGAGTGGTCTTTTCTTGGGTGGTGACTGCAGGGGTGCCCACTGCTGCCCATACGGGTAGACTGGGGTGTCCCGAGGGCTTGTGCGGGGAGGGTGTACTGGGCGCCTGGCCTGCAGAGCACAGGGTCTGGGCCCCAGAAGTGTGAGCTTCCAGCAACCAACAGAAGAATAAACCTTTCTGAGGAAAGGACTGGGCTAGGACCAGAGGACTGCCAGGGAAGGGATGACAGATGCCCAATTCTCACCACTAGAGAGAGGGGTAAGGGGGTGTGCAGACCCCAAAGGGGAAGGGGAGGCCAGTCTTCAACCTCAGCTTGAGGGTATCTAGGTAACCCCTCTGCCATCACCAAAGAGGCAATGCTACCTCACCATGGTTTTTCAGGAGCCTTGGCTCCCTAAGCCAGCCCAGAACTCCTGAAGAGGCTTTCGCAAAACCTCCCCCAAACAAAAAGGGAATAAATTTGCAGAGTTACACAAAACCCCAGTGGCTTTCCCAGATGTGGCTGAGAGCTTCTGCTTGTGCCTCCCAGCTTTCCCCAAACCCACTGTTTTCTCAGGCACCCTCTGTGGCTCTGCTACTCCTAAGCTGTGTGACCTTAGGCAAGTTACTTAACCTCTCTGGGCTTCCATTTCCTCCTCTATAAACTTGGGATAACAGTTACACCCACTGTTTAGGATTGTGAGGAATACATGAGTTAACCACGTGTAAAGTACTCAATTCTCAGTAAGTGTAAGGGGTTCTATATACTATAATTATCATTGCTGGCCCACGCCCCCTTGGGCATGATGACATTGGGAGGTTCTGACCCAAGAATGGGAGGGAGGGAGAGCGATAGAGGCAGAGAGGGGGGTGGGTGGGGAGAGAGGGGGAGCTAGGGAGAGAGAGAGGTTTTCTTTTCTCCACCATGGACTGCAGGCTTCCTGTTTGAGAACCCCTTCCTGTCTCAGTCCACACCCCTCAATGGTTTATGGAGGGGCTACCCTGTGCCAGGTCGTATGAGAGGCCTGGGGACACATTGTTTTTTCCAGGATGCCACTTCCAGGTTGTGGAAGAGGTGAGAGAGGGGCACCGGCAAAGCTGGCCAAGGGGTGCATGCTAGGTTGGAGGGTGTGCTGTAGTTCACAGCCAAGGCTCTGCCCACCCTCTCCTGCTGCTGGGCAGCCAGGGCGCACGGAGCCTACAGGGGCAGCACCCCAGGGCTGACACCGGGCCTCCACCCACAGGCTGTTTGACCTGGAGCCGGACCTGCTGCCCCTCTTCCAGTACAACTGCCGCCAGTTCTCCAGCCCGGAGGACTGCCTCTCTTCCCCTGAGTTCCTGGACCACATCAGGAAGGTGAGGGGTGGGCGGAGCACCTTCCTCGGAGGGGACGAGGAAGTCGGGAGAGTTACTTCGTTTCCTGCCCCAGCCCTGGCCTTAGCCCCTCCTTCTGCTCCCTCCTGTCAGAGGCATCTGCCCCTTTCCCTTTGTGCTGAGCTGGGCAGAGTTTGGGGCACCCGAGTCAGCCTTCTCCCCCACCCTGTTCTCAGCCAGCTGCTCCCAGCTCTGCCATTTGCCCTTGGCCTTGTCCCCTGGCTCCTGTAGGTGGTGTTGGCGCTGATCCATCAGGGGCCATCTGCCTGTGAAAACCAAGCTGGGGTTTTCTTAGAGGCTGGCGACTCTCACGGGGCCTCCGTGTCCCCTCGTCCCAGGAGGACAACACTGTCCAGCAGGTGTGTTTAGGGCTTTGAGCCCCTCAGAAGAGAGCAGCTTCCTCCATGGTGTAACATTAGTAGTTTGGCCACCATATGTTGAGCGCCTACTGTATGCAGACGCAGGCTGCCTTTCGTTTCTGATACTGGAAAACTGAGGGTCCTCTTTTCCTTCTGGTTGGGACCCCCAGGTTCTGGATTATGGTTGTGAGTGGGGATGGGGAGTTGCTCTGGTCTCTCTTTCACCACCACCTTGGCCTTGGCAGGTGATGCTCGTGATCGATGCTGCGGTGACCAACGTGGAGGACCTGTCCTCGCTGGAGGAGTACCTTGCCAGCCTGGGCAGGAAGCACCGGGCAGTGGGTGTGAAGCTCAGCTCCTTCTCGGTGGGTAAAGGGGCTCTTTCTCTCTCCAAAGCTCCTGGCCTGAGGCCACCACTCTCTCCCAGGCCCCTCCTATCCACCTGTTCATCCTTCCCACTCCTATACCCTCAGATGACCAGGGCTGGGGCATGCATTGTTATGTACTTGCTGTGTGACCCTGGCACTGCCTTGACCTCTCTGAGCCTCCAATTTTTCTTCTCTGATATGGTTTCCCTTAGAACCATAGGAAGTGAAGGAGCCTTTGGTCTGCTCAGTTTTATATTGCTGTGTATAAAACCATCCCAGAACAACCTGGCTTAAAACAATGATTTCTGATTTCTCTGGGCTCAGTTGAGCGGTTCTTCTGTTCCACGTGCTGTGGCTGGAGCCACGCGTGCACTGCATTCAGCTGGGAGCTCAGCTGGGGCTGGAACGTCCAAGATGGCCTGTCATCCTTTGGGATCTCTCTTCGTGTGGCCTCGTATTGCTTAATAGTCTATAGCTGAGATTCTTCACAGAGTGGCACCTGAGTTCCGAGAGGGAGTGTTTCCAGAGGACAAGCCAGCCTCTGCATGCCTCACTCTTGCTAATGTCCCATTGGCCAAAGCCAGTCACATGGATGAGCCCAGTGTCAAGGGTGTGAATCCTTGAGGTGTGGCTCACTGGGGACCCTGACCTGACAGCCTACCACACAGTCACCTTGCCAGACGTACGCACCTTGAGGAAGGCACTGAGTTTGTCTTGTCATCTTCTCCATCCCCAGCACTAGCACAGTATCTGGTATTTAGTGCATATTCAGTAACTATTTGTGGAATAAACTGTATTTTATAATTACTAATAAAACATGAGAACCGTTATTATTGTTGAAGACTTACTGTGTGTAGATGCTGTGCTAAGAGCTTTTCACAGATGATCTCATTTCATCATCCCAACAACCTGAGGAGTTGCAAGTCTTACATTCCCTGTTGTACTGATGCAGCATCTGAGGCTCAGAGAGGTTACCTAACTTGCTCAAGGTCACACAGCTCGTAAGTAGTAGAGTCAGAAAGTGAACTCAGGTTCATCTCAGGTTGCAGAGCCTGGACTCTTAACATCATGACTGCTGTCTTGCAGAGGAGGAAACAGGCCTGGAGGCAATGACTTTGCTTGGCCTGAGCTGGAGGTCCCTCGGCTCCACTCATGGGGTGGTTGTGAGGCTGGGAGTGGAGTGAAATGCTTTGTTCACTTTAAAGCCTCACCTTTAAGGTGTACACAAGGATTGGGGCAGAATCCTGCTCAGGAAGCATGGACCCCCGTGCAGGAGAGAAGAAAAGCCCAGGAGTCCTTACCAGCCCCAAGCCTCAGTTTTCTCACCTGTGGAATGAGGGCACGCCTTCCCGCCTTCGGGAATGACAGGTGCCCCTTGCCTCTGCAGACGGTGGGTGAGTCCCTGCTCTACATGCTGGAGAAGTGCCTGGGCCCTGCCTTCACACCAGCCATGCGGGCTGCCTGGAGCCAGCTCTACGGAGCCGTGGTACAGGCCATGAGTCGTGGCTGGGATGGCGATTAAGAGGCAGCCCTGCCCAGCGGCCTCTGCCTGGTGGCCCCTGACGGTCTGTGTCTACCTGTTGGTCTGTGTCCATTGTAGCCCAGGCTCCCCTAGGCCTCCCTGCATCATGGTCCTTGTCCCCTTGGCCTTGCCGGAGAGGTGATGGAGCAGGGCTGCGTCTCAGTCTCCCTCACCCCCGACTGCAGACAGGGTGGCTTTTCCTTAGAAAGGGGCCTTCGGATTTCCTTGAATTTCCAGTAGCTTCCTCCCTGCCGGCCTTCTTTCCTCTGCAGCCTCCCCTCTTCTTCCAGGAGGAGGAGCAGCGTTTTGGTAGCAGAGGTGGCACGGACCCAGAGGGTATGGGGCTTTGAGGGAATGGGCTCTTCTGTCACCCTGCCTTCCCAGGCGAGCTTGGGCCAAGCGGGGCAGTGGCGTGGCTGAGCTTCGGGCACCTTCCCAGCTTGCCTGCCTTCAGTGCTTTTCTCTCCCAGGGGTGTTTGCTTTTCACGAGGAAAGAGGTGGGATAGCTTCAGCCTTCATGGTGGAATCACGGGCAGCAGGAGCAGGGGGCCAGGAGAGCTGCTGAGGAAGGGAGACCTGGCTCCGTGATGGGGCTTATCTGCGTCTTGGGGGCCCACTCACATGCCACCCGACAGAGTAGTTTTTCTTTTGTAGTGTCTGGTGGGAGCTCCCCTATTATCGCTCTGTAAGAACCAGCCAGCCAGCCAGGGTGGGGCGAGGCTGCGGAAGGGCAAGGAAGGAGGAGGGCTTCATTCCCAAGAGACCTGACTCCCAGCGGCTCTTGGTCACCCCGGACCCCGTCAGACCCTGAGTCTCATTTCCCTCACCACCCTTTTTGCCTCTGCCCATACCGATGGCAGGTCCACAGATCCCCGTATTTAATACCTGCTGTGTGCCTGTAGTTAGCTGGATGGATAGAAGACAAAGCTGCAGGAGAGGCCCCCTGCCCTCGCCCCGAGCTGTCTCCACTTTTATCTTCTGCTGTGTGCTGTGGTTGTATAAACTTATGAGAAATAAACCTATTTTGTGTGCCCCTCTGACCCACTGGGACTGGTCTTTTCTTTGGTGTTGGCTTGTGACCAGATGAAGATGCAGGGCGGTGGATGTAGGACAGAGTGGGAGGATGGGTTCAGCAGGGTCAAGGCCAGAGTGGGTGGAAAAGTAGGAAAAGGTGTGGGGAAGCCAGTGGCCGAGATGGAGCCAGGGGTCTGTGGTGGAAACTGGCTGGCAGGGCACACAACTGGACTACATTTCCCAGCGTCCCTTGCATTTAGGTGGGGCATGTGACTGAGTTCTGGCCAATGGAATGTGTGGACATGTATACCACTTCCAGACCTGGTCCCCACAAACTCCTGCATGCCCCTCTGTGCTCTGTCATCCTTCCACCAGCTTGATGCAGACCTCACAGTGACCTTGAGGGCCACGCATTGAACGTGGCAGAGTCACAGGTGGAAGGAGCTGGGTCCCTGAATCACTGCTTGGAGGAGAGCACTCACTAATCGGAAGTGCCTTGCAGAGTCCAAGTACTTCTCCAGCGTGTAGAGCAGGGGCTCACCGATTTTGAATTTTACAGGAAAGAGACATAAACTTCTACTGTGTTTGTGCCATTGTACATTTGGGGGTTGGTTTGTTACAACATATACCCACACTAGTCCAGAGTCTGAAGCAGTTCACTGCTCAGGGGTCTGGGAGCCCACCTGCTGGTGGACAAGGTGAGGCCTGGGATTGAATGGATTAGGTGCCAGGACAGCAGCACCAAATCTTGCAGTGTTTCCGAGGAAAGTTTCTAGATCCTCTTGGCAGGGGTAGGTGCCAATCCCAGGGAGGTCTTTTTAAGGAGACTAAACGTGATAACCCGGGGTGCACATTGGAGTTGAAGAGCAGGTGTGAGTGTGTGTGTGGGTGTGTTGTTATGAGGAACATGCAGACAACGGTAGAGACATAGCCAGGGGCACGGGGAGCGAGTGACTTTAAGAGCGGGCTTCCTCCGAGCAGGCTTGGGCTTAACCCGCCACGTGCTCCTGGCCTCCTAGGGGTGGGTCCTGGAGCTGGGCTGTGAATGGCTGGAGGGACTGCGCCCAGGCCAGCTACCCACACCCCGAGGTCCGGTTTTCTCAGCCCAGACCAATGCCACTGGCACCAGCAGAGCCTCGCTAGCTCCAGCTGGGGCCTCATTTTTGTTGAGCTCAGGGGCCAGGCCTGCCAGGCTGTGGGACTGCAGATGTTGGGTCTGGAGCGTGCTAGGAGTGCTTTTCCCACTGGGGCGTCCAAAGTATCTTTTTCTTGTGCCCACACAGGCTCCAGTGAGGAGGCCTCCTCTGCTGTGTGAGCAAACAGCGGCTCAGGATCTGGTGGCCAAGCCTGGCCTAGGGCTCCTGAATGTTTGACAGCCACCCAGGAGACTGGGGTGCCCTGCCTCTGGAGAGGCCAAACAGCCTCCTCTGATGTGTCTTAAGCCATCCTAAGCATGGGTGCTTTCACCTCTCTTGAAGGCCTCTCTTCCACTTGTGCGTGTGCGTGTGTGTGAGAGAGAGAGAGTGTGTGTGTGTGTGTGTGTGCGGGGCGGGTAGTTCCTTCCTCCTCCATTCCAGGTCTCAACCCTGGAATCCTCTCTCTCTTCTCCTCATTCCATCAGCCCATATCTCGCGTTCTACACAAAGAACCTCCCCTCCCTCACTGCCCGCTTCCCTCTTCAGCTACCACCCTATTTCTTTACTTCCTTTGATAGCAAAACTCTTCAGAAGAGTTGTCTTTCCTCGCCGTTCTCACGTCCTCACTCCTGTGAGAGGATGGTAACCCATTTCAACCAGGCTTTCATCCACCCACCAATCTTACCGTCAAGGTCACTAACAATCTCTATCCTGCCAAACTCAGGGGCCGCATCTCCGTGTTCGTCTTCCTCTTCTGCTCAGCAGCACCGGAAGTGTTGATCACCCCTTCTTCTATCTTTAAACTTTTTAGCATGGAGACGTGTTAACACACACAAAAATCAGAGCCTAACAGATCTCCGTGTACCCTTCACCCAGAATCAGCAGTGAAGCAACTCAAGACCTCCCCCTGCCCTTCTCTTTTGCTGGACAGTTTCAAAGCTAATCCCAGACATCATGTTCTTTCACTCGTAACGTCTTCCATATGAATTTCTAGCTGATTTTTTTTTTTTTTTTTTTTTTTTTTACCTTTTAACTCATGCTATCAACATACCTACCAAGACGAACAGTTATCTCCTCAACATCACCTAAGAACACCCAGTTCATGTTCAAATTTCCCTGGTATCTAAAAGATGTCTTTCTGCAGCTGGTTTGTTCAATTCAAGATGCAATCAAGGGCCACACACTGTATCTGGTTGCGTCTCCTAAACGTCCCATTCTCTACCAGCCTCTCGCCTCCTTCCCCAGGCTATTGATCTGTGGGTAAAACCTGCTTATTTGTTCAGTGGCATGTCCAGCATTTGACTTGCCTGATGCTTCTTGGTGGCGTCTTTGAGCTCATTCCTCTCTGCCCCGTATTTGTTGTCAAGTGTGATTAGAGCTGGGGTCCCCCTTCCCCTTTGAGTCCCTTTCTTCCCTTGGCTTCCGGGACACCAGGCTTTCCTGGTTTCCCTCCTTCCCCTCTGCCACTCCTTTTCAGTCTCCCTTGCAGATTCTCCTTCCCATCTCTCTCTGACCTACGCTTGCGCCTGTAGAGGTCGCAGCCAGTCCCATGCTTTCAACACCATCCGGAAGCTGATGACTCTGGAGTTTACACCTCCAGCCCAACTCGCCCTTACTCCAGACTCTGTATCCAGCCACCTGCCCAACGTCCACACAAGGCACCATCTCAGACGTAACACAACCAAGACGAGACACTTGGTCTTTTCCCCAGAACTGCTCCTTCCCAGCGTTCTCTGCTTTGGTAAACCAGCTTACCCAGTTGTTTAGGCCGAAGAACTGGAAGTCATCCTTACCTCCTTGCTTCCTCTCAGACCCCCCATCGAATCTATCCAGGGATCCCCAGGCCCTATTCCGAATTTCACTACCTGTCTCCCCTTTCACTGCCCTGTCCTTGGCTGAGCTACTGTACTGTCGCCCCCTGGATGCCTCGAGTCCCCAGCGGGGCTTTCTGCTTCCGTCTTGTCCCCACCCAGTGGCTAGTAAGGAGATCATGTCTCTGCCCTGCTCAGAACCCTCCAGTAGCTTAGCCCACAGAGCCCCATGGTCCCCTCAGACCTCGCCTCCTTCCTCTCTTCCCCTCGCTCACTCTGCTCTGGCCACTCTGGCCTCCTCGCTGGTCCTCAGGCCCGCATTTAGTCCCCACTCCCTTCATGCAGCCTCCACTGGCTCACGTGTCTCATGTCGCGTTCCCACAGAGCTCGTCCCCCATCCTCCCCATCGCTAGACAGCCCCCCGCATCCCGCTTTATTTTTTCTTCAAAGCACCTATCCTGACCTCCCACTATGTAAATTTGTTTACTGTACTTATAATCTATTGCATTCCACATGGGAAGGCTGTCAGGAAAGCCACTTTGGGCTCTATGTTTGGATAGAAGAGGAGAGGCTTCAAACCATTGCTGCAGGTGACCAGACAGGCAGAAGTGACCCCTGAAGCTGGCGTGTGTGTCTCTGGCCCAACAGTAGTACTTAATGCAAACTAAGATGATTACAATAGAAGTTGTGCCCACGCTGGGCATTAACCGCTTGTAAGCCCAAAGGAAAATGCTTGTTTGGGCCTAATCTTTACCTACCAGGCACCTGCCTTCTGAGCTCTCTGGAGGCAGAGTGAAGGGAGGAGAGGTTTCCCAGCCTATGGATTTGTAACTACGCACAAGCTACAGGGCCACCCCCTCCCCGAGGTGAGAGGCAGTGTGAGGTGCTGAGGGCAGCTTGCCCGGCTCCAGGGCCGTGAGGCTGGGATGGTTCCTTACGGCTCCACGAGAGCCTTGCTCACTCAACCCTCCTACACACCAGAGTCACCGGGGGGATTTCGTAAAATAGAAATGTCCCGGCCCCTCCCCAGTAATTCTGGCTCGTTCACGGAGGGGGCCTGGATGTTTAAAATCTCCCAGGATACTCCAATTTGCAGCTGGGCTAGAGACCCAGCACTTGAAGCTTCAGAGATGCTGGGCTGCTGGTTGTCAAGGTGGGACCTCAGATGTTCAAAGAACAGCCTCTGTTGAAAACACCTGTGAACTGTCTTCCCATAAGCCAGGCTCCGCCACGCTTCCCCGGGCCCTTCACAGAGCGAGCTCAGAAACCCAGAGTCCGCCAGCATGGAGCTTCCCGAGCGTGACGGCTTTGGGAGGGTGGCGGGGAGCTGCCCCAAGCTTGTCCTCCAGGCACAGCCTCCTGGAGCCCAGGGCCCTTCTGCTTCCTCCCCAGTCCCACAGAGCCCAACCTGGCACTCAGTCTGGTGCACCAATGCCCTCTTGGGCAGAGCCCCATGGAGCTGGCATCCTGGACCTCCCTGGCACCAGGCCTCCCTCTTGGCCATCTGCCCACTCCACTCCTCCTTAACCCCCTGATCCCCATTCCCAGGCAGCAGGACCTAGCCCCTCCCACCAGGCCAGGGTGGTCTTCCTACTCCTTTCTCCACTGAAGCATCTCTTGTGGATTTCATCTGACTCGACTTGGAAGATAATTGCTTTGAGGGGAGAGGGGTCAAGGGGATGGGCCCTGGCCCCCTGCCCGGGTTCACACCTTGGGGGGCTTTGAGCCCTTGCCCATGGGTGGACTATGGAAGCTTGAGGAGAAGGTCCAGCGAGGGGGGCTCAGGAGCATCCCTTGGGCACTGTGCCCCGAGAGTGGCCTCTGTCCTCACAGGGAGCGGCGGGGGAGGAAGCCCCCCTCCACACCCTGTTCCCTCTGTCCCTGCGGCTGAATCTGCTCTATTCAGTAATGAGACAGAGTGGTCAGCCTCCCGTCCTCCTGCTTTCAGGATGAGGTGACCAGCCTAGGGTCAGTGAGCTAGCTAGAGGAAGGGCCAGTACACATGTCCCCCAGGGCAGGGAATTTACCCACCTTGCCACAGGTGTGACAGCAGACATAACTACCCTTTGCTAGAGGGTTTTCTTCTCCCGTGCAGGCCTGCTGTGACAACCCCACATACCCGCCTAATGCCCAACCTCTCCCTGACCTCCCCCTGCCCTCATGCTGCTGGTGGAGGCTGGTGCAGACCTGGGCCCAGCCTGCTGCTCCCTGGGGGCTCCCACCTGAAATCTTCGTCTTGTCCAGTCCGGCTGCTCATCTGGCCGGGGGCCCACTCTCAGGGCCCAGCACTCACCCCAGGGCTTCTGCTACCCAGGAAAGGCTGCCCTGGTGGCTTCCTGGGTAGCTCATGGACCGGAAAGTTCTCCCCTACTGCTCAGGGGACTCTCAGAGCATCCACAGTGGAAAGAGGCAGATTCACTTCCTGTTTCTCCAGCAGATGAGGTAGCATTTGCCAGGCCTTCCCCCGTGAGGACAGGGGCCAGGGAAGGCCTCAGGGGTCAAGGGTCCCAGAGTAGCAGCTCTGGCCCCAGGGGCCAAAGCCACAAAGCAAGATGTGGTGCTCCAGCCTGGCCACCTCAGGGAGCTCTGGCTCCTTCTGGATGGAGGGAAAGCCCCGCTGGGCTGGTTCAGATGCAGAGGCACAGGCCAGCAGAGGTTGGGAGGACTTGTTTATTCAAGGCACGGTCATAGCGTTAATAACAAGAAGGTTCGGCGTTCTGACACATTGCTTTAGTGGTGATGGCCAAGGCAAGTCCACACTCCCCACCGGGGTCCCCAGAGGATGCAATGCTGCTGATAGGCACTTTGCTTCCAGAAGTGTCTGAGGAAGAGGCAGGCAAGCATGGAGCTGCCCTAGGCCCCGGGAGGGGCATTTCTCAAAGGCTCTAGGCAATACCTGGTCCCCCGAGGCAGCTCCCTCCAGAGAGGATCAGGTCTGAGAGGCGGGGCTTGGGGGAACAGATGGGGCAGGGGCGGCTGGGAAGTGGGCAGTGGGATGGGGTGGATGGTGGTAGGCGGAGGCCAGTGGGTGAGAAGCGTGTGGGCCGAGAGAGCAGGTTGGAGGGGAGATGCTTGAGGAGGGCCTGGATGTGGCGTGTAAGGAGCCAAAGTACGCCCACACCCGCAGCAGTGACCACGGGAGGTCGAGCGGCTGTGGCCAGGGTCTCCGGGAAGAGTAGAGAAGCCAGTAGATGCAGCAACTTTCCCAACATCCTCACCGTCTTCTCAGAACCAGACTGCACTTGACCCAGATTCAGAGGGGGAAGCCCCAGCCATGCTGCCATAGCATCTGCTGGGACCTTTCCATATGTAGCTTCCACAGGCTGCCAGCAGGGCAGTGGGAGGCGAAACAAGCAGCAGGAACAGTCCCGCAGGGGCTGCGGAGGCCAGGGCGGATGCCAGCAAGTAGTGCCAAGTGAAGGAGAGCCCTCAGGCCAGCTTCTGGCAGGATGGCCCTCGCCACACACCTGGGCGTGGGGCAGGGCCTGGAGCTGCCACCTCCCCATGGTGGGCAGGGCTCCGTGCTGGACTGTCCTGGAAAGGACCACTTCCCCCTGTTGGCTGGTGAAATGCTTGGGGGAGATAGCCCTGCGGGGCCTGGGTTTACGAGGGACCAGCTGGGTATTTCCTCCTTATTCCTACCTGGACGAGGAGAGACAGCCTCCTCCCAGATGAGCCAGGCTCTCTGGAAAGATCCCTCACGCCAAGGTCTGGGCTGAGCTCTCGGGGGAGAGCAGTATTTGCCCCTCAAGTGCTATTTCTCCTCTGGGGTCAAGCTTGGAGCTTCTGGAGCCAGGATGTGGGCACGGGTGGAGCAGAAGTGAGGCTCAGGTGATCTGAGCTCAGGAGCACGTGTGTGCCCGGCAGCCGGTGGGAAACACCCAGGTGAGGTGAACCTGGACGCCCACCTTCAGTAGGTTGGCTGCAGGGGCCCAGATCTTTGGAGGAGGGCGCTCAGGAGAGCTTTAGAGCGTGCAGATCCCATTTGACTTGGTTCATTCTGGTGCACCCAGGCCCTGGCCAGCCCTTCTTCATGTCTCCCCAGCTGGCTGCCTGGTGGTCCTGATGGGGGCCTGTCCCCAGAGGCCTGCACACCCCCGGCCTGCAGCAGTGGTGGCACCAGCGTTGTTCCCACTCAGGATTCGGCTCCTCCAGGCCTCGTGGGGGGGCCGCCCCGGGAGGGCAGCCTTACTCTGCCTGTCCATGGAGGACGCAGCTCCCGCCTGCGCCCCTCAATCCCCCGCAGGGCATCCGCAGTGTCTGAGCCAGGACCACACTGGAGGCCACTGGACTGCTCTTCACTGCAGAGCGCAGGGCGGCCCCGAGAGGAGAGGAAGGGTCCTGCTCAGAGGCCGGGGAGAGGCCAGTGCCTTCAGTTTTCAGCAAGGGCTTCTCACCCTCAGCTACCCCCCACCTTGGTCACCCTGGGGGCCTAGGCACTCAGATGGGTATGCGGCCGGAGCAGCTCTCAGTGGCCACAACCTCGACCTTGGGGGTCCTCTCATTAGGCCCCCGGGCTTGGGGAGGTATATCGGGTTTCTCATCACTCAGCTTTTTGGGAGAAGACCTCCTTCCATGAATTCTGCCTCTGCCCCGCCCACCTTACAGTAACCAGCAGCCTTCATCAAAATGCACACAGGTGCCATTTAATGAGCCCTGCGTGACCACATCCCAGCTACTCCTGCAGGAATAGAAAGCAGAAGGCTCTCTACCCTGCTTCTCCTGGGGACATCTGATGAGGGGCAGAGGAATAGGAAGGGGCTCAGTCGCCTCCTTTAAGTCTATGGTCTCAGCTGCCCCTTCCTGCGGGTGGGTGCAGAGACTTTCTCTTTACAGATCCCCGTGCAGGGAAACCCGGAGGAGGTGGCCGTCTGTGTCTTGCTGGCGATGCCCAGCATACATACCTTTGCTTCCTCAGACTGCAGGAGAGGGGTGGGCTGGGAGTGAGGGTTAGGGTAGGACAGCAGCAGAAGCTCCTTGGGCAGGGCAGCTGGTGGAAGGGTGGCGAAGACCCCAGAGAGTCTTCAGTGGGCTTCCTCCTGCCTCTTCCCTGATGCGAACCTTCTCCACCATGACCCCAGGAAGTCCCCCAGCCTTCAGTCTCTGTGCTCAGGGCTCCAGCCCCTGCTCCCAAGACATGGTCCTCGTCGGTATCCTCCATCCCATCCTGGGGTCCCTCGACACTGCCTGTCATCTCCCGTTCTAGCTGGTCAGCAGGTCGGGGCCTCCACGTGGCCGACAGATAGCCGGGGCTCTGTTGGGGCCTTCCCAAAGTCTGCAGGAGGTAGTGGGGCGGCGGTCCAGGCCACCCTCCTTGCCTCCCCCTGCTGGGCTCTCCCCTGGCCGCCACTCCCGGCTGGCGTCGCCAGGTGGAGGCCTTGGGTCCTGGTCAGTGGTACTGGCTCTGGCCCTCCAGTTCCAGCCCTTCCTGGAACTGGGCCGAGTCCAGCTCCCTTGCAAAGCCCCTCACACCACTCTCCTCTTCTCCCTCTTCCGGCTGTCCGTTCATGGTGCCGTAGGTGTGCCGGGCTGGGGAGGAGGCTGGGGTCAGGTTCATCTCCGGCTCTTGCAGCACAGTGGCCACATACAGCTGCTCGGGACAGAGAGGGGAGATGGGGTGAGGTCACATATGGGGCAAGGCCCTGGGCACACGCTTCCCCCTCACACTTTACACGCAGAGCCTCTGCCCCTCTAAGCCGTGGCTCCTTCCTTCTTCCCCTGCAGCCCAAGTCCTGGCCATCCCACCTGCCCAGCTGCTCTCGATCATTTATCGAGCATCTACGTGCTCCCTGGGCTGGTTAGTGTGAGTTTCCTAGTCTACTCTTCGTTCAGCACACGTGCCATTCATTCTTGGTTCCAGGTCAGGCTGAACCCAGGGGGTGATGACATGAGTCTCCCTTACACTGGGGTCTGGAGGGACCCCCCCATTCCTGAGCTAGCGCATTTTCTAACACAGCTTCAGAGGTGCATCCAACTCCCTCGGGCTGTGTCATTGGTTGGCCAGGATTTGAAACAGGCTGCTAGCTGAGGTCTTGGTCATGTGACCTGTGAAATCCAGGCATGGGCCCAGGAATGCCTGGGATGGCAACAGACTAGAAAAATACAAGAAGTACTAGGGTCAGAGCTGTTTGTCACCCTTTGAAGGGACTTTTAAACCAACTCCTTATTTTGAAAATAGGTAATTATTGGGTAGAATTAAACCTTTCCTGTGGGAATTTATTTCAGTGAAACTAAACAGCCCTAGTTGATGAGAGAACACTCTTTCTACAGAAGAACTGAGGTATTTTCATAAGGCCAAAATAAACCCCATAGATGACTTTTGGGTCCTAGGGGAAAAATGGTAACTGAACAATGGAAGAAGCCAGCAGTCATCCCTGAATCAGGGAGTCACTTCAGCATCATTAATGGCAATAAATGGGATATTATATATTGCCTGGTGTGGCTCACAGCACTGCCTGTAATGTGTTCTATCTAGCCCCTAGTGTCAAACTTGAATCTCTCAAGCCTGTGGATCTAACTTCTAGTTTTCAGGAAATACAGGAGATAGTGTAACCTCCTGTAAGATACCATGAAGAAACAGCCAGAAAAAGCCAGAAGTTGGGACATTCTGCAGGACTCCTGGCTTGGTCTCTCCAACAAGTCATAAAACAGAGACGGTGCTAAAATAAAAGGGACATGCACAGGTGCCAGGTTAATCTAGCACAGAGACTGGATTGGATCTTGGTCTGGACAAGCTGTAAAAGATATTTCTGGAACATGTAGGGCAAGTTGAATATGGACTGGGTATTTGAAGAGGTAAAAATGCATATATGTAGAAAGACAGAGATTGTTAACTTAAAATGCAGGTTATAAAATAGTGTACAGTATTATGTCATTAAAAAAATATCTATATATCTGAAAAAATATACATTAAGGTATCAGTGGTCATCTCTAGGTGGTAGAAACATGGACTTTTAATTTTCTTATTTTTGCTTCTCTGTTTTTTCCCCATAATTATCTACAACGCTCAGACCCCTCTGTTATAATAATGAAAGATTTAAAAAAATCAATTCCAGTAATTTTTTTTTTTAAAGCTCAAACTCTAGAGTCTGACAGACCTGGTTCAAACCTTGTTCCGCCGCTTCCTTGCATAGTAGTACTCTAGGGTCTAAATTAATTCACCTTTGTGAGTCTCAGTTTCCCCATCTGTAAAATGAGGATAAAACCCCCTACTGTGCAGGTTTATCATAAAGATCAAGAGCGAGAATGGTGAAGCGTCCAGTTTGTAAGGTTCCAATAACCGATTGCTTACAATATTCCAGAGGGGTCATCTTGGAAGGGCCCCAGGGGAGATGCTATGTGAAGAGAGACTTTCCTGCTTCGAAACCTTTGTTGTCTCTCTGGTACTGGAGCTCCTTCTTGCCTGCCACCTCCCAGAGCTCATCGGGCCCTATCTGTAGGGTTCGTTTCAGAGTGAGGCAGACCTGTAGTTCTATGCACCTGGCGTGGGCACGTCCGCCCACTGTTGCGTCTGTGAGCTTTCACCCAACGCTGCCGTGACTAAAGGGCCTCCCCTCGCACCGGTCCCTGCCGCCCACTCTGCGTTTGCACCAGGCCCCAAACTGTCTTAGGTTCCCCGGTGCTCCAGATTCTCTCTTCGGGGTCTTTGCACAGGCTGATCCTCTTCCTTGAATGCTCTTCCCCCACACACTCTTCCACCTGGTAACCCCTACTCTCCCATTCCTGGGGTCGGATTAGATGTTCCCTCCTCCGGGAAGCCTTCCCTGAGTGCCCAGGCTGGCTGGTACCCTTCTTCAGTGCTCCCCAAGGCACCCTGGCATCGGGGCACGGGCTGACCCGTACCCTGCTCAGTGCATGCATCAGTGGCCCTGCAGCCACACTTGTGGCCGGGCTGCGGGAGAGCGCTCACGCCCCTCCAGGCTGAGCCACAGTGTGGGAGCCAACGCCCAGCCTGCTGGACCCCCTGCACTCTGAGTCCGGCCTCGTCTCTTCACAAGCTGACGGACTCACTCATCCGGCGCGGCCCCTGCCTTACCACGCGGTGCAGACTTCCAATAGCTCGCTGCGGCTCTATCTGCGCCACTCTGCCTGGCCCCTGTGCCCTTGGAGGCAGCCTTTGGTCCTGAGGCTGAGCCCCAGCACGGCCCTGCGTCTACACGCCCGAGCTCCCTGTGGCTGGGTTCGCCCTGACTGTTCTTGTCCTCTCTGAGCTCCTTCTAGAGAATGTCCTGGAGTAAATCCAGGATCTTCTATCTTTCTGAAGGCTCTTCAGCCAGGGCCACGGCAGCAATCTGACCTGGGCCAAGTCCTGCTGCATCAGAGGAGGGGGTCCAGGGACGCCCGGCTCCTCCCCAGTACCCAGGGTGGCCACTAACTGCTGGTATCCCCGCAGTGCTGCTGGAGTAGCCCACCCCTGCAAGCACCCGCCTCCCGACACGTCCCAGGGCGAAGGCACTGACTCACAAGGGAAGTTGGTGTGGAGGAGGTGCTGCTGGGCTCCAGGTCAAACACGGTCTCCATCTCCTCCTCAGGCTGCAGTGGCGGAAGAGACAAGGAGGGTCACGGGGTGCCCCCACCCTCCCCACGTCCAGAGAAGCCTGGACCTTAAACTCAGGCTTAAGGGGCCTGCTGCTCCCCTTAAACTCAACTCATCTTCTATTTTTCCAGATCCGCAGTCCAGCTGGCAGGGCTGAAGCCCAGGGGGACAGAGAGTAGACTGGGAAGCTGGGGAGACCCTTCTGAAATATTCCATTCGCAAGGACCACAGTGGGAGAGAGTAAGCAGAGTGGAGGCTGCGGTTCAAAGATGAGACTGCTTTGACTCTGGGAGAAGCCTTGACTTCCATAATACCTTTTCTCCTGCCAGAATTTCCCCTCTATCTCTGTAATGAGATGAGGGGTTAGGTCCCCTGTCACCTTCTGTCTCTACAATGGACCCTTGAGTAACCAGATCCCAGATCCCGTTGTATTGGGAAGACAGAGCCAGAGGCGTCGTTCGCTCTGGTCCTTCACTAGCGTGGACTCGGGCCAGGGGATGGAGGAGGGTCCAGGTAGAAAGGGCAGCAGGCACCTGTGCCCAGGGCCACAGATACGGAACCACTGGAAGCAAGAAGATCCTCTTCTCAGAGGCTCCCTCCTCTGACTCAGCAGGATGCTAGTACTTTAAATCAACTTTCTTTCTTATTTAAATTCATTTGAAAAGGAAACAATTCACTCTTATGAACAGAAATCCTGTGTCAGTTGCCGTAAGCAAGGTTAAGTAGAAAAATAAATGTGTGACCATGAAAAATATAAAATGTTTTAGCCCACTGGAAATCATTCCCGTACACCTCTACGGTCACTCCACTTTAGGAAGTGCTGATCTAGAGCACACAGTCCTGTTGGCATGGATTAGATCCCTTCTCTAATAATTGGCTCGGCCCCACTGGCAAAGAGCCGAAAGAGTCATGGGGCCCAGAGAGCCAGGCCTCCCTTCCAGACAAGTTCAATATCCTGAGATTCTTAAAAGTGAGATGACTGACTCCTTTCCCCAGGTTATCCTCCTTTACCACCCCCTCTTTTACTCCTTCACTCCATCCTCTCTCTCAAGCCTCCGTGCCTTGGAATGGCCCTCGCGGCTCAGTGGCTGAATAGGCTCACATCGTAGGAGGGATGGGCCAGCAGCCTGTGGTTCGGAGGAGATGAAAGAGGGGAGAAGAGGAGAGGACAGCTGTCTTCTGGATTTCCCTGCCCCGGGAGACGTGATTCCGGGGCCAGCGCAAGGACACATGCAGCACGTACACCCGGCCACTGAGTCTGCACATCCCGTCATCAGAGAGGAAGGCAAGAGCCTCTCGTCATCGTGCTGCTTCGGGTGGGCGTCCAGGAGCTGTGTGCCCTGGGACTGGGAGAACCTGCGGAGGAAAGTCAGGCTGGCGACTCACCTCATAGTCAGACGCTTTCCGAAGCTTCCCCAGAAAAGTGCCAACGCAGGCCAGTATCATGGAAACGATAAGGGTGGAGAGGGAAAAGAAGGTGATGGCGTGTAGCGGCCCTGCAAGGAGAAGGAAAGGCATGGGCGTGGCGCTTGAGGACCAGAGCTGTGGGCAGGGGTGCCGGCTGAGATGCCGCCCGGGCTGACAGATGCCTGGGGCCCAGCTCAGCACCCCTGTAGGAGTTTGGAGCCCAGGGCAGAGATGTCCCTGCCCAGTTCTCCCCTTAACAACTTGATCAATGAGCCTGACACTGGGACATCAACCCTCTGCGCTATTTGGCCAGTTTAGGATTTGGCATCCAGTGGATTCCATGAAAAAAAATTAATTGACTTAAATATCCACTTAGCTGCCCATTAAACGTCCTCCTTGATGTCAGTTACCTTCCACCTCACGGTCCCTGGGAAGTATCTCTGAGTCACTCATTTATGCCACTGCCCCAAACTACAGTCAGTCTTAGACCAACACCTTTTCTTGTAAAAGCCCTTTTTCAAAGCATTTTTTTAAACTTTATACTGGAGCATAGTTGATGAGCAATGCTGTGTTCGTTTCAGGTGTACAGCAAAGTGACTCAGTTATACACATACACGTATCTATTCTTGTTCCAAGTTCTTTTCCCATTTAGGTTATCACAGGATATTGAGCAGCGTTCCCTGTGCTACACAGTAGGTCCTTGTTGGTTATCTGTTTTAAATATAGCCGTGTGTACACGTCAATTCCAAACTCCCAACCTATCCCTCCCCGCCTTCCGCCCTGGTAACCGTAAGTGCATTCTCTAAGTCTGTGAGTCTGTTTCTGTTTTGTAGAGAAGTTCACTTGTTATCTTTTATTTTTTTTTGAGATTCCACATATAAGCGACATCATGTGATATTTGTCTCTCTCTGTCTGGCCCTTGTAAGCCCTTCTGGAGTGAGTGTGCTCGGTTACGCGTGCTAACGGCCTGGAAAAGCAATTCAGAATTTTTGTTTGGGGATGTTTGGTAACTTTTTTATGGTAGCAGTTTTCTAACTACATGAATATTGAAAATCAGTCTTTACAGTCAGAAGTTATTGCATAACGATGTTTATTGTTGTGTTTTTATAAAAGCAAAAAATGATAAACAACGTCAATATCCCAACCATGGAGAACTGACTAAAAGTGACAGAATTTCATGCAGACGTTAAAAGGCATGTACTCAACAGTACTTTGATAATGCAAGAAATTGCTCAGAACATAATGTTCAGTGAAGAAACTCAGGATACAAGTCTGAATAGTATAAAGTGGATATCACAATTTTGTAAAGTAAGAGTAAACCAATAAACTCCCTCCACTTTGCCCTGTCCCGCAAAACGTATGCACAGAGTAAGATGTGGGAGCGACAGACATGAGGCTGTAGGGGAGCTGGTAGGTCATTCAAATTTTGATCTTTCAATTTTCTCTATTTTTGATATAAACATGTAGTTCTTTATACTTAGAAAAAAAGCATTATTAAAAAAATGAAGTCTGCTGGGGCAGGAAAGGCTTCGGGGGTGACAACAAATGGACAACGCATATAAGTAACCATGAGCTGAATGTTGCCTGACACCCCTGTGACAGGCAGTGAAAAAACATGGACTTTCCCTTCTCCACACCACTGAGAAGGTTAAGGTCAAGTGTCTTGAGGGAAGGCAAGTGTGGGGTGGGGGGAAGAAGGAGGACGGGGAGGTCAGCATGAGCCTTCTCTGAGACTGGGAAGGGGCTGGCAGAGACTGCTGCCTAGGGCACGGGTGGCTCTGAGGGCAGAGAGCCGGGGGGTTCCAGTCTGTGGCCTGTGGGGCTTCTCTCTGTGAGGGTGTCTCTGAGCTCAGCTGGGCAGGGTCAGCAGCTTTGTGTAGCCAAGCTGGCTGCTGGGGCAGGCTCTGAATCCTCCTCTAGGTTTTTGACAACACATAAGACCAGGCATCTTCTAGGATCCCAGAGGGAATGTCTTGCGGATGGAGCCTGATAGCTAATATTTTATTTCCTGCCAGTCTTGAGTTAGAATGAAGGAATAGGATTTTTTTTAAATTTTTTGTTTGTTTGTTTTGCTTTGGTTTTGCCCTGAAAGTTGTAAACCAAAATGTATATGATTTGGACCACGCTGGTCCTCCGCTTAGCTTCCAAGGTCCGCCGGGACTCTAACACGAGCCCTCAAGGCCTAGAGAAGGCACTGGGCTTTGCCCTGTTCCACGAGTAACACCTTGCCCTTCCCAGGCTTTTTCTGCTCCTCCAGAGTTGTTGTTGAGGGGTGACGGAGCCATGGGGAACAGGCAGAGGCAGGATGCTGGGGCAGGCTGGGTACCTACCTAACCGCAGGATGGAGAAGAAGAGCATCCAGAGCAGACCCAGGAGCGGCGCGAAGACGGCCTGGTGGACGGCAGCCATGTGGATCTGCTCGTTGAGTTTGGTGGGTGTGTAGGAGTAGTACATGTTATAGCGGTCCGTGACGTGCTTCATGCACAGGTAGAGTAGCCCTGGGGGCCGGGAGATGGACGCACACTCAGCGGCCGTCCCAAGGCTCCCCACCCAGGCCTGAGACGCTAGATTCAGGTCTGTCAGAGTGGCAAGGGCCAAGAACAGGCTGTGGGAGCTCCATGGCGCTGACCTCTGGGACCAGCAGCTTCCCTTGAGCCCCTAGAACCTATTCTGTCAACAAACATCCTATGTAAACAGCCACCCAACCCCTGACTGGCTTGGCTCTGACCTGGTCCCTCCCACCCTTCCGACAGGCTGTCCCTCCTGATCTAGGAGGGAGCTGGATGCTGGGGGGCTCCCAGTCCGAGGGTGTGCAGTCCCCAGGGAGCTTCAGGGATGACTCACCAAAAGGAACAATGATGGGGCAGGTGATGCTGTACGCCATCACCACGCTGAAGACGTTCAACGTCCACGCGTACTCGCGCCCATACTGGAAGTCCATGGCCTGGTTCTGGGGCAGAAGGCAGGGGTCCTCCTCAGGTGGCCTGGTCCACTTGGCTTGGCTGCTTCTGTGCTCCTTGTCTGGGATGGCAACCTCCCTTCCAACCCTGGTGTCCGAGAAGCACCTCGCCCCACCTCACCATGCCTCCCACCTCCGGTCCCTCCGTGCTTCTAACAGGCCCCCTTCCTGACACCCGCCCAAGGGAAACTCTGAGGGCTGTGCTCAGGGAAGGGCCTGGCCCTCACCATTCTGATGTGAACTCTCTCTGGCTCCGACCTAGAGAAGAAGAGGCGGGTGGTGTACAGAAAGAGTGACCCCAGGCGCAACAGCTCCATGCCTGTGCCAATCAAAGCTGACGTGATCACGTAGTTGACAAAGAAGGCGCCATTGTCTGGCAGGAACACACACCTGGGTGGAAGACAGCCACAGAAGCCGGGGAAGAGGGAAAGGGCAGAGGTATTGGGAGGAAGGAGGAGAGAGAGGAAACGAATTGAGGAAGTGGGGATGGGGTGGAGGTAGAGATGAGGAGAATAGCTTTCAAATACAGTCATCCCTCGGTATCTGTGAGGGATTGGTTCTAGGAGCCCCTGCGGATACCAAATCCAGGGATGCTCAAGTCCCTTATATGAGCTGGCATAATATTTGCATATAACCTTGGCACATCCTCCTGTATACTCTAAATCATCTCTAGATCATCTATAATGCCTAACACAATGCAAACAGCTGTAGATACAACGTACATGCTGTGCAAGTAGCTGCCTGCACACAGCAAATTCAAGTTTTGCTTTTGGGAACTTTCTGGAATTCTTTTCCTGAATATTTTTGATCTGCAGTAGGTCAAATCCGAAGATGTGGATATGGAGGGCTGACTGTATACATGTGTTCTCAGACCAGTTTAAGTTAACAAGGGCCCTTCTGAGCAGGGCTGGGGGTGGTCTATGGCATTTGTGGATGGGTTAGGAGATACATGCACTGGCTTGCTCTAAAGAAGGGCTGTTTGACGAATGGATAAAGAAGATGTGGTACATGTATACAAAGGAACATTACTCAGCCATGAAAAGGAACGAAATTGGGTCATTTGTAGTGACGTGGATGGACCTAGAGACTGTCATACAGAGTGAAGTAAGTCAGAGAGAGAAAAAAAATCATATATTAACACATATATGTGGAATCTAGAAAAATGGTACAGGTGAACCGGTTTGCAAGGCAGAAATAGAGACACAGATGTAGAGAACAAACGTATAGACACCAAGTGGGGGAAGCGGGGGGCGGGTGGTAGTGGTGGGATGAATTGGGAGATTGGGATTGACATATATACACTAATATGTATAAAATAGATAACTAATAGAACCTGCTGTATAAAATATAAATTAAAATAAAATTCAAAACAAATAATAAAGAAGGACTGTTTGACTTGGATCCACAGACCCTGGAGAGTCCATAAGTAGAATTTTGCGGGTCTGTGACCTTGAATAGGGAAAAGATTACGTCTTTACTTTCTCCAGTTTAGCACCTCCTTCCATTAAGAGCATGGGCAACAAATCACAGCGATGTCAGCCATAGCCATGAGTCTGTCACCAGTTGAAATGAGGTATTTTCATATCGTGTTGTACTTATTGCTGAGCTCTTACGATACAATTTGTGCTCATCATCATTTCAAAATGATGCTAGTTATTGGTCAGGCCGCTAAACTAGACATGCTAAATTCACATGATTGAGATTTTTCTGTCTGCACATGCGTGTTTGACATAGCTAGCTGGCCGACTTCAACTAGTAGTCATTCAGCCACCTGAATGGATGGTCGCACTGCCTGTTCTCACGTTGGTGACCCAGGCATCTCTGTTGCTTTCCAATGTCTCCATCTACACAATTCTGTCACCTTCCTTGAAAAGAGAAATCTGTAAGCCCCTGGACATATTTCATAACTCCTTCAAAAACTATTCTTTCTTGAGGGCATCAGAGTTGAGTCATGAACTCACAATTCTTTTCTTTCTCATATACAAAATGTATTGAAGATAATGACCTAGCCAAAGATGAACTCACTCATCTTGGAAAAAAATCAACTTATTACAGTTATAGTTTAATTGTAGAAAGCTTGGAGAATTCTGGTCCTTGCCCTATAAAGCAAGCTATGAAAGCTTGCATGTCATTTGCAATAATATCCCTTTAAAATTGGGACTTTCAACATTTGGAACCCTAAAACCAAAACAAAACAAAAAAGAAAGTGGCTGGATATCTAACACGACATGCATGTTGCCTTGTCAAAAATCCACTCCCCTGCCCAATTTAATATTCTTCTTCTAGGTAAGTAACATCACCTTTCACACCGATGCCTTTAAAACAATAAAATGTAACTTTTGCTTGCCTACCTTTAGAATGCATCGGCCTATTATTAAATGTGTTAATAGAGATTGCATTACAAATTCGAATTTTAAAATATTTTGATAACTATGTTTCAGCATAATTGGTTTTTGTTATAACCCAGGTATTTTGTACGTTTAAAGAAATCTACTCAGAGTACATGTAAAACTGGCAAAATCTGAACAAGCTCTGTGGATTGTTTCAACATCAATTTCCTGGTTGTGATATTGTACTATAGTTATGCAAGATGTTACCATTGGGGGAAACTGGATAAAAGGTACATAGGGGACTTCCCTGGTGGCGCAGTGGTTGAGAGTCCGCCTGCCGATGCAGGGGACACGGGTTCGTGCCCCAGTCCAGGAAGATCCCACGTGCCGCAGAGCGGCTGGGCCAGTGAGCCATGGCCGCTGAGCCTGCGCGTCCGGAGCCTGTGCTCCACAATGGGAGAGGCCGCGGCAGTGAGAGGCCCGCGTACCGCAAAAAAAAAAAAAAAAAAAAAAGGTGCATAGGACATTTTTGGGGGCAATTTCCCTTGAATCAACAATTAGTTCAAAAACTTCATTCAGAGAAGGAGTCCCTGGGCTTTACCCCCAAAGGGGCCCATGGCACAGGAAATGTTAAGAGGCTGCCTAATGAGAGTGTTAACATGCATTCATCTCTACCTGTATGAGCAAATAAAGGATACACATATCCACCTGGTGTGAAGCCCCAATGCACATTGGGAGTACGCCTGAAACATGCACTCTAGTACTCACTGGAACCTGATGGATGCCTGTTCCAGATAGTAGATGTCAAAGAGCCAGCGGAAAAAGACGTCCAAACTAGAATAAAGAATAAAGCACAAGAAAAAGAACAAGAATAAAGCAGGCCCTTCAGTTAATGAATCTATGACCTAAGGCCTGGGGTTCAGTTCCTCTTAGGCTGGCCTCCTTCCTTTCAACCTCCCTTGCCCAATCCCCAAAGACTCTTGCATCTTAATATTCTAGCTGGCCAATCCACACTGCCTCTCTTCTTAATGATGGGCCCTAACCCTTTGGCCTTTCAGCTCAAGGCCTCCCCTCTAGCAAACCTTCGCCAGCCATTGCTCCCACAGTGTTCTCTCCCTCTTCTGAATTTCTACTGCACGTTCTTCCCACCTTGGGCTGTCAGTTACCTGACAGGTACGGCTTGTTTCCCCAGCTGGAGGATAAGCTCTTTGAGGGCAGAGTTCATGGCTGACAGCCTAGAGTTCACATGATACCTGACTCATGCTAAGCTCAGGACAGGCACTGGACTGTCATGTGAGGAATGGATGTGCAGCAACCAGAGGTGGGCCTACAGTGTCTGAAAGAGGAGGTTCCAACTCTAGGGTGAGCCTGGCTGACAGAGGAGAGAGAATTGGAGGTGAGGTACCTGGTCAGTCCCATAGAGGGCAGAATGACCACCATAAACACCAGAAAGATGTAGCACTTGTGCACTATGATCAGATTCTGAGTTGATCTAGAAGGAAACAAAGAGAGACATGATAAGAACCAAACGCCTTACTACAGAATGAAGAGAGAGAGAGACGGCCACCTGGGCTAGAAAATGGTTTCACAGTGCATACCAGTGCCATCTCCACGGAGCACTGTGAGCTGTGCTGTGGCTGGGAGCAGCAGGAAAGAATAGCATGATCAACTAGTGATGTCTGCCTTGGGCATAAGAAAAGGAAGGGAAGGCACACACATACCATATACTTGACATCTCTGTTCAAGGGACATTACTAATGATACTCAGAATTCTTGCAGAGTTTCAATAAGCAACATGTTGTTGGCCAGAGGAAAGACCAGTAAGGATTTCTGTTAAGATAAACCTCCTGGCTTACTGCCTGATACGATGATAGAAACTTTTGGTGCAGGAAATAACTTTTGAGACCCACGCAGCCTTCAGGCCAAAGCAGGTCCACCTGCCCCAGCATACGGTAAATCCTTTCTAACTAATTAGCTCCTACCATAGAACTATTAGTGCTAATAAATAGGAAATAGCTCTTAATTGTTTAAGATGTGGGCACTGTGTAGGCTACGTGGGTCTACAGTCAGATTGAGTGCAGGGGCTCCTCTGCTATGGCCATAGGAGCTCTTCTGACATTTTCTAAACAGGTCCTGCTCTCTCATTCTCATCCTCTGCCCTCTGCCTGGAATTCCTGGCACTGCCTATCTCTGCCCGCAGCTCCAGACCCTCAGCGCGTGGCTGGAGGCTGAGGGAGCAGCCCGAGGAGGGCTGGGTTTTGACCCCACATGCCTGGTATGGTGGCCCTATCTCAGCATCCCTGAGCCCAGAGGCCCAGAGGCAAACCCGTCCCCTCTTTCCAAAGAAAAAAATATCGTTAGTGTTTTGGGATGGTTTCAGGCATCAAAGCCACCCCATATCTATTCCATTCCTGAGGCCAGACAGGAAGCCAGAGTACTAAGCTGGTGGGGTCTGGGGGGGCAGAGGAAGAAGCAGGTGCCAAGAGCAGGGCTAGGAGGGGAGGCCCCCAGCTCACCTGGTCCAGTGGGCTTCAAGGAAGGCGGAGAGGTAGACGATCAGAGGCATTATCACCGTAAAGGCCCAGAGCAACAGGGAGGGGAAGAACTGGGTCACGATGGGGCTCTGTAGGGGTGGAGCGGAGGAGGGCAGAGAGACGTCAATGCAAGAAGCTCCATTCTCCTTGCAGGCTTCCCTCGCCTCCTCCCACATCCCTGGCCTCTTCTCCAGCTCAGTCCCAGAGCAGGCCTGGTGTCCCCGAGGCTGCACAGTGCGCCTGGCCTTTCTGATCCGACTTACTGGTCAGGGGTCTGTGCCGCTGGGGCGGCCGGAGGCTGACACCCCAAGGTCAAGTGACATCCCCAAGGAGTGCAGGCCTTCGACGCTGAGGTCACTGGAGTGGTGCCCTAGGCTGCCCCTAGTGACTTGGCCCTAAGACCACAGACAGCTGCTGTCACTCATGTCTCAGACCTCAGAGAGGAGACGCTGCCTTTTTTTTTTTTTGCGGTATGCGGGCCTCTCACTGCTGTGGCCTCTCCCGTTGCGGAGCTCAGGCTCCAGACGCGCAGGCTCAGCGGCCATGGCTCATGGGCCCAGCCGCTCCGCGGCATGTGGGATCCTCCCGGACCGGGGCATAAACCCATGTCCCCTGCATCGGCAGGCGGACTCCCAACCACTGCGCCACCAGGGAAGCCCCCCGGAGATGCTGCTTTTGTTGTGATGTTGTGTGAGAAGTGGCGAAGAGGGGGAGGGTACGGAGCAAGAATTCCCAGGGAGAGCTGTGGTGCCCTTGCCTGGGGCCTATTGTGAAGCTGACAAAGGAGGCAAAGGTAGGCAGCAGCAGCAGAAGTGCTTGGCTTGGCTGCGTGCACGTGCGTGCACGCGTGGGTGCGTGTGTTTTGCTGGAACAGGCACAGGGCTAACAGGAAAGGAGGGGCCTTCTGGGATCACTACGACAGCCTTGAGGCTATAGAACTTGGAAACGAACCAGTCCAGTTCCTCGGAACACCTCTGTCCATATGAAGCAGCCCTTCCCTCCAGGGATGACTCCTGTGAGCCGCGCACACGCCCAGCCAGGTGTGGGTGTGTCTGGAAGTGCGGGAAGTGGAGACAGAGCTGGAGGGCCTTCTCCTCTAGAAGGGCTGCCTTGGACCTAACCTCTGCCTGCCCCGCCCTCAACCCTGTCTTCAGAGCAGGGAGCCCAGCTCTAGAGAACGTGGGGAGAACAGAGCTGTCATGCTCGCCACACCTTCTGCTGCCCCTTTTGTACCTCTAGCTTGGCCCAATGTAAAGCAGCCCTCCAAGCCCACCCCCCAAACTCATCCCAGAACTTGCCTGGGGCTCCCCCACTCTTCAGCCCCGGTCCCTAAGATGGGCAACGACCCACATTCATGCCCTTTAGAGCACAGGAAGCGCTGTGCCACCATTTACACCGCTGCCACTGCCACAAGTGTGCGGGCATCGGAGTCACGTCCCAGTGGGCCTCCCACCCCCTCCTCGCCTGAGTTCTTCCTTCATCTCCCTGGGGCCCCCGCGCCTGGCCTGAGCAGAGGAGGCACCTTCAGCTTCTCGATGGGGCGGGTGACGTTGTACATGTCGATGGTGTTGATGATAATGGCAGGCGTGGTGAGGAAGAAGAAGAGGAAGAAGAGGAAGGTGTTGATTGCGATGAAGCGGGCCCACCAATGGAAGCGGCGGACAGACAGGTGTTTCCTGGGCAGGACGGAGGAGGGAGACGCACTTAGGACCCCAGGTCTCAGCCCTCCGACACAGCCCGTGCTGTTTCCTGTGTGCCAGCTGTGGACCGGGCTGCCCTGGTCTAATTCAAGCCCGTGGGCCCACCCACACCTGCATGAGACAACCCTGGGTCTTCCCCTCAGTCACACCACTTGTAAAGCCTCTGAATATATCCCATAGGCAAGCCAAAAAAACGATCCGAATTCTTTCTGCAGGAAAAAACTCTTTCCCCAAAGGCTGGGTGCCTTCCATGCTTGTGGTGGGGCGGGCTTGGGCGTGGGAGGAGGCTGTGATGCCCACGAGAGAAACAGCCCAGTGGGGGCCGTGTGTGGGCAGTGAAGCAGAAGGACAGGTCCTGATTCCCTTCCCCGTCCTACGGCCTTCTTCAGTCCCAGAGGAGCTCAAAGGAGAGGGGAGGGACAGAGAGGGCTTACCAAATAATGTCTTTGGGGTGTGGAGCAAGGACAACCCTCCAGCGGTCGGATTTGACGACGGTGGTCACCGAGGACTGTTGGGCCGACACACCGCACTGGATGAACTTGTAATCCTCCAGGATGCTGCGGAGATGCGGGAGCAGACAGAGGTCCGGGGGTGAGGACGATGGCCCGCGGAGGGGGCGGGCTCATGCCAGGGGCCCGGGGCCGCTGTGGCCATCCCACAGGTAGAGGCTCATCCACTTCCTGGGAAGTCTTGGAGACTTGGATATGTCTCTCTCGACCTTGTAAGTGGGCAGTCCCCAAGGCCTAGTCACTGAACGAAAGGGGCATTAGAGGGAGGGACTGTCCAGGAAAAAAGGGGGCCACACGGTTCTCAGTTCATGTCTTTTCCCCTTAACAGTAGTGACAGCACAAAGACGCGCTCTTTCTGTGAGGTTGACAGGAGAGGTATTCATTTCAGCCCCATCTTAGTATCCGTAGCTACCGACTATTGAGTTCTACACAGTGCATGACGCTGTGCTAATTGGTGATTAACATCGTCTTAATTGCACAGATTACTGAAGACACAACCAAAGAGGGGTGGGTGCTGGCACCGGAGCCTCATCTTTGGTTTTCTAATTCACACATCTGCTGTAATTAAACCTTAGATCCTCTCTACAGAGAGTGTTCTCAGAAAGTTATTGTCTTATGTAGGTGTATTGTTTTATATAACACATACACTAACTAGAACACATATCCCTTCTTAACCCTCTGGGAGGAGGACAGGGAAGATATAAGTAATCAAATTTGATAGGTAAGAAATTAGAGGGTGTAAGTGACTTGCAAAATTGTACACAATTTTTTGCGACTAAACTCTAGCCTGTGCCACTGTTCCTTGGTAGGGTTGGGGTGGGTGAGGACAAATGTTGTGAGTGATCAGGCTCCCTCGGGGAGAGGAGGGCCCCATAATCCTCAAAAGACTGATTCTGAGGCTCCCATCTATTTGACCCAGTCCTAAGATTCCTTCCAGAACATTCCAGAGTGGCCCTCATCCACTCCAAATCAAGGTGGGGCTGCCAGAGGCTGGCGTGGAGGAGAGAGGAGGCAGTAGGGCTATGAATCAGGGGAGGCTTGCAGCAGGAGAGGAGAAATGGCAAGCAGGGCTTCTCTACCCTGCCTCTGTCACTCGTGGTGAGGGGAGGGGTGACATGCAATGAGGGAGAACTGGGTGCCATTCTTGTCAAGGCCTGGAAGAGGAACCAAGAGGTCAACAGCTACTCTGACCACTTCTGTGCTGAAGCAAGAACATATGGGAGTGAAGAGCCCAGGGCCTGGGCATCTCTGGAGACAAGCTGAGCCTGGCAGCTGGGGGAAGACGGATGTGGCCATGCTCTAGAAAGCAAGATGGCGGCTGCCATGCCCATGAGGAGCATGGAGGGGTCGAGGGAAGGGCAGAATATGGCAAACCGGAGGGAGGCTCTCTCTCCTCCTCCCCTTGGCTGGAATGGGGGTGAAAGAGGATGGTTTCAGAGAAGCAGAGGCCCACTGTCAGGGCTGGGCTGGGCGCAGCAAGCAGCTGGCCCTGGCACTCACTGCTTTGTCATCCTGGAGTCCTGGAAGGTGACAAAGATCAGGTCCAGACGCTTCAGCCGAACGCGGTTGAGCTCAGCGTTGAACTCATCAGTCAGCTGCTCCTCCAGCTCACTATAATGCTGCTCTGCGTCTACCTGGGGTGAGATGTGGCCTCAGAGCTGCAGCAGCCAGAGCTCCAGGCCTCACGCCTGGATGTGAGGCCTCTCTCCACTCAGGCGGCAGGCCCGAGGTCTTGGTTCCATCCCCGGCTCCCTTGGAAGCCTGGCAAAAAGCTCAGGACCCCAGGTGGGCTCCAAGATCCCAGCTCTAGAAGAGGAAGAGGCTATGACTCTGAGATCAGCTCCCTGCTCTTAGATCTAGCGAAAGCGAGGCATCACTGGGGGTAAGGGGGTGCCTTTGGACTCCGAGTAGCCTCCAGAGGAGTGATAGAATGTGTCTGTAGCATTTTCAGGAAAGGGGATGATTCTTTTTCTGGACTCGCTGGAGTTCAGTCCTGCCAAGACCTCCTTCTAGCCACGGTGGTTGGGCGATAAGACTGAATCCACTGCTTTCAAATATTCCTGTCCTAGCTCTCTGAAAGCCTGAGGCCTGGGAGCCTATAGCAGCCTGCTGTGTCCTCGCTGGTCCTCCCATCCGAGCCCAGGAGGGGGCAAGAACAAGCGTCCCTGGATCGCTCTGGAGGGGGCCCCAAGGAAGACTCCTCTCAACAGCGAGATAGGACGGGTGGAAAGGAAAGCGGGAGCCAGGTGCCGCAGCACAGAGCAGACCCGAATGAGGCCTGTGGCCCCAGGGTATGGGCAAGGGGCGCTGCCCAGAGCCCTGGACAAAGCCTGGAGACCTGGTGCCCTAGCCCCTCTGCTGTGTCCCCCGACGCCCTTGCCAGTTACCTCTTTAAAGCAAACCCAGCACTTGCAGAAGCACAGCCGGGAGCAGGGGTGGATCCTGATCATCACCTTCCCCTTCTTCTTGGCCTTGGCAGTATAATAGAGCCGGCCCCGCATTGCATGGCGCCTGTCAGCCAATGGGCAACAGGAGAAGGATCTTGTGGTCAGGGTGCCAGCAGAGCCACAACCTCTCCTTCTCTCCCCACCCCAGATTCAGACAGGTCCCGCTACAGCCTCACCTCTGATCGTCCAAGTCAATCAGGGTCCTGACGTCGTAGCAGAAGTGGACTCTGGTCACGACACACCCTGGATAGGCCTCACTGAAGCCACAAACATGGAGGTTGAGCCATTCTGTAGGGCTGGGGACCTCCCCCCTCCCCACCCCCCACCCCCTACCCAGATCTACAGCCTACAGGGCTAGGGGGCTCAGCTATACCCATGGTTCCTGGTGCTTGGATGGTAGAATCCACCCCTTGCTCCTAAGCCTGGATGTCAGGGTTGATCCCTGTTAATCTGAGAGTTGCCGCATCTTCCCCAGGTGACACAGAACAGGGCCAGGGAGCAGAGCTGGAAACTGCTGCTCATGGAGAGATAACTGGCTCCTGTGGCTAGGAACTTCGGTCACAAAAGTTGCCTCAAGATGACCCGCTCTAGATAACTGCCGTCTGGCAGCTCCCTGGGCTCCACAGTTGGAGGTACAAGGGAAAGGCATCCCCCATCACACCCATGCCACGCAGAAATTCCCTGACTTCAGAAACCCTGCTCTGGCCCCAACCAGGGCCTCCCCATTCTTAAAGGTTGATCCTGAGCTGAATCTAGGGTGAACCACAGCCCCACTCCACCATCCTGTGCATCACTACCCACGTGAGGACCCAGGCAGGGTTACCGGAGGATGCAGTCCATGCCTCAGCCCACCCGACCCACTTACTGAAAATGCTTAATGATGATCTCCGGGTCTTGGATGTCCGTGGGGACATAGGTGATCATTAGTGTCCTTGTGACCTAGGTGGGGAAGGTCAATGGAGAAAGAAGCCTGTGCTCACACAGGACTCCTGGAGTCTGGGTCTTCAGGTGGCCCAGAACCACCTGGAGTAGGTTTTCTACTCACATCAGGCCGCCTCCTTGCTGGGTAAGCCAAGTGTCAGTTTCCCCAGCCTGTGTCCCTGAGGTCAGCAGGCCGTGGGAAGCTGCAGCCAGGGAAGCTACACCTCTGTTAACCTCTGTGCCCCCCGTGGACCCGTTGCCATAGACGGCTGTGATGGAGGGCGGAAGAGCCAGAGGCTGCAGACAGGGCCTGGGGAAGGACCACAGCCCACGCCCTGCAAGGGCTGCTCATACTGTCTTGTTGATTTACAGTCTCCCCACACCTCCGCTGCTCCAAGTGACGTCCCACCTCGCTGGGTCGTCCCTCTCATCAGACTGCGTAGGGGAGTTAGGAGGCGAGCTGGACTCTGGGGAGGGAATGTGGAAGCCCCTCAAAGTCCACATTTTATTCTGTGAGTGGGAAATGTCTTCCTGAGCCATCGCCTCAAGGCGACAGTCTGGTAAACTGTGCTGCAAGAGAGGGGAGTCTGGGCAGAAGAAGCTTCTGGTGGCAAGAAGGAAAGCTGAAGTGGCCGAGTCCAGACTGGTCAGGGGTGCCCAAGCCTCAGGCTGAAACATTCGGGATTACCTTTCAGGGGTATGTGCGTTTGCATTCTGGGGTGGGGTAAAGTGAATCCGTCCTTTAGGATGGACAGCTTAAAGGAGCTGATCTCGCTTTTACCTGCCACCTTCCACCGCAGAAGACCCTACCCACCTAGTGGTCCTTCCTGGGATCACCTCCCAAATAAGTGAACGCTACTCAAATCCCTGTCTCAGGGTCTGCTTGGGAGGTAGGATGGGGGACACACAAACCAAGACAGTGGGGACAACACTGGGGCAGGACATGGGGTCTCTGACCTCAGGGAGATGGTGGAAGGGCAAGGAGCTTGGGCACAGCAAGTCAAAATATCTACCCAGAGGGTCAGCAAGGGGCACTGGCCGCTGAAGATGGAGGTCCCCCGCAGGTTCAGGGCTTAGTTAAGCCTTTAGTTTTCTGATGGTGGGGAGGTCCAGGGGTCCTTGGAGAGGGTCCAGGGCAGCAGGGGTGCAGGGGGAAGAGGCACCTGGGAGCAGCTATTGGTTTGGAAGTGTATTAGTGGTTTAACAGCCCAGACAGATGTGCCAGGTGACGATTCCCAGGGATAAGCAGAGGAGGCTTGCCCTACTCAGGTGAGACTGCCCCCCCCGCCAGGTGTGCAGAACACACCAAGCTGGGATGCCTCTGAAGTATGGGACTGGGATGGTGTCCAGCTGGGGAGAGCCTCTAGCCGAGAGGGTGTTGTTCTAGTAGCTCTTTTCACTTACTCACCTTGTAGCTCTTCTTGGGCACAAACCCTAAACAGTGATGAGTCATGAAGAGGAAGTTGGTGACAAAGTATAAGAAAGCGAAGAAGCTGTGCAGCCACAGGAACTTACTCCTGCCAAGAACAAGACACAGGAGGCGTGAGACCCCCCACTTCCACCCCACACGGTCTCCCCAGCGCCACCCTCTCGTGCCTCCAGACACTCAGGCACCTTGGAAGGGAATGGAGAAGGGGATGTCCACTCCAACTAATAGAGGCTCACATTAATTGAGTGTTTACTATACGTCAGGCCCAGGGTGGGACTAGATGCTTTGTGGACATTTTCTCACTAGACTCTTGTACCTCGTAAAGGTGGTACTGTGAATGTCTTCACTTTACCCGTAGGGAAACAAGGGCTAGAGTGACTGCTCGAGGTCACTCCTAGCTGTGGCAGTGCCAGGAGGTGAGCCCGGAGCTGCAGAAGCACTTACACTCTTCACGCCGTGTCGTGCTGCCGGCGGCTGTGGCTCAGGCCGCCCCCGCCGACCGTGAGGACAGCAGGAGGGGCCACCCGGCCTCTCCGGTAAGGGACTCCGGGGTCACACACAGGCCTGCAGATTCGGCCCGCCTCCCTGGGGTAGGAAGAGGGCTGGCCCTTGGGCTCTGTGCTCACGTGATGCTGTCCCAAAGCATCCAGCCAGGATGACTGCTCGGAAATAGGGCCCGCCTTATTTGGTGCAGTTGGACGAGAGAAAGGCTGCCTTGCTTCAAAATATCTCCTCACCACTGTCCCCGCACTGGCATTTCACCTAACCTTCCCCATCTAGTTACATGTTTCTCTCCTCAGTGTTCTCAGAGGGGGCAAGGTGACACGGTCCCTAAGGGACATTCCAGCTCTCTGCCAGTATGGATTTACAAACGTTGAAGGCTCTTTGCTGCCCTATTAAAATTCACTTCTAGTTGGGAAGTTGTAGGTGCCACACTTACAACAGTGGCCGGCCTGGGAGAGGCTGGTAAGCTCTGCTCTGGTGTTGCCAGTACCCGGGAAAGAGTTGGTTGAAGGTGGAGGCGAGAGGGTGCCCAACTATTCTGCTGAGTTTGGACTTTGATGGAGTTTGCAGGGGTGCAGGGGCAGGGGACCAGGGGTGGGGCAAGGGGAGGTGGGGCAGGAGTGTGCAAACCCCACTCACACCTGCTTCAGGTACTGGAAGTAGCGCTTCAGCTTTGTCAGGAAGTCGGCCAAGCCTGGCCATGAGATCTAGGGGGGGACTGATGTCTCAGCCTGGACCGGCAGGGCCGCATCTGGCTCAGTACAGATTGATCTGGTCACCAACTGGGTTGGCTGATGTTAAAATCCACAGGTTCCTGGACCATGAGGGCTGGAGGTGGCTTAGAGGTCATGTCCAACAGCTCTTCCCCCACCATGAATTACGGATGAAGCTCAGAGCGGGAGGGTGCACTGCCCCAGACCCAGGGCCGGCTAATGGCAACGCCGGGGCATGAACCCAGCTCCTGTGGTTCCTTAGTCTCGCTGCTGTGGGAGTCAGGTCTGAGCTTCACTCGGTTATATGAGGGTTGACCTGAACTATTTTGTGGGCAGGGAAGCAATACCTTAAACCTCTGCTTACTGCAGTAATCCTGTTGGGAGCTGGACATACTAAGCAAATAGGACCATCTTCGCAAATCTTCAGGAGTGACCGGTTTAGGTAGTTCCATCCATTACAGAGATGGGGACACTGAGGCACCAAGAATACTTCCTTACCAAGAGGATGCAACTTCTGGCATCCCACTTGGAACCTGGGCTCCCAAGGAAACCAGGCCTTTCTTATCAGCAGAGTGGGGCTCATGCTCCGGACCCACGCATTGGACCATCTCTCCACGCTAACATCCAGCCCCCAAGCCAGTAGAAGGGGAGGTAAGAGGATCAGGTACCTACTCTGTGGAGACATTGACAATGGTGGTCCGACCAAAGTGACTATTCCAGTCTGAAAGAGAAGAAAGTTGCTGACCTCAAGCCTGGCACCTTGACTGGTTGGGTGCCAGACTTCAGGATTCCTGAGTGAATGCCCGGGGTCTAGAGATGCTTGTCTACGTCCTGGTCTTCCTTCTAGTTCCCCAGAGCTTGTCCTCAGCTTCCAAACAGCCCCATCAGAGGCCTCCTCTCCTCCCTGGGACTGCCGACTGGGGCTCCTCGGCTGTGAGGCAAGACCGAGCATTGGTGCGGCAACCCCAGAGCGTGACTGACTCGGGGTAGACACCGGTGAATGCTTGTGGGAGGGACCCGGCAGCCCCACCATGAGCGGAATGATGAAATTAGCAACACTGTTACTGTTGGCAACAATCACAAAACCCAGAACTTCTGAAAATGCATTGCTGCCTCATTCAAACAGAGTAAATCCTTCTGGCTGAGCGTATCAGTATGCTGGTTTAGACATCTCCAAGTTTTATGAAATCATACTATCATTGCCGTACTATCATTGCCAACATACTAGCTCTTACGATGAGAATCTGGGAAGGCAGGGCTCAGTAGTTATTTACTCTGGTGGTGGTATTTGGTAGCATGAGAAATGGATGCTACCTTGAAGTAAATGAGGTCTACCTCTGGCAGAGGAGAAATAGGTGGAAACTTGAGCAATCAGGGTACACCTGGCTGCCACCTGGGCACTTAAGGTGCTATCCTGTACCACCTAGTTGTATGGGCCTCATACAGCTCTATGTTTGCGTTTCCTAGTGAAACCCTGGCTGTTATTCAAAGTGCCCACTATCAGGCGCTGTGCCAACCACTTGACACACATTGTCTCTCTATCCCTATGACAGTTGAGGAAACTGAGGCCTGAGGACACTGTATAAGATGAAATAATTTTCTGGGAAGCAGACGTGGGTAAAAGTTGGGGAACCATGATTTTTCTGTCTTTGAAGTCCAAGCCCTCACCCACCACATTATTGTGTGAAAATTTACCCTGTTATAAGGAGTGTGGATAGAATCCCTATGAGAAATTCTGCATGCTGTGTCCATCAGAGTGGGTACAGAGAGAGATCAGGTCCAGAGATCTTTGTAGTGGGTCACATGTCATAACAAGGCCTCCAGGAAAACCTGGACAGGTGCAGTGTGGGGTCATAAATAAACATTCAGTTTTAGACTGAATTACTTCTATCTGCCTTCTGTGTGCCAGGCCCTGGGCCAAATTTATACCAAAAGAGGTATCATCTCCGGTTTCCATGTGAGAGAACTGAAGCGTGGGTTGCCTAAGGTCACATAACTAATTTTGAGAAGTGCAATTAAAATTTAGATTCCTAGACGCTCAAGACCCAAGCTCTGTCCTGCCTACCGGGCTGCCTCTTAGGTCTAGTGGGCCGGGCCCGGGACCTGCTGAGCTCTGCCTACCCAGAACATTTCCAGTGTAGTTGATGGGCAAAATGATGCCCAAGGAGGGGATGCAGAGGATAAGCACAAGGATGATGAGATGATACTGGAACATGATGTAGATACGAGCATCGTCTCCACACTTGCTAATCAGATCTTCGTTCCTGGAAGAGACACAGAGACAAGGACATTGCTCAGGAGCCAGTGTGGCTACAACAGAAGTCGGAGGTAGATAGAGGAAAGGGAGAGAAGATGACCACCCTACCCCCGAGTTTTTAATCTTTAGAGATATCACCCTTCTCAAAACTTGTTATGCCTGAAATGTATTTCACTGAATTTCACAGGCGTATCAAAGATAGAGGCTACAGATACACTCCCGGGAATCCGGAAGCCCTCTTAAATCAGGCAGTTATTTCCTCTTTCATTGCTTCTTCAAACATTTTGAGTGCTTGCTATAGCGCAGGCACTGGATAAACCATTAGTGATAACAGGATTCATCCTATTTTTCAAAAAGTTGTTCCTTAAATTAAAAAGGGGTACTTAAAGCCACAGTGAGGTATCACTCCACACTCCCAGAATGGCCAAAGTTGGAAAGTCGGTGAGGAAAGTGCTGGTGAGAAAGTGCTGGCAAGGGTGTGGGATGCCGGGAGCTCTCTCACACTCATGGGTACTTACTCTGGCACACAGCTTTGGATAAGAGTGGACATTATCTACAGAAGTTGACTATAAGTATACCCTATGACCTAGCAATTCCACTCCTAGGTTTATACCCAACAGAAATACATGCACATGGGAACCAAGAGACATGTATAAGAATGTCACACACGCGTTATTTGTAACAGCCCCAAACTGGAAACAACCTAATTGTCTATCAAAGGTAGAATGGACACAAGAATTGAAATATATAAGTAGTGAAATATATATACATATATAGTGAGCTATATATATCACATTATATGTATGTAATGAAATACCATACAGAGATAAAAGTGAATGACCATAGCTGGACCCCACAAATGCAACGTTGAGTGAAAGATGCCAGGCACAAACAATACATACCATATCATTTCATATACAAAGTTCTAAAATAGGCAATATTGAACTACAGAGTTAGAAGTCAGGATACTGGTTACCTTTGGAGAGGCGGGAGGTGATAGGAGATTGGGAGGGAGAAGGAGGAGGGCTTCTGGGGTCTTGGCAATGTTCTAATTCTTTATCGGGATGGTGCTTGTATAGGCTTTGCTTGTGATGACTGAGCTGGACACATTTTTTGTGCACTTTTCTGTACGTGTGCCATAGTTTACTCACCCTTGCCCTCTGATCAGACTTGAAGGTTGCATGCAACTTCTAGCATTTAGTCCAGGATTCAGATTTATTTTTCAACAATATTACAAAGAGCATATCTTCAAGGCTTTCAGTATCACCATTTAGGTAATTATTTAGAGCTCTCAACCTTTTTTTAACTTCAAGCAGTTAAAATACTTCCTGCCTTGGACTTGAGAATTAAATCCCAAGAATGGGGTGGATGAGAACTGGTGAGAAGGGAGAATGGGGGAATGTCCCCCTGCAGGCTTGGGGTGCCAAGATCTGCTCACCTGATAGAAACAGTGTGCCAGAGGCAAGGTGAGAGGCTCCAACCAGGTGGAGGGAGCAGAGGGCTGGACGGGACGAAGAACACAAGAATCTCCTTTCTGGGCTGACAATTCCCGCCTCCCCACTGGGCCCATTGCTCCATCTGCACCGGAAGCGCAGGTTATACTCAGCAGCCTATCTTACAGTTCTGAGGGAAGCCTGAATTTTTGAGTCTGCCTATACATATTCCTCTACTCAATTCTGTTCTCTTCCTGCCACTCTTTAAAGTGCCGGCCCCATGACATTCCAGGCATCACTCTTTCTCCTACTCACAATTAATTCTCATCTCTGCTCTAATCACTTCCTCTCCTCTACCTCTTGCTGGAGACTTGCTCTACCTGTCTCATCTTTAAATTAACATCCATCTGTCTCTACAGGTGCTCACACTTCTTCCCTTTCAACTACAGCCAGGTTCAAGTGCTCATTTGCTACTCTTAAAAAACAAAACCCCAAGAAACTCCTTAAGCATCCACTCCTTCACCAGTTTCCCTTCAAGTTCCATCCAATATCCTTCCTTCCCTGCTCCCACCCACCTCTTGAAAAAGGTGGCTTCCATTCTCTGCCTCTACTTCCTGGACATCTCCTCGTCCTGGAACTGCGCTCCCAGTGGAGATTCACATCTCCAAAGCCGACATCCTCTGCTGAGCGCTCATGCTACTCAACCTCGTAGGGCTGGAGGCTGCTGACCACACCCTGTCTGGACCTCGCGCCTGCCTGGCTTCAGTGAGCCCGTGCCCTAGAGGTTGCCACCTTTTCCTCTTGTCCCAACCTGTCTCTTCCTTGGGCCCTTTCCCTTGGGTGTCCCGTCTGCTCCCATGACTTCAACTACGACCTCTGTGCACCCATATCCCAAGTCTAAATCTCTAGCTCCGACCTTTCTCCTAAGCTTTAATCCTGTTTTGCAACAGCCTGCCGGTCAACTCACATGCTCACCCTGGCCCTATGTCATTAATTTCCCAACTCATCATATCTCCTCATCTCCCAACTGGTGGTATTATTACCCTCCGCAGAAACCAGACCTCGATTTCTCCCTTTTTCCTAACCAGGTGGAAGCCAGGTGGAAACAACCCATTGACTGTTGTTGCCCCATCATCTCCCTCCCCACGTCTCCTCCGCATTGTTTCCCTGGTCACCACCACCTCTCACCTGGACACTGGAAAAACCTTCTTAGCTGCTCACGTTGCCTTTGGACTCTTTCTACTGCCATTCACCCCTCATGCCCCTGCCTACAAACAGACATCACCTGAGTGTCCCGCTCAAAAGTAGTCACTGGCTCCCTGCTGCCTCTAAATCAAAAGCCAAGGTTCTCGGTATGGTAGTCAAGATCCCAGCTGATCCTTCTGGCCCAATCTTTCATCCCCTCTCTTGCTATGTACTCTTGTTTCTAGCCACACCAGAAGATTTACCATTTCTGGACACTCCCTGCCCATCTCTGCCCCAAACCTTTGCTCATGCAGTCCTTAATTTCTGATGGGCCCTCCACATCACAACGGTCAAAATTCTTCCCATTCCTCAAGGCCTCGCTCAAAACTATGCTTCTTCTGGACCTCCAAATTGGAATTAATTTCTCGCTCTCCCAAATGCCCTTTGCCCAGCAGTTATGCTCTCCTCATTATCAATCATGTGTAGTGGGTCTTGTCAACCCATGTTTTTCTAACTAGACTGAGTGGGCTTTGTGCGCTGGGACTTTGGCTTCTGCAGGAAAGGGCGGTCATGAAGAGGGGCATGAGAGACTGGAGGTATAGGTTTCTCTTAATAAAAATGTATTTATGCAAGCTTGTGCACGTTTTAAAAATTAACAAAGCAAAACCAGAGAAGGTGCCAAGAAATAAAAGTCTCCCCTCCACTCCCCCAACATGTGGCTAAGATTCCCACCCACACACAAACTAGCTGTATCACTTCCTCGGGACTCTGGTGAACGATGAACGAAGACGAGAGGCCAAGGCCATGGGGAGTCCTCCACCAGTGGAGCTGGGGCTCAAACCCCAGAGGCTGCTGGTCCCAAGCCCAGCTCTGGATTCCCAAGGCCCAGTCATGGTATCTTGTGCCCCCAAAGGGTCCCAGGCCCTTCAACAGGTCTGGGGAAAGACAGGTGCCCTGGTGTAGCTCATGCGGGTGGATGGGATCTTGCGGCAATGTCTGAATGCTCCCAGCAAGGCCCTTGAATGGTGTGGGCATGGAGGTACATGAAGGAAGAAACCCTAAGGGCCTTGGCAAAGAAGCAGATGTGCAGGTCCAGGCAGGCCCCTGGTGCAGGCGGCCTCTGGGGAGCACTGAGGCTGCACCCTAAGGCAGGCATCACCAGGCAAGGACGGACCCTGGAGGAGGGGTTCGAAGGACAGGCAGGGCAGGCCAGATGGGGGATATTTAGGGAGAGCCCAGGAACACACAGCGCTCTGAGGTGGAGACAGCTGTGTGCACACATGTAAGTGTGTATGCACGTGTGTGTGCATGTGTGTGGAGGCATGGAGCTCTGACAGGTGTCTGCTCTGCGGAGGCGTCTGGCTGGTATGAGGCCAGCGGGAGATGACAGGTGACTCGGGGTCTCTCTCCTTGCCAAGTGGGGTCTCACACTAAAGAGATCCAGAAGGTGTGGTGGGCCAGGGGCTGTCCCTCCGTAATGGGCATGGAGGCTGGGAGAGGAAGCCTGCCCTTCTGCCTGGTGGTTTTTGTTTTTTCCATCTAGGCAAATATGAGGAATGATGTTCACGGAAGTAAAGCAAAGAGTACCTGGGAAGGATTTCTTTTTCCTCGTGTGGGCTTCATAAAAGCATTTTTACAAGCATGTGAGAGGGGTCTTTCCTGAGAACTGTGGCAGAGGGAAAATGGGCTGTGGGCAGCGTCCAGTCCCCATTTCACCAATGGAACACCGGAAAGCGTCCCCTGCCAGGGCCGGGCTGCGGTGGGCAGGGGGAGAGTGGACGTTGGGGCACAGAATTTAGGCCCAAGGCCTGGTCCTGCAGGGCAGGAGACCCTGTCCCCACCCTCCCCCAGATAAGGCTCAGGAAGCTCAGGCACTTACTTCATGGTGATGGTGTTGAAAAACCAGGAATAGAAGCCCTGGGGAAAAAGGAGAGAAAGTGTGAGAAAACCCAGCGCTGGGGCGTCTGAGGCAGTGAGGAAGTGTCCGGGGCTTCCTCCCCCGGCAAGGTCTGGACTGGAATCGGTGCTGAGGGAGATGTCTTTTCAGAAGTCGGGCATCCTGTTACAGCGAGTGGTGGCTTAGAGGGTGGGCCTCAGACTGGAGGGAGAGAAGGGACTTTGGGGTGGACGTCAATTGCTTTCTGTCTGTCCCTCGTTGCTTCCTTCTGGGAAATGCCCCTCCTCTATGCATGTGGCCCGGTGGACTGTCCGTCAAGAAGGTGTCTGCTACCAGTGGTCAGTTGACCAACGGGAACATGACCCAAGAGGGGCCAAGCAAAATGCTCTTAAGGGGACTGATATGGGTGTTGGGAGAAGGGTCTTCCTCTGAGTTCTTGCATCTCGGTCAACACCAGGCATCCTGGAGGGGCTTGGTGAGTCTTTGATGCCACATGCAGGAGCTTGTCTGAGATAAAAAGCCTGCTCAGAGGAGAGAGGACCACAGAGGGGATCCTGGTGGCAATGCTGGACTTCCTGGATCTAGCTGTACCTGACGCAGCTGCTTCCCTTAGATTTCCCCGCACTCAGGCCACACATCACCCTTTTGTTATAATGCTAACTTGAGCTGGGTTTCTTCTTCTGCATCTGGGGGTCCTGTCGATTATACATTTCTCTCAGGGTCTTGCTGTCTGGAGTTTCCGGGTGGTGGGAAAAGGTGGCCTCAGCCGGGGGCTGGGAGGGGCTAGAGAGGCAGTCAGCTAGGGAACTGTATGCATAGGGTAGGCAGAGGGCCACGGCTCTAAAAGCTGCCAGATGTGGTAGCTGCTTCAGTTACCCTGGTGCATGCTTCCTTCTGGGATCCCAGGGGGTTTGGCAAAACCTTGGAAAAGGCTGCAGCTCTTGATTGGGTCACGAGCCCATCAGCGACCCAGGCAGGCCCACTTGGTTGATAGTCCCCCAGAACCACATGGATTGGGGAAGGCATATTTCCCAAAAGGAAGAAATGAGGGGCAGGCAAACATGAAACAGAAGAAGGTTCCTTGCTCCCTTAGGTGTAAGGCCCACCTTCTAGGCCTCCTCCCTGTGCTGGGTGGGTTGACAGTGGGAATGCCCATCCGGAATGTCCACTTGTGGGGGGACCATTTCCCCAGCTATATCCTAGGGAACTAAAGTAGGGATAAAAGCCCGGGTATGAGGCAGAGAGATGACGGGAAATGGCATGATGGTGGCAGTGGCGACTGGGAAAGTCCCAGGGAGGGGGTGAATTGCTAGACAAGACTTGGGCTGAGAGTCTGGCCACCCCTTCCCTACATGGGGAGTCTTTCCTCACCTACCACCTCTGGGCCAACATGCAGTTCATTAAGGGAGCAAGCAGGTTTGCTGACGGGCCCTAGTGGATATGCAGAGTGGAGGAGTATCAGTGGGAGGACAGAGGTAGTGAGTAGAAGTGTGGCCTATGTACCCATGAAAGGCACATGGACGCAGATGTGTGAGTGACCAGGTATGGACCCATATTCTCTCTTTCTCTCTCCCTCTCTCTCTCACACACACACGTGCACACACACACACACGTGCGCGCACGCACGCGCGCACACACACACTCCCCTGCATACATATTGTACCTCTGAAAGGCATAAACCATTCAGAAAACTTAGCAGCTGAACAGTGGGCCTGAGAAGCAGACACATCTCTCCTTTTCTCCCCACCCCGTGGAAATGGCCACAGGCTCCCAGGAGCCAGCTCAGCTGACAAGCCTGAGTGACAGCGGTCAGTTCACTGCACCCACCTCGGTGGCTCCATCGTCCCCACTCCCGCCACATCTGCCCTGACTTGCTGAGGGTGCTATGAGGAGACCTGTTCACTTCACCCACTCCACTCAGCCTGGCTGAGGCCTCGCCATCTGCCTGGGGCCCTGCAGGGGCTACCTCAGCGCACTCTTCCTCCGTGTCTAATTCCTACCCTCTTCTGTTTGACTACCCCACTGCTGCCATCATGATTTATCTTCTAGATATTTTAAAAATAAAATGTCATTGTACAGAAAGAAAACCCACACAAACCTGAAGTGATGTTTCTAAAGCTAAATCTGAGAATTGCCTTGCAAGGTAGGTGTTACTGTCCTTATTCGACAGAGGAAACCTCCAGGACGTGAACCTGTCTGAGGCTCCCATTCTTGTCAGGGGCAGGTCTTGGCAAGTAAAGGGACCAGGTCTCTCGGAGGGATGAAAATTTGCTTCCAACAAACACATATCAGATACTAATTACACGACAGGCTGGACCAGGTGCTGGGACAGTGGGGAGTAAGACCGGTATAGCTCTCAGTGGGGGAAGTGGGCACACTAGATTAACTGTGTAGATGAGGAATCATCACAGACTGGGTTAAGAGTGCTGAAGAAAAGGAATGCAGGGACTTCACTGGTGGTCCAGTGGTTGAGAATCGGTCTTGCAATGCAGGGGATGCCGGTTTGATCCCTGGTCAGGGAACTAAGATCCTACATGCCGCGGGGCAACTAAGCCTGCAGGCCACAACTAGAGAGAAGCCCATTCGCTGCCACGAAAGATCCTGCGTGCCGCAACTAAGACCCGACGCAGCCAATAAATAAATATTTTTTTAAAATAAAATATACGTTATCTAAAAAACTTAAAAAGAGGGCTTCCCTGGTGGCACAGTGGTTGAGAGTCCGCCTGCTGAGGCAGGGGACACGGGTTCGTGCCCCGGTCCGGGAAGATCCCACATGCCACGGAGCAGCTGGGCCCGTGAGCCATGGCCGCTGAGCCTGCGCGTCTGGAGCCTGTGCTCCGCAACGGGAGAGGCCACAGCAGTGAGGGGCCCGCCTACCGCAAAAAAAAAAAAAAAAGGGGAGGTAAGATGATCCGCAGGCTCAGGTGTTTCTGAGAGATGAGAACTGAGGAAAGCCCATTGGATTTCATCGCATGGGACCGTTGGTGGCCCTGGGGCTGTCTGGGTGGGAGCCACGTGTGAGGGGTTGAGGAGTGTGAGGGAGGTGAGGATGTGGAGACAGCAAGCCAGACCTCTCTTCTGGAGTTCAGCTCGGACCAGCCCCGAGCACCATCTAGAGCGCTTTAGCTCCACTCCATCGCTCTGGAGGGCCGTCCTTGCTCCCTTTCTCCTTCGTGCACTTATTGCCACCACCTTCTCGGCACCCTAGGAGGCAGGTACAGTCAGTGTCTCCATATTTCCGATGGGGAGACAGGCTCGGCAAGGTGGAGGCATTTGTCCAAGGTCACGTTGCTAGGAGTGGTTGGGTGGCTGATTGCAAAGCCCCAGCTGATGAACCCGCTCCTTCCTGCAGATGCCCGGACCCCTGCCCCTGCCCTCACCAGGCCCAGGCCCACCCCAGCACCCACCTTATCCCTGTGTTCCATCTCCAGGGAAATATCCGAGGGAGACGTCTTCTCGCTCTGCTCCCCATAGATCAGCGAGGTCAGGCTGCCGGCCAGGAAGGGTAGTGCGGAGGTGGAAAAGGAGAAAGTTCTTAGGTGCCAGCCTTGCTCACTGGGCTGAGGGCTGTGGTCCCCTCCTGCCCAGTAGCAGACACGCCTCAACGTGTTTGCTGAGCACACAGCTCTGGGCACAGACAGGTGGCCAATGCATCTTGGGAGCCATGAGATCCAGAAAGGCTGAGATCTGAGAAAAAAGTGGCCTCGTGCCCAGAGGTGGCTGCTCTCCAAGTCACCCTAATGCAGGGAGGGCTAGAACACGGTCAGGGGTGGTGATGAGATGCCACCTGCTGACGAGACACCTGTGCAGTTTGGGCACTGGTCAGAGCCGTGTCCTGCTCACGGCAGCACATCCCCCAATGAAGCAAGCAGCTCACTCCCGACGCCCAGCCTCTCCTCACCTGTCGTTGTGTATCAGCAAAGCCAGGCGTCCGTAGTCCCATGCGGCTTTCCGGAGGAAGGAGTAAACCAAGACGATGACCTATAGGTCAGGAAAAGCAATATGGCGCAAGAGAGCTCATGGATGCCTTCCCCTCGACTGACCCCTGAATTCCCATGGGGAAGACTGTCCCTGAGGTCCCCAGGGGCTCCCCCCTAGGTGGCCAGCTCTATCAGGGTAGGGGTCATGCCTTCTGCAACTCTAGATTCCCAGTGCCCAGCAGCATCCTAGCACAGAGTGGATGCTCAGAGTGGCTGAACGAAGGCGCTGATGGCATGTTTAGAACAGTGGACAGAGCACTCGTTGAATAAATCATCCAGGGGACAGATGGGAGGCTCAAGGGCACTGGCCAGGGGGACCTTTGGACAAGGGTGCAAGGAAGAGAATCAGGGATTCCACTGCTCCTGCAGCCTCCTCTTCTCCAAGCCCACCCACCCTGGACCTCCCTGGGCAGGACTGACATTCAGAGAGTTCCCACCACTGTGGCTGGCATCCACGGACAGCTGGGGCCCCTTGTATCACTTGTGAAAGCTGGACCATCCACCCTGGGTGAGGCCTCTCTGTCTGCCCACTGCACTGCCCAGAACTCACCACCCACAAGATAACGTTGAGGAACAGCACAGTGGGGATACCCCCAAAGGGCTGCCCCTGCAGGACAGTGCTCCGAGAGCGGAAGCAGTCGTCAGCCGAGAAGTTCCGGGACTTTTCCACCATATTCAGGTTGCCCGGCGAGACAGTCATCCTGGGAGGCTCCCTGGTGAACAGAGGGGTTTCCAGGTCAAACACGAGCCCCCCCTCCCCCATTATGCAACACGCAGAAGCCTGCCGGGGAGCTGGGAGGGGTGCGCTGAGCTTATAAATGGTCAAGACAGGAGGCTCAGCCCTGAGATGGCATGCAGCCCTGTCCTTTAAGACAGGGGTCCCCAACGCCCTGGTGGGACATCACACAGCAGGAGGTGAACAGCGGGCCAGCAATTACAGCCGCTCCCTTCGCTCGCATTACCGCCTGAGCTCCGCCTCCTGTCAGATGGCGGCAGCATTAGATTCTCATAGGAGCGGGAGCCCTACTGTGAACTGCACATGCGAGGGATCTAGGTTGCGCGTTCCTTATGTGAATCTAACGCCTGATGATCTGAGGTGGAGCTGAGGCGGTGATGCTAGCGCTGGGGGGCGGCTGCAAATACAAATTATCATTAGCAGAGAGGTCTGACTGCACAGAGACCATAATAAATCAGTTGCTGGCAGACTCATATCAAAACCCTATCAGTGAGTGGCAAGTGACAATTAAGCTGCCTCTTACAGAGCAGACTAGACATAAGCAACACACTTCGGGTGTCACTGTCTCCCATCACCCCCAGATGGGACCAGCTAGTTGCAGGAAAACAAGCTCAGGACTCCCACTGATTCTGCATTATGCCGAGTTGTATAATTAGTTCATTATATATTACAATGTAATAATAACAGAAATAAAGTGCACAATAAATGTAATGTGCTTGAATCATTCCGAAACCATGCCCTACCCCCACCCCAGTCAATGAAAAAATTGTCTTCCATGAAGCCGGTCCCGTGTGACAAATAGGTTGCGGACTGCTGCTGTAAGACACCACTTCCTCAAACCCAGGGCCAAGATGACAGAAGAGCCCAGATTCCCTGGGAGAGTGTTTATTTTGTACCACTTGCTCCTTTTGCTAAAAGAGTTGTAAAATGCACAAAGCAGTCGTTCCAATGGGCCTTCCTACTTCTACCTTTGTGAAGCTTTTCTTGTATATAAATGAACAAGCCTCACAAAGGTCTCAGAGAGGAAAGATTCAGTTTAGAGGATGGAACCACTGCATCACGGGGTGCTGCGCAGATAGGGCCACTGACGATCATCTTTAACATCTTACGATTCTCTCATGTTTCCAAGAAAGGCAATAGCTCCCAAGACTAAGTAAGGAAAGGATGCAGAGTGCCTGACACACAGCAATGACTCCCTGTTTCACCTAGAACTTGAACCGGGGAGATCAACACCTGTTCAGGGTCGTGAGCCAATGCAGTGAGTCAGAGACTCAGATGCAGAGCTCGTGGTCACGGGCATCCGTATTCTTCAGGCCTGGGTAAGAGCGGAAAGTACGAGCAAAAGCTGGATGTGACCAGCAGCTGCTTGGACTTACCTGCAAGGTTGCTCTGATTTTAAAAGATCATTTGTTTTGGCTCCAGACTGCATCACACCCTAGAAATTCTTCACTCCCGTTCAAGAGAAGTAGGCTTATTCATTCGACAAATATTTGGTGAACGACTGCTTTGTGCTAGACTGATGCTGGTGGTATATCAGTGAACGAGACAAAAAAAATCCCTCCCTCATGGGATTCTAGTGGGGAGAAACAGTGCAGGGGTCAGGGTGAGATTAGGATTGTAAAGAGGGTGATTGCGGAAGGCTTCGCTGAGAGGATGACATCTGAGCGAAGACTTGAAGAGAGGGGGGCAGACCATGCAGCCGTGGGGAAAAGACACTGCAGGCAGAGCAAAAGCCTGGGGGCGGTAGTAGTGGTGGTGCAAGCTTGCCTGGAGCAGAGGAAAAGCTAATGGGCCGGCGTGGCTGGACAGGGGAGAGTGAAGGGGCATGGGGGGTACCTGAGCAAAGGAGTGACATGAAGTGACTCATGTTTTAAAGGGGTCACTTTGACCCTGGCACTGAGAATAAATGGGGGTGAGGGCAAGCAGAGAGGTCATTTGGGAGGACTCTGTGGCAACCCAGGCAAGAGATAGCGGTAGCCTCGGGCTTCCCTGGTGGCGCAGTGGTTGAGAGTCCGCCTGCCGATGCAGGGGACGCGGGTTCGTGCCCTGGTCCGGGAGGATCCCACGTGCCGCGGAGTGGCTGGGCCTGTGAGCCATGGCCACTGAGCATGCGGATCCGGAGCCTGTGCTCCGCAACGGGAGAGGCCACAGCAGTGAGAGGCCCGCGTATCGCCAAAAAAAAAAAAAAAAAGAGAGAGAGATAGTGGTAGCCTGGACTGCGATGAGAGCCATGAGGTGGTCAGATTTTGGAAATATTTTGAAGGTGGAGCCAACCAGATTTGCTGATAGATTGAACGGGGAGCGTGAAAGAGAGGAATCCAGGATGACTAAGGCTTGTGGACTGAGCAACTGGAGGTGCTGCCATTGGATGAAAAAGACAGGAAGTGCTGGATGGGAAGTGCAGGACGGCGGGGGGACCGGGAGCTGGGTTGTGGACATGCCAGGCAGGCGGCTGGATATGCGTCTGCGGTTCAGAGGAGAGACTGGACACACAACATGGGAGTCGCCAGCATGGAGACAGATGACGGTTCGAGGCGTAGGACTGGATCACTGGAGTGGAGAGTGAGGGTCAAGTTCTGAGCCTTGGGATGCTGCTCTAGTATATACGAGTTGGTCAAATGAGGAGGAAGCAGAAAAAGAGACTGAGACGAGCAACCAGTGAGGATGGAGGAACAGCAGGAAACGGTGCTGTCCTGGAAGCCAGGTAAAGAGAATGCTTCCCGGAGAAGGGAGGGACCAGTTGTGCTGATGTGGTCAAGTAAGAGTAGAACTGAGGAGGAGCCATAGTTGAAGCAAGGTGGAGGTTATCGGTGGCCAGACTAGAAGAGCCGCAAGACAGAATGATAGGAGAGGATTTGGAGCCAGGGGCGTCAGCAACTCTTTCGAAGAGCATGGAGAGGTGGAAGTGGTTAGGAAGGGAGAAATAGCTGCGCATGGTATGCTGATGGGAACGATCCAATAGAAAATAAAAATCTGGTGATGTAAGAGATGCAGGATCACCGGAGCAAAGCGAGGATGTAGGAGGGGTTGGGAACTAGTGCCCAAGGAGAGAAGTTGGCCTCTGCTGAGAGCTGAGGGCGGATAGCTGACCCGCGGTAGCAGGAGTGCTGGTGGAGATTGTGGACATGCTTTCCTTACAGTTTCTATTTTCTCAGTAAAAGAGGGAACAAGGTCTCAGGTGAGTGTGTGATGCTGGTGGTAGGCAGACGTGGGCTGTTTGAGAACAGGAAGAAAGGTAGAAGCAGAAATCCAGAGGAGTGAATGGGTTAGGGGAATGTAGCAGGACTGACGGGCAGCTCTAGGGGCCCACTGAGGTTCACGGTCTTGAATTTCCAACAAGAGCAGCCAGACTTACTGTGCATTTCCCTCAACTGTATCCATCTGTGTGCTTACAGGTGTGAAAGGGTCACACAGGCAGTTTTAACCAGGGTAGAGGTTTTCCCAAGCAAGTATGAGAATGAAACAAGAGGACTGAAGGTGCAAAGGAGTAATTTTAATGACTGGCCGTGGAATTTAAGGCACTTAAGGAGAGAAATGAAACATGAGAAGGGTGAGGAACAGTGAAAGCTGTTGGAGCTCCGGTGGGTAGAAGAATTTTTGAGTCCTAGAGGGTGTGAGTTGACAGATAGGAACTGGCTGTTGGAAAACGATCTGGGTGATGTTGAGATTAAGAAGGGATTGCAGTTATTGGTAGTGATAAGGTCTAGGGCATTTCCATGGAGTGAGAGGCTGAGTAGTGTCAAAGAACCATGGGGCTAGACTGTTAGACGGATCATCTCTGTGGATATGTGGATACTGAAATCAGCAAGAATGAAGAGAGGAGCAGAAGTGTCATGACATTGAGGCAGGAACTGAACTCTTCCAGGAAGGAGGGGTGTGACCCGGGTTGGGGGGAGTAGATGCCTATGACACAGAGGGGGAGCAGGACGTCTAGGCTGACACCCGTGGGTACAAGACGGGGGCTTTTGCAGGGAGGAGGGAAGAATAGTCTGAAAGTTACAAAGAAGAGCAAGAAAGACATCTCTCCCATCCCCAGGTCCATGGTGTTGGGAGAGAAACAGAAACCACTCCCGGAGAGGGTGGTAAGGGTCCTGGGGAGTCTTGGGTTTCAGTTCCCAGTGAAAAGGTGATGCTCTGAGGATCTGGGGGGTGTTTCTGGGCACCGTGGGCTCTGGCACTGAAACCCAGGTCCAACTCCTACTTGCCAAGCGACCTGGAGCAAGCTCTTTATCCATGCCTCATTTACTCATCTGTAAAATGGGGATGGTGCTATCAATTAGTACCCACTTCACAGTGCTGTTAAGAGGGATATGTGGATTAAGGTTTATCAGTCACGGAGAAAAATGCCTGGAACACAAGAAGTATCACATAGATATTTGTAAAGTGAAAAGTGGACACAGAGTTCCAGGGGACACACTGGAATGGTTCTAGGTACTAGGGATGGTTGGGTGCTGGGGATGGAGAAGGGAATAAAGGTAAACGGACTGGAGTACAGGAGACAAGAGGTGGCCCGGGAGTCTGGATTCCCTGTGCTAACTCACAAAAATAGGGGGAAAGGGTGTAATGAGATTAGTCCTGGAAAAAGGAAGGAGGACAACACCCGCCTCCGGATCAGCATCTGACGGGAGCAGGGAGCCTCTTGCCTATCTTCTTAAGTTTCCCTACTTTCTGCTCCCCTCTCTTTCTGCCTAGGTTGCCCACAGTTTAATTATCCCAGGTCACTGGTTTCCACGCATTTACACTTACATGTTGTTTAATTATCCCAGGTCACTGGTTTCCATGCATTTACACTGACATGTTTAGCCAAATGTAAAAGTGTAATAGTTTACGTTGAACACAGTACATTTTAACAGTAAGCCATCTGCCAGAGAGTCAGAGTAGCAGCGATGGCATTCCTGGGGTCTCTTGGCAGATGGAACAGGCATCTCAGCCATCCCAGGCTCTGGGTCAGCTGTGGCAGGAAGCTACAGTTCTGCT